TCTTATAAAGACCTCAGGAAATTGTCAACTTGTGTAAAAGTTAAACTTGACAGTACATGCAAGTCGATTAGATTAATCAATGTAACTCCACAACAACTACATCCGTGTATCCACCATTATGCCCCTTTTCATAAGATGTATTATAAGTCACCTTTAAGTGAACATAAACAGTTGAAAAAGAAAACGCAGTGACAGGCTGCTGTCACTGTCTTAAAGTGACAGCAGCCTAATATATACCTGCTGCCAAATTATAAGATCATATTAAAAAAATATTTAAATGGCAGTTTTTCCCCATGATATCGATGTCAAAATTGTAGCCAGTGAAAATATTGAGTCGCTAGTAACTTTGGAAAAGTAAAATTATGTGCATGGATAAATAATTTATAGCCTAATAAACAGCCTACTAAACACTGTAATATTGCATAAAAACAAAAATGTTCATTTTGATTTCATGGTGACTTTAAAAGAATTAAAATTCTAAAAAAACAAAATTCATCGAATTTGGACATTGTTGAGGTAAACAGATTTGGCTCTTGGTTTGCACTCATGTCATATAATTACCGACACCTCAGACTGAACCTCTCTGAATTAGGATGTGGATGTATTACCAGAAGCTTTTAGTAAAGTGGTAGTCTCAGCCTCAGACGCCCACGGAACGTTGGCTAAACGTCTGATGCATATGGTACACTTAAACACTTCAGGAATGTCGAAGTTGTCATCTGATTGGTTGAATTTTATCGGATTTCCGGGGGGCGCGAGTGTTGAGTTTATTTTCGGTCCGCCGGGAAACAAAGCGCAGACGTGTGATTGCGGAAGAAAAACTGTTGTGTTTACATGAGTGACAATGAGCATTTATTAAGATCAGCTAAACGTAGGATTCTCAAAAGTATGCAAGGTTCACGGCATAGACTCTTGAAGTTTTCTTCTCCTTCTTTGATTTTCTATGCTGACTGACTTGTTGCACGCAGGTCTGTTGTTGTGGGGACATTTCCACGCCCCGAAACGTGACGCTGAACGAAACGAACTGTAATTGGTTGTTTGACATGTCGGTCAAACGGCCTTATGGGCGGGCCTTGGCCAAAGAAAGCTGCTATGAATTCCAGACCTTCAGTCGTCAGTCTGAAGCATAAACAGTAAAAGAAATGGACACAGCGACCCCGTTGATTTCAACGGAGAGAGTTGAAGCCCAGCATGGGCACTCACTTCCTGATAGCCAAGCGTTCTGCGCAGGCTCAAACTGAGCTTCAGACCTTCTAGTAGCTGTGCCGGGACAAATCTGAATTGAAATTTGAAACAAATCTGTTGTTGAAATATTTTGTCCCGTTGCTTTTATGAACTCTCTATCTATGGGCTTCTCCCTTGACTTTATGCCTCCATGTCCACCCGATTGCCTCATAGACAGTAAACGATTGCCGACGAGCTTCTACTTCTGTCTATACGGTAATTTCTCTACTGTGCGACAGAGCGTCCCGTGGTTATGACGCAATCGTTAGCCTATTTTTACAAGAATGGCTTCTACGGGGCCATAACGTAAGATACAAAGTAATGGAGCCTTTTATACATTGTCGTGTTTCTTTAGAAATAAATAATGGACAAATGGAGTCTTTGGACGCCTCAGATGTAAAGTTATTCGCTGTCAAAGAGACGCCAAAATGAATGGGAGTCAATGGGATGCTAACAGCAGGTGATAGCCAGCTACAATGGCGGCCCCCGGAGGCAGCTTCAACTTCCGGCTGATGGATTACAGTAAAGACTGCCCTCTTGTGGTGGGGGAGAGCAAATAGACAAAGAAGTATGATGCCAGAAAACCTCATTATAGAGAATCCTTCAAAGCACATATGGCTGATGGACATAAAGCATACTTGGAAAGACAATTTTAGTTCACAAGATGACTCTAAATTGTAACCACATAAAGACAACCATTTTTAAAGTTCTTCAGAAAATAATAACCAAACAACATGCTGAAGAAAATTCAAATGTAAGACACAGCTGCTGTGTCTCATTTTAAAGCTGCAGGGGTCGCATTTGTCGGCAGCAATTATTTATGCTTCACTAGGAATAAGTCAAATTTAAAATGGTTTCTTTTTTGAAATGAGACATCCTTGATGACGTATGTGGCCAAAATGAGACGCAGCTAGCATGTGCTTACATGTATTTACATAGTTGCCATGCAACAAGCAGAACTAGAACTAGACCGTGCGGAACATGAGAAATTCTTTAAGTCGGGTCTCAGTGAATTGTATCTACACTCTTTTCAGAGGCACAGCACCATGAGTGATCTCAGCCTGCGAAACTTCCCATTGTTGACTCAACATATTTCCACATCCTTCTTCCACAAGGGACGATTACATAGTCCACTGCACACTGTAGGGGTCCAGATCCAAGTATCTGAACATGATAGATACTGATTCAGAAGCCTAGAAGTTTCACCCTCCAGCATTTTAACTCAACTGATGGGCACAAGACTCCACATTTCCAAGCAATGAGAGTTTTTTAGGTGTGACCTCACCCTTCAGCCTCAAGAAACTTGGAAATACCAGAAAGAAAGAGAAAACCAAGCCAAGATGACGCAATCATGCAAAGGTCTTTTGAGCCAGCTGGTCACAAGCAATTTGATATTTTTGTAAAATACCGATTTTCACATCTTGATTCAGTGCCTCAGCATTGTGAAAAACATCTGCCAACAGTGTGAGTCTTTCTACAAACGGGAGGGTCTCTGATTAAAGCTTTCCAAATGTGGGCAGTTTGGGGACTTGTGTGTCTTTCTTTGTACGAGTCTGTGAACTGACCTCTGCTTTGGTGGATGAATCAGAGACACACTTACAGTACTGACTACTTCAATGTAGAGGTCAGTTTTCTCATGTGGTTAACACATGTGACTGACTTGGTAATGAGACAATTCAGCTCTCCATTTCCTTCGGCACAGCTCATATAAAGTTTCCAACCCTGATCATCAAAGATGATGCAGGTATTTACGTTTCCATGAATTGGTCAACCATGTGACTATGAAAGGAACGCAGGACTTCAACTACAGTAGGATTATAAAATTTGTGCACTGATGTGTGTAAGTCGCATTAACTAGGTGGGGACCATGGCATATTGTGAAAACAACAGCAACCTTTTGAGAGACAACATATGGCCAAGTTTGGATAAGATTTTTTTTTTTACTTAAGTTTAGCCTAAAAGACATCCATAGTGAACATATTTGTTTTCTTAACCAATCCAAGTCTATGAAGAATTCTGATATAAAATATTTAGTCTAGAACAAAGTGTTTAGGCCTATATGAGAAACAAAATGAATAAGAATAGCATTTGAATAATTAACTTCGAATAAATTAGTTAGAGACTAAACGAAGTGACTGAACGGGTGAAAACCCAACTGAATCTCCTTATCTGAAAAATTAATACTTATTTAAACATTCCATTGATGTTTAATAGAATGTTATAGGCCTACATATAATAATAATGGTGATGATAAAAAAATAATAATAATAATAAAAAGTCTGTCATTATTTAGCTTGCCTCCAGGACCGAGTTTGGATACTCTGGTCCTGCTAAACAAATTGCAAAATGCTTCCGTGATTTGTCATTATTCATCACTTATTGCAAGTATGACTCATATCCCGCGAATTGATTATTTAAAACAGTTGGTTTTAATTAACTAGTTTAAAAAATAACGTAATACGCTCCAAATGTCACTGACTATCTCTGGCTTACGATCAGACATAGCCTACTTGACAGAGGTTCAACTGATTCATGAAAAGATTCTCCTCAAAAGAGCGCGTTCAAATGTTGAAAAGCGAACATTCTAAAATTAATGGGTTAACCCTCTTCAATTTGATTTAATGGACTGCCATGGAACTGTTGAGAGAGTTTGTTCGACTGAGAGCAAATTCTGTTTTGACAGGCATAAGTTACTATTTTGACTCGTGAGCAGCGTGCGTAAACTCGAGCGCGCGTTCATGTCAAGCAGGAGTTTTAAGTCCCCTCCAGATAAGAAAAAAATGACACATCTGTAACATTCTTGTGGCGTTTCCTCACCTTTTATGATGTTTTTTCACAGGCTGGGCATCTTCATCCAAACTTCGTTTTTCAAGTCTTCTTTATAAATAGTTAGAAAATTCTCAAGTAGCGGAACTTCTACATTTAAAGAGACGGACTCGTAAATCCTGACGGCAGTAATGCTGTTGTGTTCATTGGCTGTGTGTGTGGACCTCTTGGCGGAGGATGGGAGGGCAGTTCATGACTCTGTATGGAAAGAGGATGTTTTGTAATGTGTGGCGCACTATTCCAGACGGATAAATGGGAAATGAACGAACTTCCCGGTGGTTATGATCTGAATTCTGCCTTAAAGACACAGTGCTGGTATCTGAAGGATGTATAACAACTAAATCGAATCTGAGATACAGATACAGGCATCAAAAAAAAAAAAAAAAAAAAAAGATTTTGGGTAAGGAATTTAATAATAATAATATTATAACATTATGAATACACAATATTAATTAATCAACAAGTAGAAAACACTGACCCAAGCTACATAAGTATACATTAGATACAAAGTCTTTTACAAAGCACATTAGTGCACAAAAGGGTATTGTGTTGATCAAATGTCTCAAAGCCTGAGTTGAGAATACTGCAACAATATCCTAATACCTGGCAACAGTTCAATTTGGACTTATTATTTTTGGTAACAGTTTATTTTACAGTGTCCTTGTTACATATGTTACATGTACCATAGTAATAACAGTAAATTGTGCATAATTACGTGCAACTAACCCTCAATCAAATCCTACCCTAACCCCATAGTAAGTACATGTAGTTGCTTAATATTACTCAGTACTTAAATATATAATTACAGTGTAACAATGACACCTTAAAATAAAGAGTAACCATATTTTTTTTAGGTAGTTAATTGGCTGGTTAACATGTGTGGAGAGAATCGACTCACTGTGGACTGGACTGGCATTAAAGCTTGTCAGTAACTACTATACAAAAGGTATATAACATTTATAAAGGAGCACCTCCAACTGGAATATTTCCATAAATCTCTTTCAGAACCAAAAGAGCAGTATCTTCTGACTCCCTGCAAACAAAACAGGGGGAATTATTTATTTCGGAGCACATACACATATGAATGATATATATACATAGGTATCATGAAAGATTTTCTCTTACCAGTAGCACAGATGGCTCTGTATAGCAAACAGGTACTCATTGAAACTTTCAATTGGTGTCTCCTGAAGGACAAAGTCAATACGTCGCCCACGATTCAACATTCCCACCTTGAAGTTTCTCTGCTCGTGCTCCATTGGTGACACTGCACCACAAATATTCAAATGTGAGATGGGACATTCAAATGTGAAGTGGATTTTTTATAAAAATCTGAATAGTAAAAGTGTAATTCGATACCTTCTGCTTCATCAGTAGGGGTCACGGAACTGAGTCCACCCTCTGCAAGAGCTGGCGATGGGACCTGAGAAATGCTCTGCCAAACCATTCGTAGGGAACCCAGTAAATCAGAACTGACTCGAGTCAACCCTTCTTTGAGTTCTGTAGGCATCAAAGACATTTCGTTAGCCCCAGAGACATTTTTGAATATAAAAACTATGGATTTCGTTCCATAAAGTGATGTGTAATACCGAGGTGCATCCTCTTTCTGCCTTTATGATGGGGTATCAACATTGGTGGCAAGTCCACGTCTTGAGGCACAAGCATGGGCTCGATCCGATACGCCACTGGGTCAAACTGCATAGATTACATTCAAGGTTTAAGAACATGGCTCTAAGGAAGATATAAGGTTCTCAGTCAGTGTTTTGGAGCGTGTCTTACTGGATGGAAGACGTTGTAGAAACTTTTGCAGGTAGGGAAGCTGTAGTTAGGATCAATCCTCTTCAGACCTCTAACAGTTAAAAACATTCCTATGGGAGAACCAACAGCAAAGAAAGCCTGAGGATGAAAGGCTAACTGAGGATAGTCAATGGATACCTGCAGAATAAAGAACAAGTTATTTGGCAACTGTATCTTAAACAGTGAAATCATTTGAATTCTTAAGATGTTTCTACTCATATTAATGGAGATTCAAGAGACTAAAATAGCCTTAACTTGGAGGTACATACAGAAAAATTAGTAAAGTTGTATATTATATACAGCATATTAGATTGGTTTCTGAAGGATTAGTGACACTGAAGACTGGAGTGATGATGCTGAAAATTCAGCTCTGATCACAGGAATAAAGTAATATATATTTAAATATATTTCAAATACATTCAAATAAAAGCCAGTTATTATTTTTATACTTAAAAAAAAAAAAATACAAATACTTACTTGTCCAATGCCAACATTAAAATGCTGATAATCAAATGCACTAGTGTTGGGGGTTTGATGTTCATGAGCTTTTCTCATCCCTAGACTTGAGGAGAGCGTCTCATTTTGGGGTGCATGTCCACTTCCGATTCTGGAGTTCTGTTGGATATTCAAGAAGTAGTTACTAAAAAGGTATTAAAACAAACATTCCGATCTAAAACAATGGACTCTTATCTGTCTTCCCTTCCATTGCTGGGTGTGGAGAGGAAGCTTCACACAATTAAGCTACATTGCAAACCTTTCCACTTCTGCCATGAGCCATTGAGCTTCAACAAGGCTAGAAGGAATTTCAGGAATTACCTTCCATTTTTTGACACAGTCCATCAGTTTCTTGCGAGGACCAAGGGGTAGTCCGATATCTTGTAGGTCCTTCTCTGAGCAGAGCGTCTGAAACGGTTTAATTGGAATAAGGAAGGTGAAATGAAGAATTGGAATGTGGTGTTTTTAGGATGTGTGATATGTGTTTCAGGAGAGAAAACTGACCAAAGACTCCATATCCACTTGTTCTCTCTGCAGTACATTGAGGTGCTCTTCCAAGCCATGGCTCTTCAGCGCCTCCTCCAGACTCTCATAGGAACTGCAGCCCGTGTCAACGTGAGTGTCCTCCTGGAGATATGCAGACCACAAAAACATTCTTCAATTGATCACACTCATATTCTTTGAAATCTATAAAAGCAATAGGATACTCTGCTCTATAAAAAAAAGGCATAGTAATGTGCAAAAGCAGAAAGATTTAGATGATGCAGAAGCAACAGTACATTTTGAGGAACAAAAAAATGGTTAGATTTTATTGTTGTTGTTGTTTTGTACAGTGCCTTTCAACAAATCATGTTTCATAGCAAATAATGTACTTATTGCACAATAATTAATACATATATAAAAAATACAAATATAATAGTAATTTCAAATATTTTAAAATAATACATATATTTTTTAGGAAATTATTATTTATTAGACAAGTCAAAAAGGTGTGCAGAGACTTGCTGGATTAATCTAACATGTATTTCTAACAGTAATAAGAAGTTACTTTTTATTAGCCACATGTTAAAATTCACCATTAATATCCAGAAACCTGGAACTGGAAGTTATGTTTCTCAAACTGTAGACAATGTTTACTGTAGACAATAACCATTCAAATGGAAGCATTAATGTTTATTTCTAAATCATTTTATTATTATTGATGACAAAGATTTAATCGATTAATTGCAATTATTCGCATCTAACATGTCATTAATCGTGATTAAAACAAGTTTGTACATTTATAATGTGTGTGTATACACACACACACACACACACACACACACATTTATATATATATGAATTCAGATGCAAAAGCCTCTAAATGCCATCTGAAATTTTCTTCTAAAATGATCATTTTTATCAAGCTCGTATATTTAAATTCAGTAATTTCACTTAAATGACAATTAATGGGTAATTTTAGAGGCTTTTAGAGGCTTTTGCATCTGAACTCTTCATATATACACACACACAAACTTTTGTTAGATGCGATTAATCGTGATAATTCGTTTTGACAGCACTAATATTATGACAAACCAGTGTTATTTTAACATTATTATATACTATTATTAGCATTAATTACTTTTTTATATTTCTAAATACCTTTAATTTATTTTTATTTCACTTTAAGTTTAATAATTTGAGTACTTTTACACTTTTACTGAATTAAAGTAATTCAGTATTTTATTTAAGTGAGTTGGCAAGGGAACATTTCTCATTTTTTATGTAATATTTAAGCTTTATTTAAATTTGCAAAAATAAATCTTAGTTTCAGTTAACAATAGCAACACTGGTGCAAACCTCATGAGCTGTGGCATCTGCACTTGTCTTTTGATTGGTCAGGAGATCAAACAGGATCAATGAGCCTGTATAAAACAAGACAATATTGGAAAAACTTTCAACAAGAAACATTGTACTGTCCGTAAGTATAGGTCATTATTATTTCACCAAACCAAAACAGCAATTCTGTTCTGAAATGCACAGTTTCGTACCGAGGCTGTGTCCAACCAAGGAAACGTGTCCTGTGAAGTGTGGATTCCTCTGAAGGAAGAGGCTGTGGAGACGGTTGATCTCAGAGGCCACTGTATCCACAATCGTCTGGCAGTATGTGGCACTATTGTAGAAGAAAAGGTCCAGCACGGTGTCGTTGCTGAACTGACGCAGACGGCTAATGCTAGGCAGTGTGATTCTCTCAATGTCTCTGTTTAAAATAGAAATAAAACAGTAAAAGATGTATGTGGGTTTTCTCCACACACACACAAAGAGAGAGAGAGAGAGAGAGAGAGAGAGAGAGAGAGAGAGAGAGAGAGAGAGAGAGAGAGAGAGAGAGAGAGAGAGAGAGTCAAACGTCTTACTTGTCAACTCCTGTAGTTTCTCCATGTAAGACTTTGTGCCAGTTGACTGGAAGATACTCAACCCTTCCAATGATGCACAAGTCCTCACTCTGCCTGAAGTGGCTGTTTAAGAGGCCGTTGGAGGCATTTCGAAATTCATTAACTGCAGCAGGGAATGGGGGGAAAAAATGTCATAATGCTTAAAAAAAAAAAAAAAAAAAAATTGGTACAATAATATGGAGCGTTGAGTGTCAAACGTGGCTTGTGAACTGCTCGATAGTTGCTAAACAATCCAACATATTGGGAAGAAGTGTTTTAGTTTTAATTTTTAGTTTTAGATGATAAAGGCTCACCACACTGGACAATGCCACGGAGACGTATGTCACAGGCCGGACCGATACCGTGAACCATGAACACCAGGTGGTCTACTATCTCTGGTTCTCCTACAGAAACACAGCAAGAAAATATATCAAAAGACTGATATTGTTAGCTAACAAACATTACAAACCACTAACCATAAGCCATGCTTGAACTTTACTGTTTAAAAATCTAAGGCAGCATCCTATAAAGTGAATAGGAGAGACTTAAATGAAATGAGTTTGATGTTAGCATGTTGCTAAGCTAGCAATGCGATACTTGTGCAGCGTTCACGCCATGTCGTAATAACCATAATTTGAGATAACAACACGCAACGTTCTGTTCTCGGACTTGGATAAAATAAAACCATGGTTTATTTTCGTAGTTGTACGAGGTCAGAATCTCGTAATTATGGTAATTCTGACATGGTGTGAACGCACATTTTAACACGCATAAAACTACACAGTTTACAGAAATATTAGGTGAAATAGTCCAAAAGAGTTCGATATTATCATATTCCTATGCTAACAGTGTGATACTTTAATACGCATAAAAATTCATAACTAAGGCTACACAAATATTGAGTGCAGAGTTTGATGTTAGCATGTTCCTATGCTAACAGTATGATACTTTAATACACATAAAACTACACAGCTCACACAAATATTATGTGAAATACTCCAGAGTTTGATGTTAGAAGCTGAGCTAACAAAATGACACACAATGCACATACCAGTATGCACTACATACTCTATCGTCGACTCTAGTGCATAAAGGTTAAGGTTATATTGTCATCAACCATCAAAGTCAAATAGCCCCTCTCTTTCCTCTTCATGAACTCAACTGTCGCTGCTTTCCTTATGTAGTGTCCAACATTCCAGAATTTCTTTTTACAATGTGACTTTAAAAGTAAAAAATAAACAAAACAAAACACAGCACAGAAATATTGGGCAAAATTGTCGATTTTGAGTTACTGAACTGTTTTGATACATATTTCATTCAATACTGGAAAGATATATATTTGTTGTCTACATTTCTCTCTACATAGTAGCCATCTTGGATGAGCTTGTCACAATGCATTCTGGGACTGTCTACATTAAGGCTATGAGTATTTCTGCTTTAGAATTTGGCCAAAATTAGGTATTTTATACCATTTGGAAGTGCATTTGTGTCAGAAACATGTAACTAGTAACACCCTAATATTTGAAACAGAGTTTTAGGGCGCTGTACTTACCCTCTGGTATCTCCAGTGGAATATTCTCAACTCCTCTCTTTAGAGTTACGGGTTGAGTTCGTTCAGATGGGGAAGGGGGAAAGTCCTTGCAACCACTGGGATACTGTGTCATAAGCTGAAGTAAAGCAGTGAGAGAGACAAAATGTAACTTGTGAACAGAAAAGTGTCCATTTTCCATGAGCTTTACATTTAAATACTACCTTTGGATTGTGAAGGATCACTGTTTCCCCTGTAGGGAGCTCCAAATTCGTCTTCCATTCGTCCAGCGTAACTGCAATCATATAGGCGTCCTGTTTTTTGATATAGAAAAAGTATTAAAAACTATACAAATTTAATTTATTCTAGAAAATCGGTGCATCTCACCTCTAGGAAATCACTGAGTTCCTCGCTATAGGGAGTGTAGATCACTTCTTTGCTGCCTTTGTGGAACCAGGAGCATCGTCTGACCTCGGTGGGCTTCTGTTCCCAATACACGGAGTAACGCTTTCTTTCACATAGCCTGACGTCATACCGTCTTCCATCTGTAGCCACAACCACTTCATCCTTTTCACTTTTCCCCACTGCAAACAAACCAGATCTCGTGGTTATCAGCCGAAACATACATATGCACTTGTGCTAATAAACTGACTATACTTTCAGCAGTTGCAACGAATAGGATTTAAAGTGTCCAGAAGGAGACAATGGGAGACCTCGACTGTGAGCATCCTCCAGTCGCCGTGAGTCTTCACTGCTGAAGGGTTGCCAGGTGTCCTTGGAGTCCACCTGCTTGTTGAAAAACCAGTGGTACTGGACGGGTTCATACGGCTCAGAAATATTCATGCTGAGAAGAGCAGAGACGCCACACCAAGACCAACGGACTGCAAATATAATGTTGCCATGTTTTTTTTAGTAAAACACTAATGGTCTCTGCGACCTCATTTGTGTACACACACACAAACACACTCAAACTTGTTTTTATATCTTTACACAGACTCTCCATTGACATAATGATTTTAATACTGTGCAAACTGTATATTCTATCCCCTAAACCTACCCATCACAGGAAACTTTCTGCATCTTTACATTTTCAAAAAATCTAATTTTACTATATTTGTGGGGACATTTGCTCCTCCCAAATATAGGTTAAATCACACACACACACACACACACACACACACACACACACACGGTCCTCTCAATGTAGGTTAAACAAGAACCCGCACACATACACACAAATATATATATTGGTCGCATTGGATAAAATCATCTGCTAAATGAATAAATGTTGATTGACATAAATAAACACATTAAACTATTTTTCTATATTTTACTATACTTCATATTGCTTCACTGAGTTTTTAAAGAATTATTATATTTCTTTTCAGGGTTTTATAAGACTTTTCTTTTTTTAAATGTCCAGCCAGTTACACCACCAAGACATTTTGGGTTTTATTGCTCTGCAATATATTTGGATAACTTTTTAACATCATTTAAAAAAAGAATAGCAACATAAAATGTTGTTAATATAATAACAACAGAAGTACATAACATAAAATATTGTCCATTTGCAATAAATAATAAAAAAAGCAAAATCACAGAAAATTGGAAAGCACAATATGACTTGAGATATATTTTTTTAATATGACTTTTTTATATATATATTAAATGAGCTTTATTTATTAATTAATTAATGATTCACATTAACATTAGCTGCCAGGAAATCTAAATAAACAAATAATAATAATAAAAATATTTTAAAAATATAAACAATCCAGTGCTTTCAAAGCATGTTTTCAGCGCTTTTTGTTTTTAGTTTGTTCCAAAAGATTTGAATATAATTTAGCCATTTTTAAAATGTGATAAAATTTGGTTTGCACTGAGCCCACTTCTTTTTAATGTATATGGTATTTTCCTAATAAATTAAATAAGTCATTCTGAGTATGAAAAAGCACACCAAATACACAAATTTCTATCATACACTTCAGTTTTCTATTAATCAAGATTTCTATATCTTTCCAAAATAATCTTAAGTAAATAGTGAAAAAAACAACAACAGATGCATAGGCTAGTTTCTTTTTCTAGTGCACAACATCCACAGGTAGCTATGAAATAAGCTTAAATCTTTCCAAAACATGCTTAGCAGGATACATTCTCTTAAGTATTTTGTATAAAACTTCCTTAATTTTGTTATTAACACAAAACGTTTTTGGCAATTTCAATGCTTTGTGCTTTAAATGACTTTTGACATTTTAGGAGAGCGGTTACGTCATCACTATGGTGCCCAGGCACCGCTTACGTAATATTGGATGAGGGCGCAGCAAAAACAAATGACTAGTTAAATTAGTTGGTTCACTGGCAGTGTGTTGTGGACAATACAAAATTACCAAACTAAAGTGTTTTTGTCATGCGGACCGCGTTTGCGTTGTACTGCAAAAGTAGGGCACGACATTTAAATGAGCGAGGACAATGAAACATATACAAACTGCATTTTATATGACCGTGCCAACTTAAGTATACAAGACTAGCACATAAATGACGATTCGATATATGAAAGAAAAAAAATGCATAGAAAAAAACAAATTGTATCACAATGTGGCATTGAGCTCTGGTTAAACGGGGTGGGGGGAGGAACTGCATATATTTAAGGGGGACAAGCACGGACTAATTTAAGTGAGGCACCAAACTCATGCGGGGAAGACGCCACACAAACACGGCGCTGAGAAAGAATTGGGTGAGTAGTATAGTAATTGTGGGGGGTTTCGTGTGATAAAGGGGATAGTGTGCATGGGATTTAAGTGTATGTGTTTGTAGACCGCAAGCACTCCCGAGAACCCCGGTAACCAGAGCGGCCTGAGTGTCAAATTGATGGTTTAAAGGTATGAAATGTTTGTTTACTTAAATGTGTATATTATTTCTGTATTATGATTATTTGATTTAAGTGATGTATGTGAATTGATTTATTTTTGGTGTTTGTAACAGATTGCCTCGGTTTTGATTTAATTTGTCCTGTTTTGTTGATTGATTTGGTTATTTATAGTTGATTTATTTTGTTTTGTTTTCTTTCTTTAATTGTTGGGTTTTCTTTCTTTGAATCCTTGGTTATGTCCCATGCTGTCCCGGAGTAAGGGTGAATGTTTAAAAAACCGATTTTAAAGAATGTGTCAATAAAATGAGTATTTATTAAGATATTTTAGTACCTTGTAATCAGTGTAAACACCCACACAACAGAATTATGGCGACGAGGTGGGATCCCTAATTTAGGTGTATTCCTTTTTATTTTTTTTTTTTTCTCTGTTGTTGTTTCTTTGTTTTTTTTGTTTGTTTGTTTTTTTGTTCTTGAGGACAAATTGAATCAAAACCGTGGTGAAGACGGAGACGATCGGTAAAGAAGGGCCAAGGACCACAGAGGATCATAATGGAGGAGCTTCAGGATCAGCTGGCAGATCTAAGGAGGAGACTAGCGCGGGAGAAAGAAGAGAAGGATAGACTGGCTATTGAGAACGAGAAACTGTCAAAGGGTACTGTAATGGACACTGGGACTGTGCGGCAAGAACGAAGCACAACAAAGGTAGAGGTGGTTTATGTTCCCAGAGAGAAGAGATGTAAAGTTTATACTGGTAAATCTTCAAGTGTACCTCTGAGTGATTGGATTGAGGACCTGAAAAGTGTATTTAGGGCCCGTAACTTTACATCAGACCAGGCAGTTGATTACATTTGGGAACATCTAGATGGGGAGGCAAAACAAGAAATTAAGTATAGATCTAAGGAAACACGGTCCAAGCCAGAGGGGATTTTTGAGGCTTTGCTTGAAGTATTTGGAAGTGCTCAATCATTTACTGCATTGCAGAGACAGTTTTTTGAAAGGCAACAAGGAAAAACTGAAACCCTAATTGAGTTTTCACATGCATTAATGGCTTTGTTAAAAGAACTAAAAAGTTGTAACCCAAGGGGTGTGTCCGAAGAGGATGTAATGCTTAGGGATCAGTTTGCAGAGAATGTGAGAAGTAAAGAACTCTGTAGAGAGTTAAAAAGAATGATAAGACAGAATCCAAGCTTAACATTCCTTGATGTTCGGAAAGAAGCTGTTGAGTGGGCTGGTGATGGGGTGAGGGTTTCTGAAACATCGTTTGGGTCTGAGAATCTCAGTACTATAGATAGTGAAGCAGTGATTGCAAAACAGAGTACAGATCCAATGTTAGTAGAGCTGTTTGGTATGGTGAAAAGTCAGCAAAAGCAATTAAGTGATTTAACTGAGAAAATGTCCAATTGGCAAGCCTTTAATAGGCAGCAGCGGGGAGTGTCACGAAGATTGTATTCCTTTGATCCTTCGGGACAGCCTATTTGTTTCAAGTGTCAGAAAGTGGGACATATTGGGCGTTATTGTAGTGAGATTGTGAACCCCAGTCAAGTATGGGGGCAGCAGAGACACCCTGCGGATGACGTATCCAATCCCCAAGCCCAAAGGCCTGGGCCGTTAAACTAACACCCCTTGCTGTGGAGAGCCACACAGTAAGCGAGGGGTTACCTGGCTCTGTGGTTCAAGGAACTAGCCCCGAAATTTTCAAGCAATTGGTGGGGCAATGTCCAGTCACTATTGTGAAGATGGGGGGTGTTAAAATAAATAGCTTGATTGACACTGGCTCTATGGTTTCCATGATAACTGAGAGTTTTTTTAAACAGCACATTGCAGGAAAGGATGTAGATGCATTGAAAGAGTGTGGTTGGCTGGTGTTAAAAGCAGCAAACGGCCTCGATATCCCATATGTGGGTTATCTAGAGCTAGATGTTAATATCCTTGACCAAATTCTTCCAAAACAGGGGGTGTTGGTGGTGAAAGACACATTTGACACAGAGACAAGGGAGAGAAAGAAACTGGTTCCTGGTTTAATCGGTATGAATGTAATTCAAAATTGTCATGACCTTTTGAAGCAGGAATTTGGGTCCCAATATTCAAAAAGTTCTATGATGCAGCAATGTGAGGCTTCTTTGAAACGGGCGTTGGAAATCTGTCAATTGTACGATACACAAAATCAGTCTTTTGTGAACCTGTTGGCCCAAAGTCCAGTCAAGGTGCCCGCAGGTACGCTTCAATTGGTTTGTGCAGCGAGTGGGTATACTAGACTCATGCCAAATGAGTCTTTGCTTTTAGAGCCTCTGATAGAGAGTGAGGGGAGTTTACCAGCAGACCTTTTAATTATAGGTTCAATAGTGTCCCCAGAAAAAGGACAGTTGCTAGTCCCAATTATGAATGTGGGGACTAGTGAGGTTATTTTGTACCCACATGTTCGACTAGCGTCTGTACACAGGGCTGAAGTGGTGGTCAGTGGAGGGGATCTCGATATTCAGTTTACCCCAGTACAGGAAGAACAAAATTGTACGGTTTTTATTGAGCAAAGTAATGTGTCACAGTCAGGGGTAACAGCCGCTCAACAAGTTCGGACCCTTAATTTTCCTCTGTTGAATGTGGAACATGAAGGAAAGGCTAGGAGATTATTGAATAAATATGCCTCTGTGTTTGTTGAAGGAAGTGGGGAGGTGGGGTATACTGATTTGATTGAACATCAGATCCCATTGGTAGACGATGCTCCAGTTTGTCAAAGGTATAGAAGGTTGCCCCCTACTCAATATGAGGAGGTTAAAGCTCATATTAAAGTACTTTTAGAGCAAAATGTAATTAGGGAAAGCTGCAGCCCATATTCGTCACCGATTGTGATTGTAAAGAAGAAGGATGGATCAATTCGGATGTGTGTGGATTATAGGCAGTTGAATGCTAAAACCAGAAGAGATTCATATCCACTGCCTAGAATTGAAGAATCTTTAGATGCGTTGAGTGGAGCGCGTTGGTTTTCCACTCTGGACCTGGCAAGCGGATACAATCAAGTGGCAGTGGCAGAAAAGGATAAACAAAAGACTGCTTTTTGTACGCCGTTTGGCCTGTTTGAATATAATCGTTTACCATATGGTTTGTCCAATGGGCCAAGTACTTTCCAGCGTCTGATGGAACGTATATTCAGTGATGAAAGTTTTCAGTCAGTGCTCTTGTATTTGGATGATGTGATTGTGTTTTCGTCAACAGTGGAGCAACACCTGGAGAGGTTGGAGAAAGTCTTGCAACGATTTCAGCATCATGGTCTCAAAGTTAAGCTCAGTAAATGCTGTTTTTTTCAACAAGAGGTACGTTACTTGGGTCATGTCATTTCTAGTGAGGGGGTGGCAACAGACCCTGAGAAGATTCAAGCAGTAGCAGAGTGGGCGAAACCTCAGACCGCAAAGGAGCTTAGATCTTTTTTGGGATTTGCAAGCTATTACAGACGTTTTGTGCAAGGATTCGCCAGGATTGCAGCACCACTACATCAGTTGGCTGCTATTGGGGAAATACCAAAGGGTAAGAAGCAGAAGAAAAGAGTATATTTCACTAGTGAACAATTCAGACAGAGGTGGGATGACAAATGTGAAGAAGCTTTCCAAACACTGAAAAGGAAATTAACATCTGCTCCTGTGTTAGCTTATGCTGATTTCACTAAGCCTTTTTTTCTGGAAATAGATGCCAGTCATACAGGACTCGGAGCGGTGCTCTCCCAGGACGTGGGAGGTAAGCGGAGGCCAGTGGCCTATGCTAGTAGAGGTCTGAGGGAGTCGGAGCGTAATATGGATAATTACAGTACAATGAAGCTGGAGTTTCTGGCCCTTAAATGGGCAGTAACGGAGAAATTTCGGGACTATTTAATTGGTAATAAGTTTACAGTGTTTACAGATAATAATCCTCTGAGTCATTTGAAGACTGCCAAATTGGGGGCTGTGGAGCAGCGATGGGCTTCGCAGTTGGCCATGTTCGATTTTGAAATTTTGTACCGTCCTGGGAAGAAGAATGGAAATGCCGACGCCTTGTCTCGACAAAAGTCGGTAGGAGGACGACAGCTGGCCGTGTCAGAAGAAGTGACCCCCACATTCAATGGTGGTTGTGGACTGGAGGATGGAGACAATGGGAGTATTTTGCCTCAGTCTGTAACTACAGTGGATGTTATTTCTGTTTTCCCTGAATTTCAGACACAAGATCTGCAAAGCTGGCAAGGACAGGATCCAGCTATTTCACGGTTCAAGTTCTACTGGAGTAAGGGGGAAGGGCCAGGTAAGAAAGAAAGAAAAGAGGAGTCAAAAGACGCACTGGAGCTGTTAAGACAGTGGGATAAAGTGGAAGCTCATGAAGGCATCTTTTATAGAGTCATTGCAGATGCTAGAGGGGGCTGGGTAAAACAGCTTCTCTTACCTCAAGTCTTAAAGCAGGAAGTCCTGGGTCAGCTGCATGACCATCAAGGTCATCAGGGGATTGACCGAACGTTTAAGCTAGTACGTCAACGCTTTTATTGGCCCGGGATGTACCAGGATGTTCAGGAGTTCTGCAAACATTGTCTTCGATGTATTGTGTCTAAGGATGTTCAGCCTAAAGTAAAAACAGCGATGAATTGCATTCAAGCATCTAAACCCTTGGAGGTTGTGGCATTGGATTTTACGTTGCTGGAACGTTCCCAGAGTGGAAAAGAAAATGTGCTTGTTATAACGGATGTATTTTCTAAATTCACAGTAGCTGTACCTACAGCTGATCAGAGGGCCATAACAGTGGCAAAGGTGCTGGTCAAGGAGTGGATTCATCGATACGGAGTCCCAGCCCGGATTCATTCTGACCAAGGACGGTGCTTTGAGGCTGAAGTTGTGCAGCAGTTGTGTAGAATGTATGGCATACAGAAGAGCCGAACAACAGCATTTCACCCCCAAGGTAACGGGCAGTGTGAACGTTTTAATAGAACTTTACATGATCTCCTCAGGGCCCTTCCTTCCGAAAAGAAAAGGAGATGGGATGAGTACTTGCATGAAGTATTGTTTGCATATAATACTACTGAAAATGCTACGACTGGATTTTCCCCATTCTTTTTAATGTTCGGCAGGAGCCCTGACCTACCAATTGACCATTGGTTGAGGAGTGGGACAGTGGAAAAGAAAGGAGAAGGTAATGTGGAGACCTGGGTGATTGAACATCAGCACAGACTGCAACAGGCTTATAGGCTGACACGGAGACGGTTGCGGAGTATGGCCAAGCAGAGACAAAGACAACAAGGGGTGATCAAAGATTCCAGTTTGAATCCAGGGGATTTGGTTTATCTGCGTAATCGCAGAGTGAGAGGAAGAAATAAAATCCAGGATGTTTGGGAGGATTTGCCTCACTGTGTGTTGGAAAGATTGGACCCGGACAAGGCGGTGTATAAGGTAGTTCCAGTGGATCAATCGCGTCCACCAAAGAATGTGCATCGTTTGGAGCTACGCCGTTGTGGACCTCTGCAGAAGGAGCCTGTGTGGTCAAGGGAGCATCAAGGGACCGACTCAAGTACAAGCCTGGCACCGTCAGAGTCTGAGCCTGAGGAGGATTGGGAGGAGCTCCGACTGGTGGTACAAGAGCACCTGTCTTCGGGGGTGGAAAGGGAAATGAGTACAGAAGAGGTAGCTTCCAGAGATGACGAGAAATCAATAACCACGGGGACCGACTCTACTGTTCGACGCTCCCAGAGGGCCAGAGCTGGACAGCATAGTAATCCCTTTAGGGAGCCACGATCGGTGCAGGGTATGGAAGCTGCAGCAATTCCCATAGGGTTAAATGATGGCTTAAGACCCCCTTCTAGTGAAGTTGGGGCAATGGAGACAGTCTTAGAGCTTTTGCTGCAAGTGATGCATGAATTAAAAAGAGTGAGGAGAGGTGGTTAAGGTTGTTATTTGTGAGGATGTTGTCAGGAAATGTACATAGTGAATCATCGGGACGATGATTTGACAAGTGGGGGGTGGATGTGGCATTGAGCTCTGGTTAAACGGGGTGGGGGGAGGAACTGCATATATTTAAGGGGGACAAGCACGGACTAATTTAAGTGAGGCACCAAACTCATGCGGGGAAGACGCCACACAAACACGGCGCTGAGAAAGAATTGGGTGAGTAGTATAGTAATTGTGGGGGGTTTCGTGTGATAAAGGGGATAGTGTGCATGGGATTTAAGTGTATGTGTTTGTAGACCGCAAGCACTCCCGAGAACCCCGGTAACCAGAGCGGCCTGAGTGTCAAATTGATGGTTTAAAGGTATGAAATGTTTGTTTACTTAAATGTGTATATTATTTCTGTATTATGATTATTTGATTTAAGTGATGTATGTGAATTGATTTATTTTTGGTGTTTGTAACAGATTGCCTCGGTTTTGATTTAATTTGTCCTGTTTTGTTGATTGATTTGGTTATTTATAGTTGATTTATTTTGTTTTGTTTTCTTTCTTTAATTGTTGGGTTTTCTTTCTTTGAATCCTTGGTTATGTCCCATGCTGTCCCGGAGTAAGGGTGAATGTTTAAAAAACCGATTTTAAAGAATGTGTCAATAAAATGAGTATTTATTAAGATATTTTAGTACCTTGTAATCAGTGTAAACACCCACACAACAACAAGGACAATTGATTTAATGACACTAATACTGTTTGGAAATCTTTAAAACACGATGTCAAGACTGACTACTTACTGGTCGTAAGTATTACGAACGTTTATCATCTGATACAACAACAAATGAAGGCAAATAAGAGGGAAAAACATAATAATGCATCGCATCGCAATCTACTCACCGGCTGCTCGTAAGGATGCCCGCTTAGGACAAAATTGACTTCTGACAGAGAGAGCAAACCTCACACACTGTAATTCACCATGGTGGTCAAGTCCGAAGTAAATGCAATGCATCTACCGGGAGCTGAAACCTTATAAGTATTCTTTGAGTCTAAAGGTCGACTGATAGGGGGAATTTTGAAATAATCAATCAACAACAGATACTGCATTTCACCATGGTGAGATGGGTTATTATGCGTCAATGAATCTGAAATGGTGTTCATAATCTCATGCATAATGATCTCAGAATAACAAATGATGCTTAATATTCTTTAGTTGTCAGTGTCTTGCATAAGATATGTGTCATTTTAGAGTTTATATTTAGAAAGACCACATTGGAGAATGGACTTGTATTGTATTCTATTTTATTTTTCAAATATTTAAACAACTGTTTGACCAGACATTTAAATTAGTTGCTTTCTTCTGTTGAACACAAAATAAGATATATTTAAAGAGTTGACCATAAGATATTTGAGAAGCCATTGACTTTTCAATAGTATTTTTTCCCTACACTATGGAAGTCAATGGCTACCGTCAAAGTTTCATTACTAGTTTTATAAAGTTTAGAATCATGGTCATAAAAAACACAAATGTAAGAATACTGATTAAATAGTGACCAAAAATACAAACCGAAATCTTGAAGCTTCTTCAAAGTTTATATAAACTTATTATATTTAGTTATCTATTATATATAGTCATACAGTTTGAAGTGGTTTTATTTTCTATTCAGGTTTGTAATTTGACTGTTAAAAAAATGTGACTGTATACAGCTTAAAATAATTTGTAATTTTGCAAAAAACAAAACAAACAAACATTTAAATAAAATCTACACAAGAATGTTACAAATGTGGCCTGAATAAAGCTTGGGACCAAAGGTTGTTTTGTAGGTACTGATAAACTTTAATAAACTTAATTTCTAATAAATTAAATATTAGATCATTGATAGCTCTGTGTAACAGGGTTAAGCAGACGTTGAGTTTGACAAATGTCATGACTACACTTTGTATAAAAATTGAGAAACTAAAATACCTGAAATTTATCTTCCATGTTGTAGCTAGTTTCCAAATTATGCTTGTTCTTGGATGTTACATTTTTATAACAGAGAACATTGTGTAACATGGTTGCATGCAAATTGTGAAATGTTCTTGATATAAAATGAGTTAGTTAAAAATAGCTTTACCAAATATGTCAGAAATCTGACATTGTTTTTATGATTGTTGATGCTGGGATTGTTGACCACAGATGCTGGGACCTCGTAGTGAAGGTCATAGTTTATCAAACATATCTAATAGTTCTCAGGAAATAAAACAAAACATTACAGACTCACTTCCAGAAGATTCCCAGAGTGATGTTCCATACTGTATCAGATAACAGATAATACAGAGCAAAGGTCTCCTCACAGCAAGTAATCTTCTTCAGTGTTGACAGACATTGAAATGTCGAATGATCTGCTCAAGTTCCAGCTGATACATTAGAAATCATCACAAACTTTATTGACAAAGATATCAGGGGATTTCCCATATGCATACAGTCTCTACTGGAGGTCTCTATAAATATGTCTGCCACATTGTAAAATTTACCTAGAAGCTGTTTTAACATACATAAAGTTCTTTCACCAGGATAGTTCACATACACATTTTCAAAGAGATTGATAAGTTACAAATTGTTAAAGACATTTTCAAAAAGACAGCTCTACAATACACAAAACATTCATCGTGAATGTCTAAAACGGTATAGGAAGGCAACGTACTCGCTGGTTGACAGGCGGCACACATACAAAAAAATTATAATTACATAATCGCAGCAACTGGCTTGGTAAACTTTCACACAGTATATGGTTGTTGGTCGAGTTCAGGTGTAACAGAATTCGAGTTCCTACAAAGGTAAGAGGTAGCCTGGGTTGGCCGGCTTGCGTTCCTGTGCAAGAGCCGCTGCCTCTCTCATTCGGAGGGGTCTGTGGCAGTTCGAGTCGTTGAGAGCTGGGTAATGCTGTCGGTAACACAAGTACGAGAAGGCCAAACCGAGGAGAGATCCCACCAACACATCTGGAAGTGAACGGGAGACCGTGTCATTGCCTTGAAACATACATGTCACTAGAGCAGTGATGATGGTGGCATGTAATTCTCACCTTGCCAGTGATGTTTGTAGTCACATGTTCTGGAGAGGGCGATCATGATGGCGAAAAGGAGGGGGGTGAGGAAGGCACACAATCTCCAGGCTTTACCTCGGCCAGCTGGGCTAAAACAGTGCAGCTTCCCAGCCACGTACAGGGCAGTGAAGCCCAGACCAGCAAACGCAACTATGACAACAACAAAAAACTTAGAAAGTTGGTGGCTGAATGTTCAGAGAATATGAAGTCATATTTTGTTTTACACACATACACATATACATGTATATAAATAAGATCAGTACGATCTTTTAAACTATCTTTTATACAGCAATGCATGTAAATGGGGATTATTTTGACAACGTTGTCTTCTGTACACGGAAGATGCAAAGGAAAATCTTTTCCATTTTTTGGTACATTGTTGTCGTGTAAACGTACTCTTAAATTTTAATATTTATGCAGCCTTGGTGAGAGTAAGAGACTTTTTTCAAAAACGTAAAAAAATCTTATTGACCACAAACTTTTGAACAGTGGTATAGAAACAAAGATTTATTTATACTATATTATTATTAATTTATGATTTTTTTTAGTGTATTTGGAGTGTAAAATAAGTTTAAAGTCATTTAAAGTCAACATGAAATCAAAATTGTCCCTATTGACTGACATTTTTTTTAATACATCTTCCAGGCTTTATGGTGCATGAGTCAGTGATGCCCTTTACTCCAAACTAAACAAATCGCACGTTGTAATCTTTTATGAAATGTACCAAAATCCCCTCTGAAGCAATCGACAGAAATATAATGGGTCATGAACAATGTTTCAGGTTGACTTTAAAAAAATGCCACTAAATAAACACAGCAGCTGCTCTTACAGGAAGAGTGTCCGCTTGGAAAGCTCTTCCTGCCTTCCATTACTATATCCGGGTCACCGCTACAGTGAAGCTCTGGGTTCATTTGGCCATCCGGGAAACAGCGGTAGAAGAAATCCGGTCGTGGCCTGGTATGGAGGGAGACATTAAGTTGAATTGTGCCTGAGAGTATCTAGTCCTCTCTACTAGTCTTTCCACAAATGCTTCATTTTTGCTGAAAGTCAATGAGAGATCTTAATCTAATCTAAAATGTAAAAAAAAAATCTAATTAAACACCACATTAATCTGAAATTATTTACAAAACAAAGTTATGTAAAATGGATTGAGATGAATAAATTTAGAAAATTTTACAGTCCTGCAGTGATGTGGGATATTGAGATGGACATTAACACAGTTTGGTGCAAAGTTAACATTGTGCTAAGATTGGTCACTCACTCACTCACCTTCCCACGGCTAGCTTGACTGCATTAGTGAAAACTCCATTTAACACCAGGGTCAGAGTCACAGCTGTGTCATACAAAACACATACAGAGATTTCCATTAGCCGGCAATAACACAAAAGATTATGAGATCATCATTTGATACTTTTACAGATTTCACTATAAACAAACATTACTGGGAGACATTCAACTATTCTATAATATATGTATATTTTATATGAACTCAACAACAACATAACACACAAACACATATATATATTTTATATATAATAGATTTTTTAACACACACATATACATTATATAAATATATATGTGTGTATTAAAAAATCTATTATATATATATTTATTTATTTAATAATTATTCATTTTTATTAATTTATTTATTACACGGCTCTGTGGAATACTTGATTCTGATTGGTCAATCGCGCCATCCAACCGTATGTTATCCCCCGATAACAACCGCTGAAAACAGATAACACAGCCTCATCCGGGTCACTGAAGTCGTCAGCGCTATACACTTTTGTTAGGAATGGTATTTCTTTGTGGAAGTTTTGCATTTGGTGAGGTAATAAAATATTAAAAATCAATATTTTGAGTACAGATATTAAATTATGCCATCCAGTATCACGGATTCGCTCTGTTGTTTCATACAAACGAAGTTTTGTGTCGAAATTTACGTGGCAAGTAGCCGTGTAATAAGCGGGATAATGCACATTCAGCCGGTTGTCATCACAGAATAAACCCTGACAGAGTGATTAGGACCCCGTCACCCGACTTTCAGTGTTTATTCAGCGATAACAACCAGATGTGCATTCTCTCTTACATATATCCTGAAGGATGAGTCCATATAAATAATAACCGAATGATGAGTCCATATAATTCATAAATTTATGCAAACCAAAACACACACTGAAATTAATTATGAACTGAAAACTTAATTTATGCGATTAATGCTTAATGTGTTCAAAACATTTAACGTAATTAACGCAGCATTTATTTTTTCTTTCTGGCATCCTTTGGCAGTGTAAAAGTATAATTAAAAAGAAAAGATTATGTAAAATTATTATATTTAGAATTATTTAATCATGATTACTTGTATTTAATTTATATATGTAAATATTTATAAAACACACACTTAAGTCCTTACCCAAAGATGCCTCTTTCATATCTTCCTTTCCACCTTGTTTCAAGAAGGTAAACAAAGAAATAACCACCAATGGAGCGAAGAGGGCGATGGACTGTTTAATCAGATAAAAAAGGGTAATGATATCCCTTTAATCAAATCACCTGCATGGCATATTCAAATACAGTTTAATGGCTGAATATGAGTGGTAAGCACTTACAAACATAAGGCGGGTAGGAACACGGTCCTTTTTGACGGGATGGAACTTATAGAGCCAGAGTTCCTCAGGCTGGATCTCGCGGCTGAATGGAGGAATCCCCTCAGTCACGCTACAAGAACATAATAAAAGTGAGAGAACAATCCTCATCTCCACAAAACAAACAAACAGAGGCACAGCTCAGGAGAGCTGCGAGAGAACCTGGCATAACAGGTTATGAATAAAGAGGATACCGCCGGTTAGATCCGTCAAACCCATACAAGTAGTTCAGGTCAAGGGTTGGGGTTAGTAATACAAGAATAAAGTGTACTTACAGAAAAACACCTAAAAGCAGCAGCCGTACAATAACTTCAGCAATGAAGCCATTATCAAAACTCTTCCTCATCTTTGGTCTTGGTTTGTCATTGAATATGGAGACACCTTCCCCTAAAACCTGGAAGAAAGTGGAAGATGATTTTGCATTGAACTGAAACCAAGAAGTCATTTACAGTAGATGCATTGAATTAAATATCTGTGAATCCAAGCAGGAACATTAAAGATTAACTTCATCACCAACAACCTTCCACCGGCATGAAATGAGAAGATATGATTGGGAATGTGATCAGCTGGTTAGTATTTTAAATCCAACATCATTCGAAAATAAACCATTAGAGTTATTCAAAAGTGGATTTATATTATATGTATTACGCCTGAGACACAAAACCCTGTTAGAAAAAATAAACTGTTTAAGATGGTTTCTGGATTCTAACTGGTGGTCATTACAAGCCAAAACTTGTTTCAAAAGTCAACCTGAAGTATCACCAGATAGCAGCTGGATTGTTGATGATCACCAACTAATGACCACCTTGGATCAACTAGAAACCATCTACAATGTGTCAAAAACCAGTTTAACCATCTTAAGATGATACATACAGCTGGTAGCTGGTTTGTGGGTGGTCCAAGATATCACTATTTTAACTAGGATAAACAAGTTGGTGGTCTAAGATGGTCAGCTTGGACCAACTAGAAACCAGCTACAATGTTAAAAAATACAACTTGATTTAGCAGTTTTTTCCTACAGTTCTAACACCGCTTAAAACATCCAGTTTAAGATGGTATCTTGATTTTAACTGGTCTATGATGGTCATTACAAGCTGGTTGACCAAAAACCAACCTGAATTATGACCTGCTAGCAGCTGGTTGGTTGCAATCACCACCTTAGATCAGCTAGAAACCATCTACCATGTTCCAGTTTAACTACCTGAAGAAGAAGGTATATGAACAGCTGGTGGCTGGTTTATTAATGGTCCAAGATGGATGGCAGATACCACAGTTTAAACCAGCATAAACAAGATGCCAGGTTTGTTACTAGTCTAAAATGGTCTACAGTTTAGAACAACTAGAAACCAGCAACCATATGTTCCAAAACACAGCTAGATGTAGCGTTTTCCAGCGCGGAAGTAAGGATCGAAATGTCCAAGTGAAACCTGAGCATCACTAGAGTCGACCCCAGTCGCGCGGCACATTTGTGATATTTGCTTACGAACATTTCCGCAAACACGACATCGCGCATCCTCCGTCTTTTGTCTGCAGCGCGGAGCTGAATACAGACCTTCGGATTCTTTCCTTTTCTGTTTAAACCGTCGCCTTGTCGGCTGTTGAGAGCAGCCACCGGAGCAGAATTTTGCGATGTTGTCGGTCATATATATTTGACATGTCCAGCAGCAGAAGCTGACCGCGGTACAGTTCCGCGATAAAGAGGTTTGACTGACGAGCCAGTGCACATACACCGACAATTAACACGTCAGTCCTTTCTGTGCTGTCCGAATCGCGGAGCCGTTCGATTGAACAGGTTCTTTTTACAGATTCGATAGAACCGATTCGCAGAGCCTTTGTGAATTACATGACAGTTAGTAGCCCTATGATGACTTTGGCATTCGTTTTTAAAATAACATTTTCGCTGTGAAAATTAATCAGATAATCCAAAGAATATTCCTAATACAAAATTACACTTTCATAATTTCTCTTTACTTACTTAAAACCAGCTGTCCTTAGATCAGGGTGAATTCGGGTTGATTAGGACACTTTTTACATGTCATCTCAATGGCAACAAGTGTCCTAAATTACCCTGAATTCACCCTATTGCTGAATACTATGCTATACTGTATACTCCTAAAATATTTTGAACTCAAACTTTTGAAAATATTTATGAAAACATTTCAAATCATGCAAAATCAAAGTCAGCCTTTTGCTATGAACTCAAAAATGTTACTGACTTATATGGTAAACAAATTAATGGAAAAAATAGTGATAGAAGTAATATTTAGATAAACGATGAACACGATGATTCGAATGTATTAGTGAATCACGAACGGTCCGAGCGAATCACTTCGCACGAATCTGACATTTCAGTCGTATTTTTATGAATCATGCGCCCTCTAGAGATTGTCACAGGCATTTAAAAAGCCCCAACCCTCGACAGTATTTTGCACATGCAAATTTCCTGAGCCACTGACATATATTTGAAGACATATTTACGACAAATTCATTCAAATGGAGATTCAAAGAAACACTTGAACATTCATTACAGTTTATTGAAGTCAAACCAGGCAAGTCTGAAAACGTTTAAATCTGTGGAATGTCGCTTAAAGTACTCTCAGAATAAATTATGAATTCTGAAGAAATACATCTCAAAAGTTGGTCAAATAAAATACAAGAAAAGAAATGTACAAAATGTTTCTACGTTCACAAACATTCAGAAGCATTATTACAAGCATTCTTAAGACACTACAATAATAATGACAATGGAGTTGTTTTTCTTTTTTCGCTTTCGACTATGTACAATTGATCAAGCATCATTCTCTTACACAATGCAATGACATAGGCTACATAACATAGCCAAAGAAATCTCTACATCATTAGAAAACTTGGAGAGGACATACATTCTACCCAAGCCATATCATTTAGGATAAGTTTTATTCAGTTGGAGTGTGTAATGTGATTCAATGCGCATGGTGAAAAATATTACAAGAACATTTAACTTTACACAAACTCTGTAACTCAGTAGCAAGAATTAGTAAACAGTCTATTTAAAAGGAATGTGAAATCAGTACACAGAAATCAAAGTGTAAGCTGGTAGGACACCACCTTTAGTAAATTTAGTTAACCAACACAAAGAACATGCTCGGATAGCACAAAATGATAATGACACCTTCAAATACACATAAAAAAAAATGTACACAAAGTACAGTGCACTGACACCAAACACTGGAATCAATGGAGGTAATACACTTTTAACATTTGATGCGGCAAAATCGATATAGCAACAAATCATCTACAGATCAGTTACTGAACCACTGCATAAACAACAAAAGAGGGTTTAAACAAACTGTCGAAATATCACTGGCAAATTCTAGTGATCATCCGTATCCGTTTAAACACGTAAAAAAAAAAGAAATAAAAAAAGGCCAAATATAGAAAATTAAAATGAGAGTAAAAATAGTACCAACAATGACCAGGCAAAACAAACATGTGCTTTGCATCCCGCCAACTGCATTTTCTTGATATTTTTAATCATAAACATAAGGGCAAATATTGGTATTTTCAGAAACAAGTGCCTATGAATTCTAAAAAATAAAAGTAAGCTATATAAAAATAAATGTAAACTATAAAAATATCGCATATCAGAACATAAACAAGCAAAAGAGACTCAAAATGCCTTCCATGTTTCAAAGACGACGCAGGCGCAAGTAAGAGCACACATTATTTTCATAAACATACAAATCTCAGTTTGGCAGTCAAATCGTCAGAATTCCTTAAATTTGCCGTCGGATGCAAGGATCCAGTACAGATATCCACCAACAACGCTCCATTTCGAGACCAAATAACAATAAATACAGAAATGAACAAAAAGCAAAATGGACACGATTCAAGTAAAATGAAACTTGCAGCGCTTTCCCTCCTTTCCATAAAGTGACAAACATACTGGTGGTGCCATCACGTATAATACTTGTACTGTGGTCTATAAAAACGTTCATGTGAAATGACTAACGAGTAAGTATACAAAGCCCATGTGCCGAAGCCGTCGAGATCGAGTCTTCATCCGTGCAAACTGTGGCACAGCACGACTGCACAGCTACCAGTAACAAGAGAGTAACAGTTCCACTTTACAGCACAGGCATCAAAGCTATTGAGTTAAGTAGATTCACATCAAGAACAAGTCACAGAGAGGAATATGCTACACTCTGCCGTAAACCGTACAGCCCTCCCACTACATCCGACGGTTCGGTTTTTAGCAAAGAAGCGCGTGTCGTTACAACCGAACGCAATCGACGAACGATGCTTAAGGAGATAAACCAAAGTGTGCGGTTAAGGTACGGTTTGATACCTTTGAAATGAGTACGCCAATATACGAAGCGTGAAATACGATCGAAAATAAAAAAACTGTAAGTCTGATTATATTTACACTCGGAAACAAATGTAAAGCAAAAAAAAATAAAAAAAATAAAATAAATCACATTATTTAAAGATTGTACTCACAGTCTCACAACTAGCGCTGCTCGGAAACATATGGGTTCCTCGTATTTGATATAACACACTGGCACCTGTTCAATACTCACAATGGTAAATATCTGTTTAAGACACATGGCAGTGTTGGAGTATATGTGGCTTAACACTACACCGTCAAATGTTACCGTTTGGACACGTCGGAACTGATCTTCTCGGGTGACCGATAGTTATTTCTAACACTTCTAACTCTGAATTTTTACTCAATGGACCAAAAGATGAGGGCAATACAGTACCGGCCAAGCAATTATGTAATTTTGCTGACAAAAAGGGCACATATACAACAACACGATTAGTGATATCAAATTGACTAATACAGATGAATAATACTGTACATTGTGAATGGATGTAAACATCGACATAAATATATTAATGATTATATATCTTACAAATCACAAACTCACTGGAGGAGGGAGGAGGGGGGGGGGGGGGGGGGGGGCAGTTGAACAAACCTCGTATGTCTTTTGAATCAATCTTTTTTTTTCTTTTTCTTTTTTTTTTGATGTTACGACAGGCTCATATTCAGACGTAGTGAAATCCTACTGGAGAGGGGCGAATGGTTGCGCCCGACACATATTACAACAGTCTTTGCTATTTACATGAGGTACATAAATAAAGTTCTTGGTTTAAAGTGTTTATAGCGTGTTTTTAAAGTACCATAGATGTGGAAACTGACTTTGCCGCTGAAAGGCGTCGCTTTAACCGAGTGTGTTTTTTTTTGCCGAAACGGAGCACGTCTGAAAAAACAGGGAGAATTAGCTGGGAGCTTTTGCTTATAAAACAAGAAGTGAGTCGCTTATATTGTTATATAAGCCCGTATGAATTTGACATGAGGCCGTAAATAGTGATATGTTCGAAAAATTCATATCAGCTGTTGTAGATTTGGAATGAATCAAACCAGTTTGTCAAGTCCACTTGCTTTAAATGAAAAGTGGACCAGCTAGCTGCATGTATCTACTGTAGTTTGAACTTTCATGTACTTTGAAGTGGCTTTCAACGCTTTCTTGGTGCTTTGGCCCATTCACTCTCCCTCTCCCCCCTCGTCGTCGTCCTCTTCCTCCTCGTTGCCGTCGTCCCCTTCCTCTCCGGGTTCCATCAGTTCCTTCTTTACAGCGAGCTGGCTAGTGTTAGCCTGAGGCCCTAAGGGTCTCTGGGGGTCGTGGTTGGAGCAGCAGGGCCGGTTGTCCAGGGCAGACACTGCCAGCTGTCCTCTCTCATGCTCTCGGCAGAAGGAGGCGGGGCAGAAGTGGCAGAAGGAGGCGGCGGCGCGCTGGCACACGCTGCACTGATGCCAGGGGCATTCCCATCGCCCTGAGAAAGACAGAAGAAACACATCAATCGCACAACAGGAAAGCAGCTCAAGAGAACTTTTGCTACTCAATTCCTTTTCTATTTAATAGATTAATATTGGCAAGATCTCCTTCAGATTGAATTGTCTCTCCATCAATTAGGGTTAGAAGAACTGTTGCCAAAAATGCTAGAAACATCATAAATCACAGCAATAATAATCCAATAATAGACTCTTAAGCATTTGCCGATTTAAATGAAAACACTGTGACTTTTTTTTGGCCAGGCAGTGTTTTTTTTGTTTTGTTTTTACAAATATCATTAATTATTCTTCATTCATAAATCAAGTTGTAAAGTGGGGAGTCACACCACATAACATTTTACAACCTGAACTAATCTTGTTTGAAAATAGCCGTTAATTTGACCTGTTATGACAGAGACTTATTGGCCTTGACACGATCATGAAGGTCTGCAGGGGTCCGCTCTATGATATCATTTCTGGTTTTGTTTTTTACCCCCTGCATATTGGTTTTGATCAAAATGAAGAAAATATTTTTGATAAATAAATGTTACAAATTTCACACATATATATATATATATATATATATAAAAACATTTTACTTACAAATTTTATTTAATAATTTCATGCTTTTAGTGAGATCCCCCCTTTATTTAGCCTGGGAAAACCCAGACAACTTCCGGCAAATTTGGATTTGCTCTGAAAGTTAGTCTGGCAAAGAGCTGATTCGAGCCCATTTCCAATCCGCCGAAATCAAGGCACCAATCAGAAACGTTGGGGCGGGCTTTACACGATGACGAGAGCGCTGGGATTTTGAAGCAGATTTTGTAGCCTACATTACAAAGATGGATGCTGCCATCGAACATACCTCGTTCGAATCAGCTATCGCGTCTGTTTTAAGCGATTTGAATGTTTCCTTTTTGTTAAAAACCGAGCAAAGAACAACACTCGGGAGATGTTTCTCCGCCGCTCTGCATACGTCATCTCCTTCATCGCTCTGATTGGTTTTAGGTCTATCCGCGACGTCCGTTGGTGACGCCCCTCTGGAAATGATTTGTCTATGATGCTTTGCCAGACCATAACTCAGTTACAACTGAGAATGGTCTGGTTTTAACCAGGCTACCCTTTATTATGACATCAGGACAGTTGTATTATCTTGACTTTTTTTTACTTTATTCTATCTCCAAAATGTTTTCATTATTAAAAAATCTGAGCTGATATGTACCTCTGGTAATTGTTGTAATAAAAATAGTTAAACTCAAAAATATGATGTCAATTTAATGCTGTACATTTTTAGCATTAATGATCTATATTTTAGACATTAATGGTATGGAAATCTTAATGTAATGTCCATCCAGAATGTAGCAGCATTGGTCACCTCAGGACGAATTTCCCACAGTCGACAAGAAGAGCTGAAGTGACGGACAGCACGTACCGTATGGAGGTTTAGTCAGGTTGAGGCAGAGGAGATGGTAGGCCTTCGGGCAATCTTTTTTGTCACACATGACCAGCTCTCCTCCCTCTCCACAGCAGTAGCAGTAATACTCATGGGTCTGTTTGCTCTCCGCCTTCAGTTTGCGCTTCTTGGGCTTGAGTTTAGCATTGCGCACCTTCTCTTCCCTCTCCATAACCACTGCACTCTACATGAAGCGAAAAAAGGTTTAAGACAGACATGATGATGATAGAAAAAGAAAAGGACCAAGGAACCAAGAGAAAAACAAACATCAAACTAGAGTTAAATAAAGCGCAAATACACCTCAGCTATTGGAAACTTCAGAGAATTGTCAATGGTGCAACAGGAAATCATGGGTAAGCATTTCATGTGTTCCTGTCAAATTCAATAAGGCTTTACCTTGGGCTTGACTCCAAGAAAACCACTGCAGTTCTCGGACCCGCAGTGGCACGATGTCCTCCCATTACCCAGACAGTCCAGGTTGTAATTAAAGGTCAATTCCGTGTCTGAAGAAAATATGATTGTCAATTAGCTTCTAAACAAACATTTTGTCACTTTTTCAAAGAAAATACTTTTATTACTTTTATATTTCTTACCAGCAGCGATATCACACAAAGTGAAGAGTCCTATCCGCACATCTCCGTTCACGGTCCACTTCTGAGTCTCACAGTTGGGACTGCAGCTGTGGTTCATAAAGCGTGACAAATTCCCTTTGGGTCCAGCATCAATCACACGATCCTGAGAAACACAGGAGGGTTGACTTTACTACAGCTGAGATGACGTGATAATGTGACATGCACAAAGTGGACATGAAACAGTGGTACCTTTGTGAGGGTCAGCATGTAAAAGTTGGTCACATGATTCTCATTAGCATTTCGTATTCGTTGCTTGCACTCCTCTGAGTCAATCAGTTCCCCAACATACTCCATGACGAAATCCCCCTAAATGCAACCAAACAATGCCCAAAAGATCAGTTAAAAACACCTGACACAATGAAGATCAAGTAGAAAATATTCACAAAAAGCTTTTCACATCAAATATTTCACACTGGTTATTTTAGACATTCCAAAAAAGTAAGAATACCTGAATTAATTGTTCTACATACATTAAATTACATCTATTTATTACTAGACACAAAAATAATTCATAATAATAATATGTGATATTTCAGATATTAGGCTATGTGAAGGAGGTATACATAAAATTGCAATTTGTTTGTTTTTTCATGTAGCTTTTTTTTAGTGCTGAAAAGCAGGTCACCATCTCTAAAATAAATAAATAAATAAAAAAAATGAGAGTATTCTTCTTATATTTACTTAAAAAAATACTAGATACTACTCTCACCAACAGCAATTTCTGACCTATTAAATATTTTTGAGTTGAGCAAAACAGTGTTATTTTAGTATTTTTACACACTATTACTTATTATATAAATATAATATTATTTATTACTATAGTACTATTTATTAAGATTTTGAATTAGCTTTTATTTAAAAAATTTTTTAGTTTTCATTTGAACTTGTTTAGTTATTAGTAACTTTGTTATGTTTTTTAAATTATTTATTATTATTATTTTTTTAATATTATTCAATTTCATTTCTTTCCAGTTAATAATTTTAGTGGTTCAACTTAAACTTAAAGGGATAGTTCACCCTAAAATGAAAATTCTGTCATAATTTACTCACCCTCAAATTGTTCCAAACCTGTATGAATTTCTTTCTTAAATTGAACACAAAAGAAGGCATTTCTAAAAAATCCGGTAACCAAACAGTTGACGGACGTCATTGACTTCAATAGTATAGGAAAAAAAATACTATGGAAGTCAATGGGGCCCATCAACTGTTTGGAAATTCATACAGGTTTGGAACAACTTGAGTGTGAGTAAACGACAGAATATTTTAAAAAAAAATTTGCCTGAACTATCCTTTTAATCTAGTTGTCAATGCGACATTTCAAATGTTTTATTTATCTAACATTTTATTTTAACTATTTCAATTGACAAATATTTTAATAGTTTTGGTTTAGAATAACCCTGGAGCATACCTAGAAATATTTAGTCACTATAGGAATTTACAACAGTTAAGATTTTATTTATTTCACAGACGTTTCCAACTTATAACTTTTCTGAATTAAAGATCCAGGCCATTAGTGCTATTAGACTTTATGCTCAGACATCCAAACTCTCACCTTCTTGAGGTCCTGCTTGGTCTTTAGGCCCCACCCTCGGCCGCTGGTCTTAATGACCTCAGTGTCAGGGTAGAGGCGTTTGGAGAAGCACTGGTTGTGGCAATGGTCACCTGCGGGACAGACTTGCGGGTGGCACTCGTACTGCAGCATGCGGTTCAAGCATTGAGAGTCCTGGCTGCACGGACGTTCATCTGAGTGTTTGCAGTTGCAACGTGGGATCTCTGAGAGGTCAGCGACGTGCAACTGCACCTTCCCAACTGGCTTATTGGACTGAGGTAAGAAACAAGGACAAGAATACAGAACTTTAGTTTGTTTTAATATGATTTTTGCATTTTTTGTACAGTCGCATTGTAGAGTAATTAATATGAAAGGTGTATACAAAACGGATGGGAGTATTATGGTACCATTTGCCAGTAGAAATGTGTCAAGCAATAGGTCAGTTTATTAGAGATTATATATACAAATACAAATAAAATACAATATTTCTTATAGAGCAAACAGTAACACTTTACAATAAGGTTACATTAGTTAATATGGTAACTAACCTTAACTAACAATGAGCAATACATTTGTTACAGTACTTATTCATCTTTGTTAACACTAATTAATAAAATACAACTGTTCATTGTTAGTTCAGGTTCATTAACTAATGTTAACAGATACAACGTTTGATTTTAATCCCGTATTATTTAATGTTGAGATTAACATTAACAGATTAAGAAATCCTTTAGAAATATGTTTCATTATTAGGTCATGTTAACTAATGTAGTTAAGAAATGTTAACAAATGAAACCTTATTGTAAAGTGTTACAGAGCAAACTATGAACTGTATAGCTAAATACAGTTTATACTGTGCTGTATAAACAATGTTTAAAAAACTATTACAATTATTTTTTTTAATACAATTTTAAAAAATCCCTTTCATAAGTCACTTGATTATCAAAACAAAAATAAAAATTAGATATTACAACATGGCTATGTAAAATTAAAAGACCTCTCCAGCCAAAATAGTTATATTGTGATATCACTAACATCTACTGAAAGACACTGCAAGCTTTTCAACACATTTTTGCATAGATAGAGGATTTGAACTAGATCCAGTACCTTGATAAGTTTGTATGGTGGGGGTCTGCGAGAGTTGCGCTCCTGTTCGAGGGCCTCCTTGGTTTCTCGCTGTGCTTTTAGTTCCTGGAACCTTTTTCCTGCCTCCTCAAGTGCTTTACACACACAAAAAAACATTTAGAAGTCAATTTAGCTTGACATTTATTCAAGTCATCACCTTAACATGCATCATATGGCTAATTAATATAAAAGAATAATAAAACTCCACTGAAATGGTCTAGTATCTCACCTTTTTTAAATGTCTTATTGATGCCAACCTGCCCCTCAGCAAAGTTCTTATCACTCTCAACATATGGGAAAACTCTGCCCTGGTTTATCCAGTAATAGTCATGTGATCCAAAGAAAAAGACTGGAAAGTCGCCAATGTCATGCTTGAGGCTCTGGATGTTGGAGGGAACCAGGCGAGGGTTGCATATCTCAGAGGGCCACCACCTACACACGGTACAACATCAACATTAAGTCTACAACTTATTCACTGGTCACACAGTTGAAATTTAGACATTATCTTCTTGGAAAACAAAACAAAAATGCTGATGACTCATGTTGCACTCGAAGGCGTATCCAAATGTTTGCCCAAATGTACAGGCAGTAGGGGTGTAAATCAGACAGTTAATCACGATACGATACGATATCGATTCTCTCAGCCAGCGATATGATATTTGCTGATACCTCAAAAAATTCTACGATTCGATTACGATTCGATTCAATTCAGGGCTATATCGATCGATTAATCGATATTTAGATATTATGTGCTAAGTGTACACAACCGGTTACGTTTATTAACTCACAATACATCCAAATATATATAACATGAATGTTTAATTAAACTCTTTGAAAATTGCACACCCTCTCCCAATTGGGACATTTACAAGTTAAAAAAAAACATGATAGCCTTATGAAAATGAACAAGAACGCAGTTATCTGTTTTTGCAAATGAACTCTTCTGTTATATTAAAGTTCATTGAAAGGATGTATATATATATATATATATATATATATATATATATATTGTGTGGCAAAAGCAGATAACTCCACATTTCATGTTTCAGAGTTAAACAAAGCCAAGTATTTGCTATGATACATAATAAAACACTTGGTTAATCTTTGTAACGCTAATCTCCTCAGCTGATATTGACGCCTGTCAAACTTTGTTGTTGTAATTAACGTACACGCAATACAGAGAGCTTTTCACTCACCACTAAACGTACTGTTTTAGCAATATTCCGTGACAAAGTTTCAGCTTTTATTTTACTTTTACGCCCCGAATATCACGGGTTCATCAAGTTCGCTGAAATCCATCCTCGATCACTTTTAGTCAGCTTGACGAAACTCCTCTCAGCTAGCGCGTATTTTCAAAGTGACAAGCAGCCTTGTCACCTGACCTGAATACTGCGCACTGATTTGCTAAAACAGACTTTTCGGGGCTTGTTGTTTCTGCTGTAAAACATGAACTCGCGATGATAGTGGAAAATACCGGCTTCTGTGACAAAGGGTTCAGTCAATCTTGTCAGGCGTCTATTTCAGCGGAGAAAAGCTACGTGAGGATGTGGAGTGTGTCAAAATAAAGGTACCGTACATCGATATTTTATGTGTGGTATCGATTAGGGGTGGGAGAAAAAATCGATCCATCGATGCATCGCGATTCTCTCTCCAACGATTCTGGATCGATTCTGAGAATTCCAGAATCGATTCTGAGCTTAGTTTTTAACCAGATGTGCGATGACGTTGAGTTTACTTTAGAAACACCCGTATTCTGCTTGCTTACAATTCCTCACACACATACACCACTCGAACATTCCGTAAAATAATCTTTCATAAAGTTCGGAAAGGTTGAAGCGAATTACAAGGACATTCACAGACTTCACTGCACAGGATACGCTGTGAGAGACGCGCGCTTTCTTTGATGTTACACTTGAAGTGTGTGTGCTGTCTCGCCCGTCGGTATTTACCTTACAAATGCTCTACGAAGTCATCATTTATGTGGTTTGGAATGCAGTGGACTTATATATTTAAAATTTGAACCTCACGCTGCTTTCAATTTCGAATGCTGACGCGCGCTTTGTTTGTATCGTGAGACTGCTCGCGCATGCGGCCGTGCGGATACGTGTAACGTTAGTGGTTTAAAGTAGGCTACTTGAGCAAAATTAACGTAAACACAGCCAGTTATGTCTTAAGGGATTAAACGGACAGGACACAGCGCATTACTTATTTTATTTCAAAAGAGATGTGTGCGTGAATGCAGCTTAATAGATTTCCCGCAGTCTATGATGTCATAGTAAAAAACAACAGTAAAGATGAAGAAAAATCACTCACAGTTCTTGAATGGAAAACGTTCAGATAATCTATAGGCTACTGAAAGCACTTTTTGTTTGTTGTTTGTTATATTTTTCTATGCTCCTCTTTATTATTTGTTATATTAGTTATATTAGTTTAAAATTCTTAACATACAACTGTTTTAATAAAAAAAAAAAAAATTGTAATTATTTTTTAAAAAGTACTTAATTAGGCCTACTTAAGTAAACTAATGAATTAATGAGGGGGGGAAAGGTAGATAAAGAATCGTTCTGGAATCGGATCGTGACTCCCAGAATCGGAATCGGATCGGATTGTGAGGTAACCAAAGATTCCCACCCCTAGTATCGATGCATCGTATCGTTAGACGTTTGATCGATACATCGATCCATATCGATGTATTGTTACACCCCTAACAGGCAGAGGGACATTCCATTCAACAGGTGCGTCTAAAAAAAATGTCAATATCGTGGAAAAGTACATTTTTTTTTCATAATTTAACTCAAAAATTGAAACTTTCATATATTCTAGATACATTAAACAAAGTGAAATATTTCAAGCCTTTTTTTTGTTTTAATTTAGATGATTATGGCTTACAGCTCATGAAAATCAAATATCCAGTATCTCAAAAGAATACTCAAAATAAAAAAGGATTTACGATACAGTTCAAAATTGTTCAAGTTCTGAAAAGTACAATGTTCATTTATGGACTCAATACTTGGTCTTCAAAGCGGTGGCGGTTTAGTTGATGTGATATGAGTCTAAAATATATTGCATTTTCACTATTTTAAATAACTGATGACAAGTATTTTTTCTATCAAATTTTCTGAGACGCACCTGTAGAATTCTGCCTGTGCTATTTGCCTCTGACTAGCAATAGCAAATTTCAATAGCAATATCACAGCTGTGACACACAGTTATTTTAAAAGACAGGAACGGTTTAAAAAGAAAATGGTTATCATCAAGCCATTTTTATGGACCTATTCACATAAATTCTAAATTTTAAAAACAATTTTTAAAAAATAAAATCGTGGTGAACCCAAGTCAGAAATTACTTTAGAGTCAGATTTTTTTTATGCATTACATTTTTTATATATTCTTTAAAAAACAAAATATATATATTATAACAAAATCATACATTTCATTATGAATTTATTATATAAATATTATGCATTTACTATATTCTAGATTATTCTGCATCCGATTTTGTGTGAATATCTTTGGTGCAATTTAAAAAATATATATTTTTGTGCCATGAGCATGCCTTTAGTTTAGTAAAATACATTGTAGGAGACTTTCAACAGTTGAACGGACGTACCTGTAGTTGCCCAGCTTGACCCAGACTATCTGCTTATAGTGAGGCTTCTTTCCCGCTCTGCATTCCCCACACAGCCACGTCCCCTCTGGCATCTCCATGTTCAAGCACTCGGGGTGGAATGAGGCGGGACAGGCCTCACAACACAACAGTCTTCCTCCTTTTTGACAAGCACACACACGCACATAAACACAGAATCGAATAAACGGGCCCACAGTATCACCACATGCTTGTCCATTCCCAATAAGGCGGTATTCCACAAACCTCATCCATGAGCATGTCAGAATCAGACAGTTATATTTCCTCTGAGATCAACATACGCCTCTGAAGTGCTTCAACGTATACGTTTAGGTTCTAAATGCCAATTTCAAGTTCAATTTGACAGGCTCAAAAGACAGGGTTTGATGACTAACACCTTTCACCATTGTTAATGTGCTTTTTTTGTGCCAGGTGATTAAATAAGCAGCCAATAGTGAATGATCAGAGGGGGGGGGGGGGGGGGGGGGGGTGGGGGGGGGGAACTATGGGAAACATGCCGTGATGCAAACTGACTGATTGTCCGCATTAACATCACCTGCCGTACACTAGTAGACACAGAGCATGTATTTTGGATGGTGTCATTTAAAATGCTTGGTTTGACTGACAAGAAAAATAGGGCTGATGGACAGCAAAGGAAGGCGAGTGCCCACTTTTCCAGCCGCTTTGGTTCCGGGAGAGTTTTTCCGATTCATTTTCTCCAGAGGGATTTGAAAAAAAAACTTAAATAAAGAGTTCTGAACCTTACTGAACCAAACCAACCAGCTTTAAATAAATCACATCATATTCATTTAAGCAAAAATTTACTTTTTTTTAAATTAAAAAAAAGTATTTAAAAATAAATTTAAAAAAAGTATTTAATTTATCAGGGAATGAACAACTCATCCCATGAATCATCACAAATTACATATATTTTTAAAAAAAAAAACATATTTTTTCTTTTTCGCACCACAAAAAGATAATTAAAAAACATGTCATGCTCACGCGCGTCCATACAATGGCAGTGAATAGAGACCAGCATTAAGCTTTTAAAAAGAGATACAAAAGTATAACAGAACGGTCCCATCGACACGTGTGTGTCTTATATCCCATGTGTTCTGGTGGTATACGATTAGGGATTTTGTATTTAACGAAAATCCTAACCTTGGCCGTTGGCCGTTGGTCTTCTGTGCACGGCTGTGTGCATTCATGAGACGTTTTGAGATTGTGAGAAATCAAGACTAAGAAAAATGCAACATGAAATACAATCCATGTACTTTCTTCTTATCTGTTGTGTTTGTCGCAACAATAAGTTATGTTCACATCTGTCAACTGTCATTCTGACTCTCATCAGACAAACAGAGTTCCGGCCCAGAGATATTCAACTCCGGAAAGAAAGTACAGATACTTTTTTTGTGATTTCCAGGCATTGTAATTCATGTCACATTTTTATTAATCTAGATTTCTCACAACTTGTGTTCTTTTTCAGAGTGAACTGCGGCGCTAATGGAGTCTACGAACGAACGCGCTCCGTGCACAGACAACCAACAGCCAAGGTCAGTATTTCGTTAAATAATACATTACCGTACATTTCTGTTTGTTTTTGAGCAAACCCTATCTCACACCCCCAGAACACGAGGGATATAAGACACGTGTTGCACGACACGTTTTGTGATACTTTTGCATCTTCTTTTAAAAGCTTGATGCTGGTCACTATTCACTGCCATAATATGGATGGGCACAAGCGAGATATGTTTTTTAAATGTCCCTTTTTGTGGTCCGAAAAAGAAAAAAAAGGCATAATGCATTAGAACAACACCAGAGTGAATGAATGACTTAATATATGACTGATATTTCAGTGACTAGCTTTAACAGAAGCATCATTGGAGCTCAAGATGTAGAAGTTCTCTTTAAAAAATCTATTTCTCTATGGACAAAATGAATGGGATTTTTTTTACTTCCGGGACCCTGTCGTTGGCTCTATTAAAATTGCCATCCAAAATATGTTTATGTTAAGAGGGTGGTAGGGTATAATTGTGCTCAAGCAAAACAAGCCAAGCAATTAATGCTAAGCCAAAACTGTGTTACGGACTCAGAATAACATGAATTACATGACATATCATAACCTAGTTAAATTCCCAGGAATCTGTTAGAAGCATTTGTAGGTAGACAAAGATTTGACTTACGGTGCCTTCTATCCCAAAAAATGTTAATCCAAATTCATTTAAAAGGCTGCAATCTGATTTTAAAGTAAAGAACTATGAAAATTTAAGATATTTGTTGCTGCCTGTTATTTCAAGCCCACTATGTGCATTAGAAGCAGCGTGATGGTGTAAAATAAAGAGCAATAAAATGGCCCCCCAAAAAATAAACAAATAAATAAAAAGTAGCAATAAGACAGCTGTGAAAGCATACAGATGGCAAACTACATAAACCAAGAAAACATGATTTTACCTTTCCCAATATTCTTTTTGGTAGCTGACGAAGAAGAAGGAATCATAGGTAATTTCATCAACTCAGCACGATTTGACTCAGTCAGAAGGTAGTGCGACTTAAAGGTATATGAACTTAATATGGTGTCAGTATGGTCGTGCACTAAAAGCCCTACACGAGACAAACAGGAAAAGTCATGAGTAATGAAACTACCCATGATTCCAGAAAACACACATTAGGAAAAAAAATGACACGTGATTAAATAAGTAGTCCTGAAAAGAGAACACAAAAAAGGAGAGTCTAAAGAGGAATACTGCAGTGTTAGAGTGGGAGCTTTAGGGATTTGCTGGATAAAATTTGTTCTGGAAAAACAATTCTTTCTGGCAGTTTTCTGCTTTCAAATGTTCAAATGCTAGCCAAATGTGAAATGAACAATTCAATCAAATATGTAAATCGAGTTATTTATTCATCCTCATGTTGCTCCAAACCTATCTTTCAGTGAATAAAGACTTACATTTTAGTCAGTTTCGCACAGATATGGCTTCAGCAGACTTAGGCAACATTCAAACTATCAGCTATAACATCATTTGTGGGCATCAAGGAGCCGATATCAATATGCAATCGCTTTTGAATGTGCAGTCGCTTCGCTTAATACTTTAGCTTTCAAATTGGCGATAACATGTCCTCTGTGTAGAGGGAACGCCGGTACTGACCGCACATTTTAGGCTACAAGATAAGATATTTGTCAACGATGCTCGGGATCTATTGCCCAGCAAATCCTCTGCCATCATTCTGTCAGTCATCTCTCTCCTTATTCTCATCACATGATAAGTGAAATCTGACTCCTGTTGCGACTCTGCAGCTTGTGCTGTATGGAGCAGATGCTTTCAGTTTATAATTGTTGAGTTCCTTGTCCAACTGAACCAAATGGTTTTTATTTTTTATAAAAAAGCAAAATGAGAGTGGGGGCGGAGCCGCGGTGGCCACGTTATGTAATCGTGTACGGCCAAACAACACAGCAATTGTAACAGCAAGCCTAGTTGTGAGTCCTGAAATTTACAGGTGTGAGTTCGCTCATAGAAGGACCTTGTCACTCCCATAAATAACTGAATTGTGTGCGAAAGTAACCGTATTAAGACTTATACAGAACTGACAACTGTATTTTGTTTCTGTGTGAGCATGGCCATAGAGACTATCACTATCATATGTTTATGGTACTATTGATTCTTATTTGACCTTGAAAACTTCAGTCCTCAATTGCAACTGCATGGGGGGGAAAAACAACAAACATAACATTCTTCTTTTTGCATTTCAGAAATAAAGTGAAACGAGTTTGGAACAACATGAGGGTGAGTAAATGACAGATTTAATTCCTTTTAATGACATAGGTTGTATAATGACAAATATTGGTTTTAAAGATCAAATGACATGCAGCTGCTCCCATGCCAACACATACAAATTCAGTTTAGCATTACCAATTAGTTCCTGGAGAAATTAGTGTTAGATATTTTCTACAAAAGTGGGAAGGTGTCTGAATCTGATCATTTCAAAACTTGAAGATGCAATCAGTGATTTTCACTAATGTGTATATTCTAAGAAACCAACGCTGAGTGCATTTACATGTGCAACAAAACACTATTCACAATCAGTGCATTAAAAATACCCATTTACGCATGAAAATCGATTGCTTATTTTGGGGGGTTAAGGTCTAGGCATATTATAGACTTATTAAACAACTGCTGTAAGATTCTTTATTGAACGCACTCATTGACATTAACTTAGATTTGTTATCACTCAATACCGGTATTATCAATTCATTTTAAATGGATTTTTAAATTAAATTAAACCAGATAATAAATTATAATAATAATTTGTTACATTAATATAGCGCTTTTCTAGGTACTCAAAGTGCTTTTACATATGGAAGGGGGAATCTCCTCAACCACCACCAATGTGCAGCATCCACCTGGATGATGCGACGGCAGCCATATACAGCCCACCACACACCAGCTTACTGGTGGAGAGGAGACAGTGATGAAGCCAATCAGTATATATGGGGATGATTAGGAGGCCATGATGGACAGAGGCCAATGGGCAAATTTGGCCAGGATGCCGGGGTTACACCCCTACTCTTTTTCCGAATGACATCCTGGGATTTTTAATGACCACAGAGAGTCAGGACCTCGGTTTAACGTCTCATCCGAAGGACGGTGCTCTTTGACAGTATAGTGTCCCCGTCACTATGCTGGGGCGTTAGGACCCACACAGACCACAGGGTGAGCACCCCCTGCTGGCCTCACTAACACCTCTTCAAGCAGCAACCTAGTTTTCCCAGGAGGTCTCCCATCCAGGCACTGACCAGCCTCAGGCCTGCTTAGCTTCAGTGGGCACCCAGTCTTGGGCTACAGGGTGATATGGCTGCTGGTATAACTAGTATGCAGATATAACTTTAGGTCTGATATTAAACATTTAATTTCTAATTTTACTTGATGTGTGTGTGTGTGTGTGTATATGTGTGTATATATATATAATGAAGGCAATCATCTCTATATCCGTGCATCCCTACTAAAAATGATAGCCATAAGCAAAAGCTAGTAAGACATAACTTTCTGAAAGTGGGAGATTTTTTACAATTTTACCATTTACAAAACGAATAAATTAAAAGATGTTCATTTATTATTGCTCACTGGAATGTCTTAAATTATTAATGATGATTTATTTTATTTTTTTCATTTTAAAAGTTCAAAATTAGATATTACATTTTGAATTCAATCTCAGTCCTTCCCCAGAAGAATCACAGACAATTAAAATGTTACTAATTAGTAGGAAACAAACATGATCTGATGGATCACGAACACACAGTACATCTAACAGTAAAGGATTAGATGACAAGAGAGAAGGTCAGAGGTCACATTAGTGTCCTACTCTTAAAGAGAAGGAACATTGAACACTGCAAAGGATGACACCAGAGAACATTAAAATTCTAATGTGGTGTGAAGACTGTTAAAAAGTGTTGCATTCACTAAGTGCACATATGTTTTAACAAGAACTCATTTAAATGTCATTTAAAGTGTGATACAATGAACACACAAATCTAATCAACTCAGTAATTCTGACATTAGCTATTACGCAAGGACTGGAGAATGTCAGGCTAAACGTACCTCGAGCGCAGATGAAACACCAGCCTACGTTTACAGGTGAGGAAAAGTGTCCGTTCTTCCTGGAACTGGAGTGGTTGCTACATATGATGATGTGGGGTGTTATCAACACACTGCCAGCCGCCACACAGCCGTCTCCTGTGTGATACGCCACCGGACAGCGGATGCATCGCATCATACGGCCTAAAAGAAAAAGAAAAACAGAGGCTGGTCGATGTGTCTCCATGTTTCAGAAAAATGCTTCTGTAAAATACAGTGAATAAGTTCAATATATCTGTGGTGTACCTTTGCAAGCTTTGTGAAGGTCTCTGTCGAGACAGCATGTGGCACAGCTGTGCTGAGGGCAGCGGAGGCCTCTAGTATCGGTGGTGGTGCCAGTGAACTTGCGGGCACAGGTATCGTGGTAAAAACGGCCACAACCGTTCACCGAACACCGCTTAACATCACCCTCCATGTCCTTGCAGGAGAAACAAGGGTGGGAACCTGGAGAAAGTGACGGCGACAAACAGATTAGACTCCGCAAATTATTCAAAAACACTTTTTTTTTCCCAGTGTTCTACTAAAATGTTAATTCTCAGAAAAAATGAAATGCATGACATAATGACCTTTTGAATCTATTCACATTAAGATATTGTATTGCTACAGAGATATTTTTTTTCAACGTTATTGGTGGGTTGTTTAACTGATTACAGCTTTTGAACATCTGATCACAAATCAGATGTATTGCTCACCTGTCTTACACTCTGGACACAGTAGTTCACCCTCTGTTCCACTGTTAGATCCCATACACTCTGGATGAAACAGCCTGTTACAGTCTCCCTCACAGCTCACCAAAGAATCCCCGAATGATTCACACACCTATGAGATTGTAAAGAAGAACCACAACAACAGATTCTTATTACACCTGAAAGAGTCATTCAAAATCTGATCTACTATTTTACACTTCTATGAAAGCTTGTCAAATTTACTTAGTTAAAATACTTTATTTTGCAATTGGTAAATTTAACAATTATGATTTTTTTTAAGCAATTGCTAATAGTTTATATCGCTCAACTTTATTTTTCGTAATTCAGAGTTTGTATTTCACATCTCTGACGTTTCCCTTGCAATTCCAATTCTCACTATTAACTAGTTGCTTATTAGAATGCATATTACTAGGATGTTGGCTGTTTATTAGTTCTTATATAGCACATATTCATGCTTTATTCTGCATCACCATATTCTACATCCCTTAATCCCACCCAATACTTAACTACCTTACTAACTATTAATAAGCAGAAATTAGGAGGGTTTTTTAAGGCGAAAGTCGTAGTTAATAGTGAGAATTGGACCCTAATCTAAAGTGTGACCGAACTTATATAATAACAAACTGCGATAAACTGCAGGATGAATTGCAAGATGTAAACTAACAAATTGTGAGAAAAAAAAGAAGTCACAATTACTTCATTTTTAGGATGCTGATCTGCAGCGACCTCTAATAACCCAAAGCCACATAAAATAGCTCTGTTACAAAACCTAGTGATAACTTTTTTTTAGCACCGATAAACAACTGAATGAAGTCATCTTTCAATTAAAGTATCACCTAAAGACAATTTAGATGCGATACAGTGACAGTAAAATAAAATGTAATGTATTGAAGGTAATATCACTGTCATATAACACACTACTGTTCAAAAGTTTGGGGTTAGTCCATTTCTTTTTAAAGAAATTAATTATTTTATTCAGCAGGCCAAGGATGCATTAAATTGATCAACAGTTCAGACATTTCAAATGATTGCTGTTCTTTTGAACTTTCTATTTAAATAATCCTGAAAAAAATGCATCGCAGTTTCCACAAAAATATTAAGCAGCACAACCGTTTTCACCATTGATACGAAGAAGAAATGGTTCTTGAGCATCAAATCAGCATATTAGAACGATTTCTGAAAGATCATGTGACTCTGAAGACTGGAGTAATGATACTGAAAATTAATATAGAAAACAGCTCTATTCAATTGTAACAATATTTCACAATATTACTGTTTTTACGGTATTTTTGGTCAAATAAGTGCAGCCTTGGTGGGCATAAGAGACTTCATTCAAAAATGTAAAAAATCAATATATTTCTAAAGCTGACCCCCAACTTTTGAACAGTATATTGTGTCATTGTATATAAAGTTATATAAAAAGTGTTTATAGTGCTCACATGGCAGACTGTGTCCTTTTTTGAGGAATGTCCTCCCTGACGGGACAGGCTGGAGTCCACGGACTGTGCATCAGATCCGTCAGCATCTACTGTAGCAGGACTGTCCGAGCGCTTCCCAAATCCGGTCTACCAGGGATGCAAATGGATGCAAAAATGTGACTTTAAAGCCAGAGCCCATATGTCATTTGGCTAAACATTCAAATGAACAAATTTGTCATAACAATTGTGTAACTCAAGAAGGACAGTATCACTCAGGTGTCAATCAACAGGTCCTGCTAGTACTGTGACTGTATTTTTGAGTCTAGTCTGACCTGTGGGTCATTGAGGCCTCTGGAGTCAGAATCAGAAGTATCTCTGTACAGTGAGCTGGCCATCTCCACATCAGTAGATGCTCTGCTGCGTTTCTTCAGTGGTTTACACGAGTCTGAGATCTCACTGGCACCTACAGGATTGAAGTAGTGTTAGTAGGGGGGTATTGATAGAAATGAATTTATAGGCTGACCATTTAAAACATTAAATCTAAGAAAACAATTTAGAAAAACTTAAATGTAAAATTCGTCTTGCAGGGTCAAGCACCTTTTTGCGACCCTGTTCTGAAATCCATCTGAGGTGCTGTTTCAGCCTGCAGAATAAAATAAAAAACATAAAAAGGCATGTTTGTTATAAGATTTCACTAACCATTATGTCACCTTTCTGCTAGTATTATGACCAGTTGCTTTCTGTGAAGGAGAATCACTGCTCTGTATGCATTTCATTTAATTGTGTATATTTTTAGCCCAAACAGCACCTTTTTTTGCAAGTTTAGCCAATTACAGATTGCCTTTTAACAAAAGTCAGGGCTGTTTACCAGATGCAATAAATGTTGCAAAAATGACATTTTCTTTAAAAGTGATGAAGGTGAGGTGGTGAAAACAAATAAATGCAGCGGGTTTGTTGGATTCATCGCTTTTAAATAATTTAATAGTACACATTTATGCGCTCTACCTGTTCTTTCTTCACTTTCTTTTTTGGCACTGGTTCCACACTCTTCTCTGACTCGGAACGGCTTCGCACAGACCGGCGCTGCTGTTTTCTCTCTGGCATCACACACACAGAGGATGTTTTCATAGATCAGACTTATACCGCAAAGGACATCTGAATATTTATGTCAAAGGGAGTTTGTGTAACTCATAAATACCTGTGGATTGCTCTGCTGAAGCGTGCTCAGCGCTCTCCTGGTCACTCCAGCCTGAGGGAGACGCAGCTCGCTCCTCTTCACTGGAACACGTCTCTGCTTCTGCTTTATCACTGGAGCCCTATTGTGGATTAGATTGAATTTTTTTTTTAAACTAGCAACGACTGCTTGTCAGAAAAGGTGCAATTTCTTCTTAAGCAGCATGCATGAAGAGTGAGCGCAGAGAACCATGATTTTGGGTTAGCTAGTTGCAGCTTAGTAATTAACTAAATTGTAGGCTATAATAGCTTTGCATGTACATTAACAACAATTTAAACAGACTTAATACATTATACTGAATAAGCAATGTTACAAAGCAAATATGGTGACGTTTATTCTAGACTAGCTAACCGAAAAGTTATCATCTAGTTAGTATACCCTGGCTTAAATGAGTCAGATGGGCAAGCTAGCTTTTATTGTCAAATGTGGGTGCAAAAATATACGTGCAAAACCAACATAATAACAAACTTATACAATTAGCATACTAAGTTACACTAGTTATTATGCAAATAGCCAGTGTTATTTTAGTATCCATTTTACTATAGTATTTTTTTTATTATTTTCTGTTCCCTTTTATTTTTATATTTTCAGATTTCATTTTAATTTTTTGTAATTTTGTTGTGCTGGTGATTAGTTAGTGATTAGCTTTATTTTTATTTCAATTTATTTTATTTTAGTTAGTTCATATCTATTGAGAGTTATATCATATCATATCTCTGAGTTCATTAAGTCAAATATCTTAATCTAATGTATTTTTATTTCAGCTTTATTTAACAATTTTTTTTGATTGGTTTTAGTTTGTTGACAGTAACACATCTGCTGTTGAAAAAATGAAATATTACATGCGAAAAAACATACGGTAGAACTTTAGTTTAGGGCCCAAGCTTCTGCTTTATTCTGGATGACCATATTCTACATCCCTTACTCCTTCCCAATACCTAAACTTAACAACTACCTTAATAACTATTAATAAACTGAAATTAGGAGTTTGAGGCAAAAGTCGTAGTTAATAGGTAGTAGTGAGAATTGGACCCTAAACTAAAGTGTGACCAAACATACATTTCATTAGACATTTCATATTTTTACTTTATTGTATAGTGGTAGCAACTTGTGGGGAACTAGTGTTCAGACTGAAGAAATTGTAGCTATTCAATTACACATTTTTTAAATTACGTTTCGACGTTTGATTGACACTTTTCTTGATATTATTTACTGTAGCAGACTTCATGTTGACGAGCATTTTCTCCATTCTTACCTCAGGGGACTGAACCTGATCGCTGGGCCTCTCCTCACTCTCTGTCGTCTTAGGTAAGTCCACCTTTTGCTTTGGGAGTTGCCAGTCGCACTTTATGATCTCCACGTTGAGTTTCTTCATGGTAATGGAGAGCGGGAGGAGCTTGCGGGCTGCAGCGGTCCTCCAAGGTGTCCTGACTGGAGGTGGGGTGGGTTCCTGTGGGTGGGGATCTGGTTTTGGTGGGCTACGGGGTTGCTCTTGGTCCATATCATCCTCTCCCTGATTGGGAGATGATGGTTCCCCACTACTATTGATGCTGCACTGCCTCCGTGGCTGCTGCCGACGAGGCACAGGCTCCTCTTTGGATCCGGCACTGCCTTTAGAGCGTCTTTGCTTGCGTTCAGGCCGGTTTTTACCAGTCGCCCTAGGTGAGGTCACAGTTTCAGTTTCAGTTTCAGCAGCAGCAGCAGCAGCGGCAGTAGCAGCACCAGCACCAGCAGCACCTGGTTCCTTGTCGATGTAGATGAAGGTGTAGGTCTCGTTGCGTTCTTCTCGTGTCATCTGCAGTGCGGCTTCAGCGTGACCCACACCCACTTGCCACTGGGCACGCTCCTTCTGTGACTGAGGCTTCAGCAACTATAAAATAATTTTTTTACAGAATGAGCACTCGGAAAGGACCACAGAAAGGAAGGCACCAAATGTAGAGGTATGGGATACCTTTTGTTTCTCCGTTGGGTTGGTTGTCTTCCGGAGTGTTTCTGCCTGCAACTCCTCAAATTGGCTCTCACCCTGGTACACCACAATTCTTTTCGCATGTATCCAGGCCCTCTCAGGGACACTCCCAAAGAATTGCACATGGAATTCCTTAACACCTTTCAGGAACCATGGAAGCAAGATATTAGAAACATAAATTTTAAGCAAGCCAGTAGAATTAGTAACTGAAATGCCCTACATGACTTTTCCCAAATTTCCCGATTTACTGTCTGGAGGAGTTGACACTAGTTGCGAAATTCAGAGCCAGTCTGCAGATTTGAGACAATCAGAGTTGACAGGTTTCACAGAAAATTGTGTTTGATGGGCAAAGATTTTTTTAGGTTCAATTTCTTGATTTCATAACATGTTCAATATTTTGGGCTGATTTTAGAACATGTATTATTTACATTTTGTCATGCACCTCCAAGCAATGAGGCACACGTTTTTGCATGAGTTTGTTATGTTTGGAATGACTTGAAAAGCTGGTAGTGTGTGATCCTCCGTCATTTAGTATATAGACTAACTCACATTGGACCATCATAGGCCAAACAACGGCAAGAGACACGTTTGTCGGGTTTAGTTGGATCAATGTGTTATCCCTGTCAGAGTCTGGTGGCATTGGTCAGGACTTGCTTTAGCCGATTGAGCATGTTCAATCTGCATGTGTTGGGTCGTGGAATGTCTTCGCAACTGCCGCCATTGGTCGGCATAAGGGATGTGGCGGTGAGGAAATTTTCCCATAGGTTAATTGACATGTGACAACATCGGTAATTTTTTATTTATGATTTTCAATTAATTCCAATGGAAGTTGAACGCGAACACAAACTCAGCGCCAGAGGACATGCACTTGTGCATTTTGGGGGTGCAGTTGCTTGAACAGTGGGTTCATTATTATTATTCTTAATGAAAAACACAACAAAACAGTATAATTGATTATATTAACAGAGTTTTTATTGCACTTATATTGTAGGATTCTCTGATGTTATTTATAACAATGACAAATAAAGAACAAATTTAAGAGGAAAATCGCTTAAACAGGCAGTTTTACATTTCGCTTTGAAACCAAATCTTCCGCCTTTGTCTTGTCAGTCAAATGGGCAAAGTGAGGTGAAATCTGAATCCTGCTGCTGATCTGTGCTGCGACTCTCGTTCAGCTCACGCTGAATTGAGCAGACATGTTCAGTTTTTAATTGTAGTGTCTGTTCTCTAACTGAACTAAATGATTTTTGGTGCCGTGGTGGGCAAGTGATGGTGTTGCGGCTGAACACCGGAAATACCGGTAACACAGACTTTCGCCGCAAGCCTAGTTGGCGTCTGTCAGTGCAGAGTGAATTAGCCTTACGATGGCCAGTTTTTCTATGTAACCATTTTCAAAGTCAGCAAGTGTATGATACCAAGTGTTTTAAAATCTGTTCAGATAGATTTATGTAGAGTATACCTTAACAATATGTAGCCTACTTGTAGTAGATAAGTTACCTCTCGTATTAAGACGTATATGAACGTTTGACTGAGGGTCTGATGACACCATGCACGGCCACCAAGGATACGTCCCAACCTTAGCCCACACCAAGTCACCGATCTCATACTCTTGACAAGAGCCAGTGCTAGTGATGACCGAAGGAAAGTGCTTTTCGACCTAAACAAGAACACAAGAATGTCTTGGATGAACAAGAACAGTAAGCATCTCATAAAACCAGAGATTCACAAGACTTTTTCCACATCTTCCTAAGTGGAAACAACTATAAACGTGTTAAAAATATGAAACTTACTTTCTGTTCCTTGGGTTCTGCTTTGGGGCTTTTGAGGGTTGAAGAAGGTTGCTCTTCTCTGAAGGCAACATGACCTTCGCTGGGCTGTGCGGGGTTGTGGACAACACTGGAACGTTCTTCCATGCCTTTGCATGGCTGCTGGCTCTCCTCTTCGTGACAAGCACCATGCCTGCTGCTTCTCTTTTTCCTCTTCTCTTTCTTCTGCTCATGTCTTCTCCTTGAAGCCTCGCCGGACTGAAACTCTTGCAGCAGGTCCCCACACAGTGAGGACTCGAACAGCTCCCTGCCGTTCTGGTAGGTCTTAATGATCTTTATTTTGATCTCTGGGGAGCTGGTCTTTTTTGGAGTGTTGGTAGATTGAACAGTGGGGTTGGAGACGGTGCTTTCTTGAGGTGACAGGAGGGGTGGAGAAGAGGGCAAGAGCAAGGGAGGAGGGGGCGGCAACACGTGAGGCATTAAGTGAGAGACAGGAGGCGGGTGATGGTGGTGAGGTAACAGTGGAGGGTTATGTGGGTGATGTTGCTGCTGATGGTGGTGATGGTGAGGAGGATGATGAGGCTGGTGATGATGATGGGGATGAGGCGGAGGTGAGATGTGTGTTGGTGGCTTCTCCTGGACCACTGGGGGTCTCAATACTGTGCCCTCACCGAGCAGCAAACCGTGATCACCATAGTTTCGTATGGCACCGTAGCCATTGGCTGAGCCATTGGGGAACTGAGAGTACAAGGCAAACTTGGCCTGTTGCTCATAGGTACCTACGCCCGTTGGGTAACCGTTTGTAATAACTGGGAGGTCTTCAGCAGGGTAAGAAAAGCCTGACTCCAAAGGAGACTCAAAGTTTTGCTGTCCTCCATCATCTCCTGGGTCACTGATGGCTTCATAGACATCCTCCTGTCTGATGTTGGCGGAGTCAATAAGCTGAGGGGGTTGCTGAATTGTGTTTCCCATGATCCCTTGCATGAAAGAGAAGGAGAAATCCATTGTTCTGCTCCAGCATCCTTAAGTTTCCCTTTCTCTTACAGGGCCTGCTGATATAATGAGGAGAAACAGACAAAATGTGTTTATGACGCATAAAAAACTTTACCTCATCTTATCACATCTGTGAAACATTGCTCCAGGCAATAATGTTTATTAAACTATTTAATACGTTTATTTTAAGACAAAATGGGTCAAGAATTTGTGGTTAATGCTTTGCGAAAAATAAGCCTACGAGGGTACTAGGCTGCTTCTGCAACGCTGCAATCGCCCTCCCAAGGGATAAAGTTTACTCTAGTATACTCCAAGTTATGCCAACTTTCCCAGAATTTAGAGAGGAAACTTAAATTAGAAAGTTTAGATTGAAATCACACAGCCTGTTTGGAATATTTACTTCAAATCAAACATGTCCAATACCATTTTCCTCATACTACATTCCCTCTACTTCCTGTATATTTGTAAACAATGCATTACAACAATTTTAATGTAATTAAATTAAATCATCTTTTGAATTTCTCATTAATTTATAAGGTTCTCTCTCTTTAATTAGAAGAACAGTATGCCAGCTGGCCAAAAATAATTACCATCAAAACAATGTTTATTTAGTCTATTTGGCTTGTTTTGTCTGTCCAGTAAGAACAGAAATAAAACCCGCTTAATACTTTAATTTAGCACATAAACCACATCACTCAATGCCACATAACAATAAAAGACTGTTTCTAAACAAACCAAGCTGTAAAATTGTGTTTCATGTCAAAGAAACAAACCTGCAATGACCAGCAGTTGGCTAACATTAGCCTGCTAGCGTTTTCTGGATAACAAAACAGAGCCGATATAAGCATACTGTTAATGTATAAACACACAAAACTTAGTGTAAATGCTGTATGGGCCACGAATAAACTAAATTAAGTTATTGTGTAGTTAAAAAAAACAAATCCTGTTTTCCCAACATTGTAAAGCGGACCCGTGTAATGTCGCTGCATTATATGAAAGGCGGTGTTAGCGGATGTGCTAATGTGTGTAACGTTACACGGGGAAAACATTAACATACGTACATATTTGGTTTATCACTGGGGAATATTTTAAACATTCGTTTTGATGCAAAATTGTATGTTTCTTAGTCAATTGCATCATGCGGAGAGCCTCAAAAACTGAAGAAGTGAATGCGAACATGCCAACATGGCTGCCCGTGCCCCTTTAAATCAAATTGCCCATATTACATTTCCATCAGGAAAAAGGTGCGATGAAAACCATTTCTTCACTGTAACCAAAAGCAGAAATGCATGCAGCGCTTGTTTGGATTCAACGCGATATTATGAAACGAAGCATCGAAACAGCGGTAGAATAAAAGCGTCTGTACCTTCAGCGTGTTCCATTCTAAACAAATACACCAAATAAACTGGATTCCTGCAGCAGTTAACATAAATATATCAACACAAAGACCTATGACTCCACGTTTTTTTTTGTCTAATCCGTTGTTTGGAAAGAAAATGGGGCTAGATCAGTCGTATGTCGATCCCCATAATAGGATGTGTGGCTGTGGAATCGGGAGAGGCCCCGTTTTTTTGCGGGATGCTCCTGCAGACCTAGGGAAATTTGGCTCCCATATATTTTATTATAGCCGTCTCCCTCCCTCTAGCTGTAACAAAAGCCCCTCTGCTTGAGGCCTCTGTCTCAGCGCCAAAATAAAATCTCCCCCATTGGCTGTGCAGCAAGATGTGAGGGGCATGTTGGGACGAGTAGTTTTTTCTTCTTCTTCTTATGTTATGATAACAATAAAATAAAACCATTAAAGTGAGATGATTACACTATCATTGCTTGACACCAAAGCATTAAGCTGTAATGAACGAATTACAGAGTAAAACTATAATATCGTTGATATTTTCAATTTTACTATCATTTTACTTTTTATATGGCAGGGTACTATTTGACAATATATTTTACTATCTACAGTAGACTATGTAGCTATATCAGCCATCTATCTTTAGACAATAATACATTTTACTATTTGTTATTTTAGAGCATACACAATAATTCACTGCACAGACATTATTATAAAATGTGAATTTATTTAAACATTTAAGATATTTTATGCTTTATGGATAAAGAGAGGGAAGAGACTTTTATTCATTAAATGAGGCCTACACTATTTCTATCTAACTACCAGTTTAATTTTACAGATTTATATATATATATATATATATATTTTTTTTTTTTAATGCAACCGATTTTTAGTTAATTAATCTTGGGCAGTTTGCACACACACACACACACACACATTACATGTAATCTCTGGATTACATAATCAGATTCCAGAAATTAAGTACTTGTAATTATATATAAATAACCCCCAGTCTGGGAAACCCTGACGTAATGTAATAATTAATGCACTTCACGTTGTTGATAACAAAGAATGAAATATATTTTCTTTCTCTATTTTTAGATCAATATGGTATACGATTAGTATTCAATGAATGTGATAAACGAGTTAGGGCTAAAGTAATCAAAAAGTAATCAATAAGTAGTCAGATTGTATTACCTTAAATGTGTAATGTAATGTGATCGTACAATTGAAAATAAGAACAAAAAAACAATATTATTTAGGATTTTATTTTCCTTCCCATAAGGATTGTAGCGCCATCTTCTGCACAAATACCTAACAACCATGTGAAAAAAACGCCTTGCTACTCTGTCGCTGTTCTAGGTACTGCAGATATGACTGTTGCCATGGCAACTCTGAACTATAGCTGAACTAAGATCAGGAGGTGTGGACGCTCATGTGCCCTCGTCATCACGGATGAGGTCATGGGAAGTTCCACTGTCCGCCCCGTGCAGCGGATTGGCCAGCTTTGCCATTGCGTAGAGCTCGTTTATTGGTGCTCGTGGCTGTCAATCACGCTGCTCCTCTCATCGGATGATCCTCCTCGGTAGGACGTTCGGCTTCACCGGGGCATCAGAGGCAACCCGACAGGCCATTTTTAAAATCCGATCAAAACATTACATCAGCTCGGATGTATTAATTTATAAGTCTATTTAGATTTAAACTTAAAGGAGTGACATACCGTCGTGAATGGAGTATCACATCCCGCAAAAGGTCCGTTTTTCTCCCGTACCATCGCCTCCGAGGAAATTTGACCCTCAGCTGCAGGAGGAGCGCTGTCGAGCCGAGCATTTTTCTCCCCCGTCATCCGATCTGACACTATATTCAATGGTTACAGCCTAACAGCCATCACACCGCGGACCCTCTTTCACAGGTTAGTAGTTGTTTAATGCTCAATATCTCACGTAGACCATCTCTATCCTTTCGCCTCCATCCGTTGTCTCTTTGTTTTTAAGCAACCGCTCGCTGTTAGTTGTACATTAACGAAAGTAAAACAAAAGAATTGTCCGATCGCTTTTGTCTGAAGTTGATCGATGTTGTGTATGTCGGCTGTTTCCATAGATCAGAATGTGCAAGTTAATAGTTTAAAGTGGTTCTGGACTGGTACTGTTTTGAGATGGTGATCGTTTATCTGTGGCCTCTAACGTTAGCTACTGTGGCCTTCAGCGCCTGTCATAAAACTTCATTGTTTTTACTTAACCGCAACACTTTTTATATAACAATTAGGATAGTTTAAAACGTTACATTTCTAGAGTAATTATATTAGGAAGTGGAGACTGTAGTTAATGTTGACATTCGCGATTTTTTTTGAAAGTGCAGTTTAATAGTTTCCGAGTCTGTGTCATAATGGCCGTAAATGTTACGTAATACGTTACAATTTATCCGTTGCAATTTGAGACTGTAAAATGAAACGTTACTTATATTGAGCTAAATATGGCTTGTGACTTTGGCCCGTCTCCGTGTTTGTGTTCTGTTTTAGCGACGCAGGTGACGAAGATAAACACGTGAGTCAGTATTTGTGTGCAGTGCTCGCGACCGCCGCTTCGTCACGACAGCGTGCTTTAGGGATAGTTTACTTCACCCAAAAATGAAAATTCATAATTTACTCACTTTCATGTTGTTCCAAACCTGTAAGAGTTTCTTTCTTCTGTTGAACACAAAATATGTTTTGAAGAATGTTGCTAACCAGACAGTTGACGGTAGTATCTTCCATAGTTTTTCTTCTTCTACTATGGAAGTCAAATGGGGTCCATAAACTGTCTGGTTACCAACATTCTTCAAAATATCTGCTTTTGTGTTCAACAGAGGAAAGAAACTCGTACAGATTTGGGACAACTTGAGGGTGAGTAAATGACAAAATTCTTATTTTTGGGTGAACTAACGTTATCCCTTTGATACAGCAGTGACGCATGACGTTTTTCAGTTTTTGTGAATTAATGTGCACAGATTCACAAGTAAATAATAGCAATTTATAAGTTTCACAGAAATTAAACAAGCTCACAAAAATTAAAGGTAATCTATTCCTCATAAATACTTCAGACAATCAGATTTTATCAGTAGCCTAATAGTATCTGATTAAATCTCTTTTGTGAAACTCCTTACACTTATTTGTAATAAAGTGTAATTTCACGAAACCTTTTTAAATACCACAGAAAGATGAACATTAAAATAGGAAGTAGATAAACTAAAATAAAACCAAGTTTTACAGGATTTGTCCCTCAAGGATTTGTTTATCAGATTTTAAAACTCTTTAATATTTGTAAATCTAATTGTATACATTACATTCATGCCTTTACATTTATTTGTGAATCTGCTATTTTCTATTGGTAAATCTATTTTGTTTATTAATATAGCAACAATAACTCCTATAGTGACAACCATTTCATTGGTTTTTAATCTCACAATTGAACTAGTCTAGATTCCACCGAAGTGTTTTGTATTTTGACAGACACAATCAATCTTTACCCATAGTGTTTGCATTGAAATAATACAAAATATAACTGACACAGTGCTTACATTAATACCTTTTTTTCTCTCTCTCTGCAGAACACCCAATTTTAAGTCACAAAATGGCAGTTTTCAGCTCACAGGTGCTTCTCGCTGTAACAAGATCAAGGTGAGGTCATCATCCATGTCATTGGTGCAAAACATTTGTATCCTATTCCAAATACAATCACTTCACATGTCTAATTCATCTGATTTAAGCAATGTTCTGGCTCAAAACAGTGCTGTCAGTTACCATAGACAATTATTTTTGCCTTGTATTTTTGTTCAAGCATATATATTAATTATTGCATTCAAAATATATTTGACCTGTAAAGTTGGCAAAGTCATTTTAGGCATGTGAATACTTTTCTAGGCTGATTTTAATGTTGTTCCTGAAGCTGGATTTTTCTTCCTTGGGCATGTAATTATAAAGTTACCAGGTTTATGGTCTTTATATGATGATTTGATTGAAAGATTGGATATAACTTTGAACAGAAAAGGCTTGTAAGCAATTTTAACAAAACTAATTTCATGTTAACATATACAATGTTAAAATCTTCTGGCTATATTTTTGAAACTGTAATTATTTTCTCAGCATAATACCTTGCTTCATCACTTGCCTTGATAAGTTCATTACTGTAACAGTTTTGATTGTTTATACAATCTAAGGAACAAGTTGAAATCATTTTCTGTAGTAATCAAGAGCATAGAACATCCCTTAAATATTCTAAATATAATGTTTTATTTTCTTTGCTTTAAGACCTCACCGTTCTCGTTTTCTTTCAGAGGATCCTACTTGCTTTCTAAAAGACACGGCAGTGTTTCGCTCCGGTCGACTGCATGCGTGCGCTATCATTCAGAGTTCGTCGGACAGGCTGCCGTCACAGCCAGGTGTCCCAGGCCTCTGTACCCCTGTTACACATCCAGCTTGATCCGCCCTGGTTGCGTAGCCGCACGTCCCCTCCACAGCTCTTGTGCGTGGCTGCAAGAGGCGAAGGACACCGCTGGGGGTTCTGAACCCATCAAGGGTGACGCTGTCCCGGCCGCCTCCGCCACTCAACCACTGCCAGCACCACCAGCAGTGCCAAGGAAGTCTCTGGGACAGAAAGTTCTGGATGAGCTCAAGCATTACTATCATGGCTTCCGCCTTCTTGGCATCGACACCAAAATCGCTGGCAGGATGGTCTGGAGGTTACTGCACGGGCAGCTGCTCACCAGGAGGGAGAGGAGGAGGGTATGTTTGGGACGGAATATTGGAATCAGAATTAAGATGGTTTTACTTTGGGTTTAGCACGGTAGAGGGATTGTATCAGCTATTATTCCATGGTAATTTGATATGAATATGATAATAATATATCTCCATAATGTATTTCAATGGTACTCCCAAGTTAATTTAAATAATAGCAATCTGTCCGATTAGTCATATTTCTTTGCACTGCCATGATATGTGAGCGTGAGTTGAATTTGAATAATATCTGATAACTTTTTAAAGAATGTTTATTAACAAAATGAACTGGAAACAAAATGATAGTTTTTGAAATTCCAGATTTGAGAGATGCAGTCATTGTGGGAAATTGTCACCATATTAAGTAATATTATTGGAGCCTCAAGTTTTTGGAAGTACTTAGGCTAAATCTTATATTACACTTACTAACTTCACAATTAATAAATCCCTTCAATATAAAGAAATGAATAATACAGGCTTTCCTGTAGCTCAAACAGTAGAGCGTTGGCGCTTGCAACGCCAAGGTCATGGGTTCGATTCCCAGGGAAAGCAAGAACCGATAAGAATGTAAATGTGTACCTTGAAATGCAATGTGGATAAAAGCGTCTGCAAAATGCATGAATGTCAATGTATAATGGGTACAACAATGTTTCATGTACAAAAATGATAACATGTTACCATGATTACCATATTTATTTATACACCATGGTATTTGCATAATATGCCATGGTACTTCAAAGAATATCATCATGGTATAACAATGTTGCCATGTCCAAAAAAAACAAAAAACATGGTGATGCAAGATTTTATATTTTTCCTTTATCATTGGTCATGGTGATGTTAATCTGAAATCTTCAGTGTTTCCCCTACCATTGTTTTTGGGGGGCGGCCCGCCCCCCCTAAAATGCTGACGAAATCCAGTCATAAAAAAGGAATTTAGTGTATAACGCGGAATTTCACGGAATTTGTAAATTTGAGGAAAAAATAGAAAGCAGTTCAGTACACTTGAAATCAAATCGCGATGTAGACTAGTGTGTGTGAATATTAAAACACAAAGACTATTTAAATACGAATCCTGCATGTTCTGTGTGAATGAATGGTGCCGCCGACGCGCAGTTTCATTTACCACACACACACACTGAAGCACGTGTGACGCTTGCGCTGTTTTTTGGCCTATATGAAGACACAAATGCATGAACTTCCTCTCCAGGCTCTAGATCCACTCTGAAAGTCACTTCGTGATCATTTCACGGCTTCATTTGAGAAAAACTATCATCATGACATAAACACACAGAAACTCAAAAGGTCTTCACGGCAACCCGTCAAAATAAAAGTTCGGTTTAACTTGACAGAAATGTATTACTGTTGTACATTAGAATTTAGATATGTCCCAATGTAATAATACACTAACACTAATCCAAATAAATTATCATCAAAACTGAAATTTTTAAGGAATAATCCATGTTTTAATTTTAACAGTAAAGCTCATTGTGCAGCAAGTTATTTGACAAAAAGTTTATTTAATTTCATGATTAAAATTGATGATAAATGATAAAATTTGTGTTTTATGTCTTAATTTTATTACCAGAAAAAACACAACACAGAATTAGTGTGAATTTTTTTTTCATATATTTAAAAAAAAAAAGTTGTATAAGTTTAAGGATTCATAATACATGATTTCAATTAATTAGACATGCTTTTTGATTGCAAAAAAAATTGACGCCACGTATCCGTAACACGCCCGCTCCGCAACACTAGCATTCCCTTTGGTGAGTCTCAACTTCTTTATATAAGATGATGCAAGTAGTTTGACAGATGAAAGTGTGTCATAAGTTATAAGAGTATTATGACAAAGTAATAAAGTTTGGTAATCCTGTTAGAACAAACCAGTGCTTGGTCAAGGATTTATAATGTAAGGTGACACACAGGATTGCATAACCAAGAAGCTTTACACCTCAGAGAAAGCTCAGCTGGATTAGGCCAGAAGAGCTTCTCTCAGTCTCTCTTACCCATATTGCTTTTGTTTTTGACTATTGTCGAATAAAACTTGTCCCATTGTCTCCACAGCTGATGCGGACATGTGCCGACTTGTTCCGGCTCTTGCCCTTCATGGTCTTTATCATCGTTCCGTTCATGGAGTTTCTGCTCCCCGTTTTCCTCAAACTCTTCCCAGAAATGTTGCCTTCCACATTTGAGACCGAGTCCAAGAAGGTGTGTCTTATTATTTAAAATGACAGCAAAAGTTGTTCAGTTTGATTAATTGGACCTCAATCATGAAACATGAGAATAACAAGTCTGTGTAAAATGAATCCGCAAATTTCAAAATTGAGAAGCAACTAATGAAACTGCTTCATTTTGATTTATTGGGCCTCTTTCATTAAACATAAATTGAACAAATTGATGTAATTGATTCGTAAACCATTGAATGAAAGTAACCATTTTCGTGAAGTTTTTTTTTGCAGATTCTAAATGCAACTGATTAGTAATGACTAAGGGAAGTGCTGAATTTATTTCTTTTGCACTTCCAGGAGGAAAAACAGAAGAAGGGACTTGCTGCTAAACTGGAGCTGGCCAAGTTCTTGCAGGAGACCATTGCTGAGATGGCCAGGAGGAATAAAGCAGCTGTAGGAGACGAGACTCAGAAGTTCTCCACTTACGTACAGCAGGTTAGTTTGATAATCGAAGCCATTTTTCCATTTCCCATGTAGTGAAATTGTTCCGGATGCGATTGACTCTTTAACTCGTCTGCTATAGGTGCGGCACACGGGTGAACAGCCCAGCACTAAAGACATCGTGAAGTTCTCCAAGCTCTTTGAGGACGAGCTGACGCTGGAGCATCTGGAGCGGCCGCAGCTGGTGGCGTTGTGCAAACTCCTGGAGCTGCAGCCCATCGGCACCAATAACCTGCTGCGTTTCCAGCTGATGATGCAGCTGCGCACCATCAAGGCGGACGATGAGGTGAGACAAACGCAGACAACTGCGACTGACCCTTTACAGTGGTTGTACAGCTGAATTTATGACTCGACATGTTGCTGTGACCTCTAGGCTCGTGGGTGACTGAGCCATACGTCTTAAAGGGATAGTTCACCCAAAAATGTACTCAGCCGTATGTTGTTCCAAACCTGTATGAGTTTCTTTCTTCTGTTGAACACAAAAGAATATATTTTGAAGAATGTTGGTAATCAAACAGTTGCGTTAGCCGTTGACTTTCCAAGTTTCCCTTTAAGACGTATGGCTCAGTCACCCACAAGCCTAGAGGTCAGTTAGTTTATTAAAACTAACATCATAAAGTATGATTTTTTTTACTTTGAGCAATGATGGAGCTATACTTGACTTTTCTTAGGAGCATATAAAACAAAACAGCTCCTTGGACAAAATGAAATTTAATATTGTAGTAGTTATAAACAAAGGTTTATTTTAGTTCAGATTAACATTTGAGGGCAGCAATTGTATTCATAATGTCAAAATAAAACCGACGTAATGTTACTTGAAAGCATTGTAGCCTACTATTCCTGCCAAACTTCCATGGTTACAGTTAGTAGTGTTACTACAGTAAATCCATGGTGAATGTTGCTGATCTGTGGACACTGAATAGTTCATTCATGGCACAATGTTTCTTCCTGGTTTCCACGTCAGCGCTGTTTGATCCGTTAATAACGGAGAAATGTGAATGTTTCTCACTAGATCTCGAAGCGATGTTATTACTTCAGTGGCGAATTCAATTTTTTTCTTTACTGGATTTCGCTGTGTAGTAACAGTGCTGCTTGATCAAGATCGGCTCGCGCTGCATTGGTCCAAACTGATAAACGGTCCGTCAACCACACAATAACGAGTGGTTTCGTTCCGCTTACATTACATTTGCCATTTGATGTTGGGCAATGTTGTGGTAACGCCAGCGTCTCTTACATTATGCATTACACGACGCGCCTACATTTGAAATAACGAAATTTTGGTCGGCACTCTGCAGGAAAAATGGTCCAACGAACTGTTCGGTTTAAAAATGCGTAACGAAAACCGTACCGAACAGTTCAATACGAATACTTGTATCGTTACACTCCTAATGTTTTGCCTCCCCCACCTCAATTCCACTGCTTGACTGTCGCATTTTTTTTTTTACGCAAAAACACGTTCAGTGTAAATGGCCACTTAGACCTTAAAGAAATGTTCTGGGTTCAGTATGTTAAGGAGATGATCTCAGCTGTTTGTGTCTCTGTGTAGGTGATTGCCACCGAGGGTGTGCCTGCAATGAATGTAGCAGAGCTTCAAGCCGCCTGCAGGAGTCGCGGCATGAGGTCTTTGGGTCTGACCACAGATCAGCTCCGACAGCAGCTACAGCAGGTGTGTGTGTGTGTGTGTGTGTGTGCACAGACCAGCCTGACTAGGTTGTAAAACTGCCTACTGGAGGATATTTATGACTGTGTTCCACCTAAAGACTGTAGACAAATTGGAAGTGTGAAACGTATGACAGATTTTGAAATAATCCTCTTATATTTATCTGCTTAAATGTGTTATTTCCTTAATGGATCATTCCGTGTCAACTCAACCAGAGATCCCTTGCATAATTTTTTTATTTTGTCAATATTTTTACTTCAGAAAGACAAACATAAATGGGGATGAAAGCCAAAATATTAAATATCACAGATGTATATTTACTGAGTAATCCACTATTTTATAGAGGGGGGTCAAAATGACAATTTTCTCCTGAGATTTGGAGCCAAATTAAAGGGGAAGTAAAAATGTCTTAAGAAAGATGGCAGCATCATTATTTTATTTTTGCACAGAGATTGGTAGGTCTATTAGCTAAATCTGTTAACTTTAGCTATCTTTGTTTCATTATATGCCAACGGTAACAGTTGACAAAATGGGCAAAAAGCACTTCTTGTGTTTTTTGCCTCAAGTTTGCATGCCTGTAACTCAAGAAGTATTAGAGATATCTTAATATCCTTTTAGATTCTGGTTCTTAACAAATATTTTTTTTTGTATCTTCATTTTAAAGGCCCTCAGTTTCCTAAATTTGGTTGATTTGACACGGAATGACCCTATTGCCGTGGATGGCATGGTATCATAATGCTGCATCATCCATGCTTACAGCTAAATTTATGATGTTTTCCATCCAAATACTGAGTTGTCACTGCTCTCTTTTTGCTTTGAATTATTGATGATTTGTTGATCTTTTTTTTGCGTTCTTCGTCTCTCAGTGGCTGGACCTGCACTTGAAAGAGAATGTCCCACCGTCCCTCTTGCTGCTCTCCCGTGCAATGTACCTGACGGACCTCACTCCTAAACCTCCAATCATCCCACCGGTGCCCAAATTGGAGGTGAACACTCAATATACATATATCTCTAAACCAGATGTTGTCAACTGCTCACTATCTGCTTTAAAAACAAAATGGCCCCCAGTTCTCGCAACGAATTACCTTTGACCTTTGAAACCTTAACCAATTGATGCTTGGACCTTAATCAGGAGGAAATGCAGACTGGCACAACGCTGCATAAGCGACGGCTGATATGTTATCATTGTATGCTAATGGTTGTTATGGATTGATGTGCATTGACCACCTTCTCTCTGTCCGTGTCACAGAAGGCCACTCCTCCTGTGGAGGCTGAAACCGCAGCCAAAGGGAACCCACTGTCCTCCTCAGTGGAGGTGCTGGTGGACTCCGCTCCTGTCATCAAAGACAGAAAGGTAGGACTCTTATTATGTCACCAATCAATCAATGTCTTCAAATGCGTCTAAGCCGATCAGGCATTGTATAACAATAACCAAGAGGAGAAATGCTTACAAATAGGTTTAATTGATGATATTTTTAATACTTCTTTTGTATTGTAGTCAGAAGAATTGTTGGAGAAACCCAGAGGGTTGGACATGCCATCGCCCGAAGCTCAGTTAATACATGTAAGTGTGTCAAACAAGATGTTGTGTTGAACACATAAATATGTGTGTTTATTGATTGGTGAAGGGTCATCAATGTTTGGTTTTTGCAAGATAACTTTCAATATTATGCATATTTTACCGGACTGTCCTGCTTTTATGTTACTAGGCAACTGTTTGATCAGAAGATTCATTTATAGAATTATTTAAAAAAGGTTTCCTCTGGGAAATAATTTAGAATTTCTATCAACTATTAAAACAAAATATTTTATATAGCAGTTTTTGTAATATTGTAAGAGGTTCAATTTAACATTTTTTTTTTTTGCATGAATATAATGGAGGCCCAAACCTGAAGTTTAAAATAAATGTGTAGACAAATAAATAAATGTAATACTAGGAAAATAAATAAAGCCATAAATAACATGATAAAACAATTATAACTCTAACTTTGATTAAATTTAATCCTGAATTTATTGTTGTATTACTTTTTTTTTTCTGTGTTTATATGTATTTTTATTCTTTTTAAAATTTAATTATTTATTTATTCTTTAATTAATTTATCCATTTACCGCCTCAGGGCTCGCAAAATTTCCAAATCGCTGGTAGCCCTTCGGGCAGGCACTCTTCAGATTTTGGTAGCCCGTAATTTTACTAGCCCAAATAAAAAGACAATTTTTAAGAGAAATAATGACTCTCTTAAGCTTTGACACTTTTCTCTGGAGTTTTGAAAACAGTGTCACTTTGTGGCAGGTTAAATTTATAGCAGCCATAAACCAGAGCGCGCAGCTCCGCTGTTTTAAAGCCTGACAATGCTAAAAGTGTTCATTTTCTGATGGAATAATTCACATATTGAGGTGTAGCAATAAATAATAATAATAATAATACCAGACTTTTTTGAGGCAAGTAAATGGTGCTCTAATTATTTTATGCTGTTTATATAGCAGAATATTACACTTATTACACTATTTCATATAGCCCGTCGGTTATGCATTTTGGTAGCCCGAGCTAGCGATTTTGCGTGGCCTTTCTCATTTCCATGTTGCACATGGAAAAGTAAAAACAAATAAATATGTAAACAAATGCATGTTGGAATAAATAAACATTTAAAAGTTAATTTAGTAAAATTAACCCATAAAGGAATAAATATAAAAAAAATAAAAAAAAATACAGGAAATAAAAGAATTACATAATTTCAAAATTACAGAAAATTGAAGCAATACAAAAATAAATTCAGGAATTAAATTTAGTTAAAAGTTAATTATTTTTGTTTTATTCCGTTATATATCTTTTTTTTTTTCCTCCTGCAAGTTTAGACCTCCATAGAATGTGTTATTAAAAATATAAATAAATAAATGTTTAATAGCTCATATTTAACTGTTTTAGATTTAGATTTAGTGTGAAAGTAGCTTCTACAGTGATGTTTAATGAGACCAGAAAGGTCAAAGTTCTAGAAGCTGCTGGATATCAACTCTCTGTTCTGTCCCATCAGGCTAAAGAGGCAGAGTTGTCACAGAAATCCAAGATGAGCGCCAATGGGATATGAGAGGTGCTTCATGTTTCCACACTCATCTTATTCTGTCGGAGAAGAGGGTGAAGGTTCGAGTTTGTCCTCTTCTGCTGAGTAAGCTTCTCTCTGACAGTCCAGGACCTTTCACACAGACGTGATGGACTGGCCGCATCACATCCTCCATCGACATCTGGTCCTCCAAAAAGGAGGAAAATGGTTTATGTTAGACTTTAGACATCACTCCTTCTTGACATCCGTGACATGTTTACATCTGAAGATTTGACAAATTCTGTACATTTGCAATGGAAAAAGCATCAAGACTCGTACCAGCCAGGAAATGAATAAGGAACTCGTAAGATTTGCCTCTTTTTGCTTAACTTCATTATGTAAATGTGTAAATAAATTGTACAATATCTGCATATTATATAAGTGCTACTGCTTCATAGAGTCGGCTGTGCCATGTGCATAGGCTAACAGATGAAAGAAATCATATTATTTTAATATGAGGAATGCACATGCTTGCATTCTGGATTTAGTTTGGCAGATGAGTTGTAAATGGCCAAGTATGAGTGTATTTTTTTTATTTGAAATTTTCAAATTCCCCTTTCCAAGGGAATTTTACGTTCACTCCCTCAGGGGATGCGATTAGCGGTGTAGCGATTACGCCAGGCCTGCCTATGGCAGACTGCAGTTTGGCACAAAAAAAAGGTTTTATCATAAAGTGTGTATTTAATTTGTTCATTCGTATGCTGTGTCCCTCATCGAATCATGCATTTACATTTTCCTTGGCGGAAAAGCCAAATGACTACTGGAGTCATAAGTTTACGTTTCGCTTATGGTGAAAAATATTCAAAATTCCCCCAAAGAGAAATGTTTATTTTTTGATTCATGTACTGTTTGGATTATTGTGATTCATGTTGCACTGGATAAACCCAGGGAGGGAAAACAATATTTTATGGCAATACTGTAAAGTTTTCATTTAAAAAGCATTGAATCCCCTAAAATGTTTGCTTTGTTTATCCCATAGCCTGCCTTTTGATTGTAATCCTAACTGAATTTGTTGTCCCATTCTGTCCCGGTGCACTTCTTTTTTTTAATGTTGAGCAATTGTGTAAAATTGAGTTTAAACTGCCTCTCATTGCCTAAAGCTGCTTACCATCTTTGACCACTGTACAGTCAAGAAGTAAAGGTGCTCAATGCCCATACCTCTCCTCAATATCCAAGTGTTATTACACCTGTTTATTTAGTGTTATTTAAACAAATGCTACATTTTGGTTTCCAAAATTGACAAATTTAAAGGGTCAAACCCACACCTATTTGCAATTAATTGATTATTGTTTAGTTTAAAAACATTTAATTAAAAAAAGCTTCAAATATAAAAAAAGAAAAAGATTATTCTTAACTGACCTCCACATGCATGATTGTTTTTTTTTTACCCAGGGGTTTTCAAACTGGGGTGCTATAGGGGGTCTGTGGAAATCGAGATTTTACTAAATGCATTTTTAGGGCTATCAACATTAGCATGTTAATGCTATTATTGGAAACTTATAATATATTTAATGAATTTTTTTTTTAAGGTCCTTTACCAAAAACTAGGCTACTATATTTGATACTACTTTCATTCGGCCCTACTTTTAGAAAGAAATGGAAAAACAAACCCGCATATTACAGAGCCAGAGTGAGTGAGATGTTGGAAAAAACGCGAGATGGAGGGGAAAAAACTATCTCGTTCGAAACTTTGTGTTGCTTGCAAAACGTTTCCGTTTCACGATTTGCATTCACACAAAAGGTTTGCGTTTCCTTGAGAAACTGCGTTCGCTCGTAAAACGTTCGTGTTCAAACGAGAAACTTTGCGTTCGCTCGCAAAGCTTTTGCGTTTCCTCGAGAACTTTAGCAAGAGAACGCAAAACGTAAGCATTCACTCGCAAGGAAGTTTTGCGAGCGAATGTTAAAGCAATGGAATATCATTTTTCCTTTATAATATTTTCAATTACCACGACCCGTTTACGGTCTCTGTAGCGTTTAGTTTTGTAAAATATAAAATCATAATATTACACACAGTATTTTCTCACATTCTATACATAAAACCATATAATTGCCTTTTATATTGTAAGGAATCATCCTGTTTGGGGGTCCTTGGCATCAAAAAAGTTTGAAAATCCCATATTTTACTTATTTTGTGTTTTTATCAATTTGGAAATTGAAGTTGCAAGCCCCGCCACAGTTCTCCAGCACACTTTGACTGCACACACAGCTTGTGATTCCTCTGGGATCCTGGTCAATGGTTGGTTGATCGAAGATGCCTGCTCTCTGTTTTTTAGTTCCACTCCGTTTAAACAAGCTGATTAGCAGGAATCTCATTCCTTGGATTAGTTCAGTGGAGCATTAGGCCAGGACTTAGGCCCCATCCACACTACTGCGTTTTAGTTTAGAAACGGATAATTAAAACGAATACGATCTCCGTCCACACCAGCGTTTTAGCTGCGTATTAGAATTGATCTCCGTCCACATTAAAACGACTGAAAACGTGGATCACGTGACCATTCACCAACACTGGGCATGCGCGTGCCGGTGTAAACACAACTTCATTGATAAAATTATCCCACCATGCTCTGGGTTAACCACAAACCGACGCTCCGTACGGTCAACGCCGCCGCTGCACACGGGAATTGTCACAGATCACTCGAATAATAGCTTGACTCCGGTGCATGTAGGCAGTTATAGCGTTGTAAAATGCAGAATTTACTTGTACAACAGCTGCTAGCAAAGATATACGCCATGACTGATGACACCCAATCATAGAGCCGAGCGTGAGCCTCTACTACGTCAACGTTTCTAAAGTCCTCCGTTTTGACCCGTCTACACTAAAACGCCCTCCGGAGATTCAAAACGAAAAACGGGTCGGCAGCGTTTCTAAACTCCTCCGTTTTGGGTCTCCGTTTTTGCCGTTTTAGTGTGGACGGGAGGTGCAAACGTAGCAAAAGGTCTCCGTTTTTAAACGAAAACGCAGTAGTGTGGACGGGGCCTTACACTGCTCATGCTGGTACAGTTGCATGAGGCTCGTCACAAGACTCCTGAAGTCTCCCATGAAAACCTGTCTGGAATTTGAGCATTCTTACATCAAGCTGACTTTTAAGATAATTTCTCACAACTATTCCGTGCTTCTGTACGCAAAATAAATCTATTATTTGAAAATGTCGCTGTTCTTTCTTTTTGTATTCCTACTGAAGTTAATGCCTTAAATAGTTTTGTCTTGAGTTTCAAAAATAGTTGAGTTGGATGCATTTCAAAACAAGATCATCAACAAGAACGCCACCACAAAGTTGAAAAGCTTATAGCAAAATACCAGTGAAAAGTTCTGGCTTTTCTGTTAGCATGCACCGAGTTGAAAGTTGAGCGTGTCAAGGAGAGACATCGGCTATGCCAGCTAACAAAAAAAGGTCCCCAGACAGTATTACAGTGGCTTCATAAATTAATGTAAAACATAACACACCTGATGCACATTCTTTGTTCTTCATGTTCTAGAAGTAGAATTTAAAAACCTTGCTGTATTTTGTGTAGTTAATTATGGTGCGTTCACGTGCTATGGTAATTATGGTAAATACCAAAAGCCGACGTGGAAAATGCACATGAACACCTCCTCATGTGGTATTTTCCACTGGGCAGCTCGTAGAATATTTATAACCTTTGACCTTTTCAAAACATTGCCCATCCCTGCATGGTCTAAGTAGAGAAGGTACACCGCCTGCTCCGTATTTACGTAACTCGTACATACGAACTTCACATGAGGACTTGAATGCACTCAACCAAAGTGAGAAGTAGTCTAAGGGATGGCAAATTATTTTGCATGTCCTAAGTTTCCAACTTTGACACATTAGCATTTTTTTAAAAGTTGATATCAATAATGCAGCAGGATTAACCATGTTAGAAACAATGTTTACTAGCCAAAGTGTGTATTTATTTGTTCTGCAATAAGATACATTTATGTCTTTTAAAATTATTTTTGAAGTCACTGCATAGAATGTGCTTGCTTACTGTGGCTGGTTGCATAAACTGCTTAGACCAGTCTAACAAGTTAGTTATACTTTTTTTGTTTTAAATTTGACATAAGTTACATGAAAACCGGTTTACCACTTGGCCTAGTTGGTCAGACTTGATCATAAGCGTTTTAGTGGCTGTGTTTATGCAACTGTCCCCGCTTTAACCCGTAACCCACTGTATAATTGATCATTCAAAAGCCCCTGTAAATGCTGTTGCAACCTGTTTGCTGTCTCTGATTGATAGTTTATACCTACTTTGTTTAACAAGTAAAAGGGCTTTTATTCTAAAAATGTCCACCTTCAGATCAAATCTTTACAGATTTTTATAAAGTAAACCTAAGAATAACTTTTATTGTTAGTAATATTGTACAAGATGAACACTTACTGGACTGAATCAACTTAGGTTTACTTGATTATAGTGTTTTTCTCTTCTCATATATTCCATATTCTCCATATTCTCACTATAGCATATGAGCCATAAAAGACTGATGTGTGAAATTTCATACTCAACAAAAACAAACGTGCAGGTTTCTTTTTCTTTAGATTTCAATAAATTTGTCCATTTTAAAACATTATTTTTTTCTGACTATTATTTTATGTCAGTTTTTACAGGGTTAATTATGTGGAGGTGGGACCATCTAGTGGTTAAAGTGTAGGACTTCATATCTCAGATCATCCTACATTATGTCAGTAAACGGAGCGAACAGTGGAAAATGATCTTACTGATGACGTTTCTAGTCCCATGATGGATTTTGTTTTAATTAAAAAAAAATTATATATATATATATATTTTTTTTTTGGGGGGGGGGGGGGGGGGGGGGGGATTTTAAGCTAGCACGTGTATTTGGGGACCCACTTTTACCACTGTTACAGGTTAGGGTTCGAAACCATTATTAAAAATGGAACATGTGCGTTAACAGCTTACAGCACAAAGCAATCTGCTGAACACAATATAGCCTATGAAACCAGTCATTCATAACTGTTTATCTAAATCATTATGTTTTCTAACAACGGCTGCTCAAAAATACACTACAATAGACAGCACAAAGACATCTCTACAGATGAGGTGCACATCCTACACAACATTGAGGCCTATATTTTTGAAGGATGCGGTTGCTATTTGCAACTTCCTGTCGTGTTCTGAGGTGCGCGTGAGGGGAGACAGCCAAAAACATCTTTGACATAGAGAGACTCGGACGGTTGTCTTGTCTTGTTTTTAGTTTGGGCCGGGGTTTTGATCGCTGAATGAGACATTGAGGACCACCGATAGACTGAAGGGACTGGGATTTCTTAAGGAGTTGGGGTGAATTTAAAGGGAGGGAGCCATGGCCTCCCTCCTGATGCGTATCTTTCGGCTGGGTGTGGAGAAAAAGCGAGTTAGGCACTATGAAAACCTGAAGAGGGATGTTGATCCTCACCAGATGTGGGAGACTCAGGGAGAACTGGGGGATGGAGCTTTTGGGAAGGTGTATAAGGTAAGGGATTCAAATGATGATGATGATAATGAGGTTCAATTCTCTGTTAAATACAAAATAACAATATATTTCTCTCAGGTCATTTACTGCAAACTATATTGGATTTAATGTTAGCAAGAAAAGCACTAAATGTTTTAAAAATAAAATAATAATAATGAAACTGGGCCTTACTGACATGGTCTGATCTAATCTGCCATTTCAAGGAAATCCCTCCCACTTTAGACTGGCATGCCAGCTAAACTGACAAATACTTTTGCTAGTATAGTTGTTTCTTGTTTAAAAAGTCATAATTAAAAAGTTAAAATGATGACATTAAAAAGTAAAAATTGTGACATACGGTAAAAGTCATAATTATGAGATAAAAAGTCAAAATTATGGCATGTTAAGTCATTTATGAGATGGAAAAATTGAAAGAATGTCATGCTTAATTGAAATTTTGACTTAAAAAAGAAAATTATGACATTAAAAAAGTCGAAATTACTTACTAAGTAACACTTATGAGATAGCCTACTAACACGTAATTAGATGTTGACTTTTCATAACAATTTTGACTTGGTATGTAACAATTTTGACTTTCTATCTTATAATTATGACTTGGTATGTAATAATTAAGATTACTAAAGCATGATTGTTTTTTCTTATGTGGGGGTTCCAAAGAAAGTCAAAGCAGAATTGCATTTGACCTGAGTAGTGATGTTTTGTTCCTAAATGAATCGGTTGAGTGAATGATTAAATGATTCACTCATTAGTGCACTCACCTGTCGCCTAGTGGTGTAATGATGTAACCTGCAAAAAGAGCCACTAAAACAAGTCGTACTGTTTTATGCAGTATTGCTTCTCAAGTAAATTCATCTTGTTTTAATGTTTAGATATTTTATTTTATAAAAAAAAAAACAAGACAAAATAGCCTGAAAATCTGAATTTCAGATCAATATTTACTGTATAGACTTAGAAAACACTTTATTTAATCATAATTCATTATATTTCATTTTAGTTTATTTCAAATGTATTTGTAACCATGCAGTCACCAGGAAAAATTGCTTTGAGATGAAAAACTGGTGGGTTTTGTAGGATTGTAGGTTTCCAAGGTGACAGGTAATGAGGGGTTAGGGCTATACTGCGGTTTTGCAACTTCCTGTTAAACCATAATGTGAAAGATCAGAGATGGCTTCCTGTTAGTGATTTCAACCCCATATAAATCAACCCCCTTTCTGCATCTTTCTCTGCAATGAATCACACTTTGCAGTACTGCTTTGAGCAGTTTTCAGTTTTTATAAATGCATGTCTTGCACCATGGCCTGCAAGAGTATTTCCCTGCTTTTAGAACTTCTGATGCACTTTTTTTTGGGTAATGACAAAGACAAGTGTTACAGTCAGTATGTAATGTTGATCTCAGGCTCAGAATCAGACTACAGGGGTCCTAGGAGCTGTTAAAGTGATTGAAGTGCGCAGTGAAGAGCAGCTGGACGACTACATGACTGAGATAGACATCCTAGCAGCCTGTCGCCATGCAAACATCCTCTCCTTGCTGGAAGCCATCTTCTTTGAGAGCTGGCTGTGGGTAAGCCACATCTGTTTATGGCTGTTTTTTTTAACAGCTGGATGCTTTTTTGTAACAGTAGCATTTTTCTTTTTTATCTTTTGTTATATGGATTGACTATGTATACTATAACTATAAATGCTGTACAAAACTCTCTTCCTTTACATATAGATTGCATTGTGTTACCCTTGACCAAGGCCGATACCTTTAATGTTTAAACATGAAAATACATCATAACAATATTGGAGAAAATAGTAATTTCAACAAAGAATGAAATAACCCTCAAAGTATTGGGTGAAATCATTAATATAATATTTTTGTACTAATTTTTATGACTCCCTCAGTTGTGGTATCATCATGCAGTTCCATCATCACCAACAATTTTTCACAGGATATATGTATAGTAGTTAGCCAATATGTGCCATTTCCATCATTGTCATTTTCACCACAGGATACTGCTAATCATAATTCATCTTTTTTGAGTGTATCATCATGCATTTTTATTATGTCCACAATTGTTTGCCTATAATTTTCTTTTAAAAGTTAGTGTACTTATACCAAGGAGAAAACAGAGTCAGTAAAGATCTATATTAAAATATTAAGCAGCACAACTGATTCCAACATTGATAATAAGGGAGCATCAAATCAGCATATTAGAATGATTTCTGAAGGATCATGTGACACTGAAGACTGGAGAAATGATGCTGAAAATTCAGCTTTGACATCACAGGAATAAATTACATTTTAAAGTATATTATAATAGAAAAAACTATTTTAAATTGGAATAATATTTCACAATATTACTGTTTTTTCTGTATTTTTTAATCAAATAATCAAATAAATGCAGACTTGATGAGCATAAGAGACTTCTTTCAAAAACATTAAACATAGTAATGTTTCCAAAGTTTTGACCGGTAACTTAGTTGAACTATAAGTGTTTATTTCCGTAGAAGTCCCTGAATGCTTTCTCTTTTTAGATCCTGATTGAGTACTGTCCTGGAGGAGCTCTGGATGATATCATGTTGGGTGAGTCTGGAACATACTTGACACTATAATCATTTATAATAATTTCTGGTTGTATCTGTATTGCATTATTGTACTTTATACTGTGTGTTTCAGAGCTGGAGCGCGGCCTTACGGAGCAGCAAATCAGTGAGGTGTGCTGTCAGACTCTACAGGCTCTGTCTTATCTGCACCAGCATCACATTATACACAGAGACCTGAAGGCTGGCAACATTCTGCTCACAACGGATGGGCAGGTCAAACTAGGTACAGATATACCGTTCTTTGTTCCCCTCTCACATTTTTAGGCCTAAGAACTCAATACAGTCTGTGCTGTATTTATTTATGTTCTCTTTTCATGCAGCTGACTTTGGTGTGTCTGCAAAAAATGACAATACCCTTCAAAAACGATCAACTTTCATTGGAACTCCTTACTGGTGAGACTCCCAAATGCTATTTATGTCATCATTTACTCACCCTTGTATTATTTCATATAAAAAAAAAAAAGACATACAGATCAACATGAGGGTGAGTAAAAGAGAATTATACATTTTGGGTACACTATCCCTTTAAAGATATGCTTTTTCGGATATTATCTTTCATGTAGTGTGTAATATAGCTGTTTGTGATTGTAAAAGGTCTGCAGAGTTTTAAAGATCAAAGTGCACAATGAATGGAGTTATTGTCTCCCAGAAGAAAGAAACTGCCTGAAACGTGTCGTCATTAATTCCAGTCTTACTTCCTGCACGAACCTACATATGTGTGAAAAATTGACATAATGCCAGCATATGGACTTCATTGGCTTCATTGTAACTGAGACCTGGGGGTTGGTTCATGTTGTCGACATGTTCGAGAAGATGCTGTTTTCTGCCCTGTGAAAGCAAAACCACTCTGCATGCACTTCCAAAGGATGAGGACGTGATACGGTTTCTCCATCATTGCTGTTCGTATCTCTGTGTATCAAGCGCTGATGAAACCTCCGGAGCTGAAATTCAGATATTGTAATGGGCGTTTTGTTTCTGACGCGCACTGTAAGTGGTTTTGGAGAGAATTAATCTGACTCTGAGTGTGAGACAGAATCCTTTATCAAACCGTTTCAGACACTGTAGAAAAAGAGGTGATGCTGCAATGCATAGTATGAGAAAATTCAAGTTTTATTTTGACCTTGGATGCATGTAAACCTATTGTAGGAGACCTCGAAAACAAAATGAGGAACTTTTGAAATAGCATAATAGGAGCACTATTTAACTTCATAAAAAGTAACACGATAAATTATTCCTCTACTGAAAACAAAACTGCCACTAAAAAAAAATAGATTAAAATATTTTGTCTTTTAAGGATGGCACCTGAGGTGATTATGTGTGAGACGTCGAAGGACAATCCCTACTCCTCTAAAGCTGACATCTGGTCATTGGGCATCACTTTAATTGAGGCTGCTGAGATGGAGCCCCCTCATCATTCTCTCAACCCTATGAGGGTCCTGCTGAAGATCACCAAGTCTCCACCACCCACACTCTCCAATCCTCGCCACTGGTGGGTCTTCACTTTGTCGTCCCCGCTCTAGATCTGCTAAGAGTTTTAGGCTTATCCTGATTTTTTTCGACAGGTCATCACATTTCCAAGATTTTCTACGGAGGACCTTGCAGAAGAACCCTGAGGCACGTTGGGGTGCCCAACAGCTCATGGCCCACCCTTTCTCTTATGCGGGACGAGACGGACGAGCCCTTAAAGAACTCGTCGCTGAGGCCAAAGCAGAGGTCACTGAGGTCATAGAGGCTGAGGTAAACACATGATGAAATGTTCATTAAAAATTTTATAAAATATTAATTAAATAATATTTAATATTAATATATATATATATATATATATATATAAAATTCATATATATGATAATATATATATATATATAATTTAAAAATAATAAAATCAATAATTTGAATGATTCATTTATTCAGAAATACACAGAAATACATGTTGTTTGACACTGAAAAATTAATTTAATAATTAATAATTCGTGATATTTGCTAAAAAGTACACTTAAGTTGAAAAGTTTGGGTCATTCAGATTTCTTTTCAAATAAACAAATAAATACAAAATATGAAATGCTCACATGGTTTCATGGTGTAATGAAAATATTGTTTTACTTTTTTTATGGTTACACCATATGACATTTTTTGAGTCATTAAATTGAAACTTTCCTTGAAAAATATGTATGTATGTTTTTCTAACTTCTCTGACATATTTGTTGACTTATTTGATGTGTTTGACTCGTCTGTTGTTGGATCTGTGAAACAAACATAATCCAAGGGTGTAGCAGTACATATCTTAATACAGCATTTTCTGCATTTTTTCAACTGCAGTCTTTGTTGGATTTCCAATGTTCCGTGAAAGAGACGATCGCCACCGAGTCAGAGCAAACAGCGGCACAACCAGGACAACCCATAGAAGAACAAGGACCACAAGAACCTGAGACCCCTCGGAAGACCTCTGTTCCAGATGCTCAGTCTCCCACCAACTCAGAGCCAAAACCTGAGTTTAAAGTAAGACGCAGGGCTTCCCACGCCACAGATAAAGCTCAGAAGAGGGCAAGGCGCCTCTCCGTTCCAGGAAATCTGCTCTCGTTTCTGACCGGGAGCTCCCGTCGTTGCAAATCTGGATTCTGGGGAGACAATCCACCCATTCAAGCAGCTAAAGACTCAGAAGATTCAAGCACAGCAAAAACTGTGGGAACTTGCCCTTCAGATGGCAATGAAAGTGAAAGCACTGACAAACCGATTGAGCAAATATCTGACTTGGTTGATGCTCCAAGTAATGAGGTCACTGACACCAAAGACAAGGAAGCTAGAGTAGAAACTGACAAGGAGGACGCCCAAAACTTAAACCACTCAAGCGAACCAGAACAAACACCAATACTGACAGATTCCTCTGAAAAGGAAACACTAGAACTTGCCAAGGAGGACACTGACGCTGATGAAGAAACAAACGGCAATGTGAAGTCTGTTGATTCTGGAAACGATGACCAAACATTTTGGAAATCCCTCAGAAAACCTGCTGTCATCGACAAAGACACAACACATCCACAGAGCACACTGGTTTCAGCTTTGTGTTTGGAAACACCACCAGCCAAAAAAACTGAAAGGAATGAGGGAAATTATAAATACATGTACCTTGATTTGGCCTGTCCTTTGGAAACTTTCAATTCTCCTCTCACAGTAGATATAAACAAAAGCTTAACTGTTGAGATGCCTTCTAATAATGTTCCTGAAGAAGTTCCTGACCTTAAGGAAGCACAACAGACAACTGAACCATCAGAAAATGACGCTGTAGAAGAAAAAACTGAGGCAGAAATAGAAAAACCAGCAGAACTGGAGACAGATGGAGGAACAGGGGATGAAACGAAAGAGGAAAGCTGTGAAAACGACAAGGATGTTAGTGGAGGGACAGAAGAACATATAACCACCACCAGAGAAGATCGCATTACCATGAAGGAAGAGTTTGAGGATATCAAAGAAGCTGTCAACGAAGAACATATTACCACTGAGGAAGATGTCAACTCAAGAAATGAAAAAACAGAGGAAGAGGAAAGCTGTGAAAAAGACAAGGATCTCCTTCCAGAAACAGAGGAAGAGGAACGTTCAACCAGCAAGGAAGAAGTTGCCATGCAGGTTGATCATGAGGATGTAGACTCAAGAAACAAAAACGATGAGAACATGAGAGAACCTGAGGAGATGGAAACACCAACCCAAAATGAGACGACAAAGATCATTGATTTACAGACGCCAGAGTTGCCGTGTCAAAATAAAGAAGTGATCAATTCTGATGGAGAAAAGAACATCATTGGTAACGAAGGAGATGCTGTTGGAGATCAAGAGAGAGCAAGTCTAACAGAAATCTGTTCTACGCAAAAAGAAGATAGGACGGATTCAGAGGAACCTCAGCAAGAGCTTGAAATGGATACAAATAGTACAAAGAATGTTACAGGAGAGCAATCAAAACATCTTTCTGAAGATACAACAGATGTTCCTGGAGCAAAGTTGAAAAAGCAAGTGATGTTTACTTTTCAAGAGGACCAAAACGAGCAAGAAATGCCACATGCAAATGGCTTGAAAGATTCAGACTTACCACATCCACATGAATCTAATGGATCCACACCTAAGGAATCAAACGAAGACGCATTTCCACCTCTTTCTCCTACCGAGTCTCTGCTGTCTCCTGGGCTTGAAGGGGTGAGTGTGAAACAAACGACTAGCTAAAAACATTACCAACCAGACAAATTCAACATGTTTATGTCCATTCAGGAAACGCACCCAAGCAGGCGAACCGTTAAAAGGACACGTAAATTTATGGTGGATGGTCATGAGGTCAGTGTCACCACTTCCAAAGTGCTTGGTGAAGGAGACAGCAAGGAACAACAAATGCGCCACAACAGGTAACAATTATTTGTTCTTTAGAGTGGACATAGGAAAACGGAAGTATCACATGATACTGAATGTATGTGTATGTGTTTGCAGACGACAGGAGCTGCACGCCTTGAAGCTCTTGCAGAGAGAAGAGCAGAGAGAACATGCGCAGCTGGAGCAGAAACTACAGCAGCAGCGAGAGCAGATGTTCCGCCACATAGAACAAGAGATGACTGTAAGTCACATGCACCAAACCCCTCTGGTCTCAGTTAGCCACTTAAGACATGCTATTAAATAGAAATGTTTCCAATCGGGTTGTTGTCTAAAGTACACAACTGGCAGATCATTAGATGTAGTTAAAGAAAACAAAATTAATGGCATTGGCAGCCATTTCTTTGGCCCGATATCTACTTTTTTCTAGTTTGTTGATACCAGTCAATGTTGAAAATTATTTTTTTTGCCTATTTTAAGATTTAGTAGATCATCATCTATCAATAAATTAAAGGTGTAGCCATAGATTTGGGCAAATATTTAACCATTAATTACTTTTACTAAACCATATCACTTTCCTTAAGTGCATGTTGGCACAATCTGTGTTTGTGCATAATAGTTGCATTCATTTCTTAAAAAAGTACAAAAACATTTACATGGTACTTTGACATGCAAGGACTTTTATTTTCTATTTTCAAGAATTTTTATTTTCTATTTTCAAGAATTTTTATTACTGTACATACAATATAAATGCCTAAATTCACCTGTAACACACAAACTATTTATTGTTTGTTACATTTTTAATTATTACTATTATTTTTTTTTCTTATTTTTTTTTTTATTTTGTCTGTATAACACAAATGGAAAAATGTCAAATGAAAAAAACATTTTTTCCTTTTTATTGTTCAACCGGCAAAAAAACATTATTAACTAAAGCTATTAAAAACAGTTCTCTCTAATTGAAATAAAGCTGAAATAAAATAAAATAAAATATAAATATTAGATGAAAACTTAAAACACTTAAAGGAAAATTACAAATGTTACCTTAAAGTAAAAATTACTAAAACCGAAATAACTAAAATGAAAAATAAAAATAAAATAAAAATAAGCTAATTCAAAATGTTCAAAAAATACTATAATAGTATATACTGTGTATAATAACACTGAATTGTATGATCACTTAAAAAAAAAAATTAGCACAGTCTCCTCAATAAGCATGATGTGAGGTAATTATTCATAACAATCATTATGAGCATTAGAAATAAAGATGCCTGCCCATTAATAACCTCCGTCTCAGCCATATGTTTATCCTGTTGCAGAGCAAGAAGCAGTACTATGATGGTGAGCTGGAGAGACTTGAGAAACAGTACCAGCAGCAAAGCGGTCAGATGGAGGCTGAGCACACCTCCCGGCTCAGGGAGGACGCACGGAGACTCAAGGCCCAGCAGGAGAAAGAGCTGAGCCGCAAGAGCAGCGCACTGAAAGCAGACCCTAAAGAGGTACGGACTGGTGCATGTACCCACACTGACACAGAACTAGGCCCAAACGCATGAAAACAGTGTACTTCTGCTTTAGGAGCAGCGGTTCCTGCAGAAGCAGCAGCAGGAGCTGAATGATGCTCTTCAGAAAGGCGTTCAGGAACATAAGAGGAAGGTGGCGTCCATGGAGTGGGAGATCACAGCCAAATCTCAGCAGCTCAAGCGTGGTAAGTGTGCCACTTGTCAAAAACTTATTTGTTATGTAATTTGCACAAGAATCACTATTTATGACTGTACTTGCTCTTTCTCAGTAAAATATTAAATATTGCTCCCAGGAGAGGTTAGGGAATCTATTTAAGAATGGAATACTAGATAATTAAGCAGTAAAATTAAATTAAATAAAGTGACAAAATTAAGGAATTAATAATCACATTTTTTATTGCAAAATAAAAATGTCAATAAGTAACTTTTCAAATGAACAAATAATTTATTTAAAACCATATATGTATGCATGTCTAAAAATGTAGTTAAACATATTTTTTAATTATTACTTATAGTGTTTCTTTACAAAGTGACATCGCCAACTACTGGCCTGGTATGAATAATACAGCTTTTTTAGTCGTTTTTGTGAATCCGTGTGAACGACACGTTGTCGTCTGTACATGGAAAACGCAAAGGAAAAACATTTCCGTTTAGTACATCGTTGCTGTGTAAACGTACCCTATAATGATAACTATATATTTTGTCCACATCAACAGATGATATTGCTCTGTTTATTATAAGCACGCGCTGCAGTTACGCCATCTGTCGCTTTAAATGCCCAAGCTTTTTTAATCACGATGAACTCTGAAAAAATAATAATTCTGAAAGTGATCCCAATGATATTGTTCCTCTGTGTCACTATCACCCTATTCTCATAAAATTAGAATGATTATTAAAACTTTATATTCATAGATATCGTTATAGTTATCATCCTTTGTGTGAACGGGCTTTTCATTCAACTACATTATTAAACATTAACTAAAACGTTTTTGAATTTAGTTTGCTGTCATGACTTGAAAATTTAATTGTTTGATTGTTTTACCATTAAAAAGATGTCTATTGATTTATTTACATTTTTAAATGAAAAAATTCACAATTGATTCATTATTTTATGGTTAATGTGGTACTCTAAGTCTTCCGTAAGTATGCTGCTCATCATTCAGGTGTGCAGGAAGTATGCTTGTACTGTGCACAGTAATATTGAGCAGTGTGTATTGTATACATACTGTATACAGGAGAAGGTTTGGTAGTGTGTGTTTCTAAACATACGCACTGTTTCCTTCTTTCTCAAGCTCGTGAGGCAGTAATTTGGGAGTTAGAACAGCGCCATCTACAGGAGAAGTACCATCTATTCAAACAGCAGGTGAAGGAGCAGTACTCCCTACAGAGACAGCAGCTGACCAAGAGACACAACAAGGTAAATCATGTGGTGACCTCCAAAAGCATTCTGCAGCCTGTTTTGTATTTATCTTCTCTGTTTTTCCTGTGCCTTATCCTGACCAGTCTTTTTTTGGCTCTTATGGCAGGATAAGGAGAGAGCGTCTCGGTTCCAGCAGGCTTTTCTAGAAGAGCAGAAGTCGTTGCAGGCCCAGGAGAGAGCGTCCTTACATAAGGCCCAAAAAGCTGAAGCAAAGTCCCGTTTGAATCCGTTCAAAATGGAGCTCAGGAAGCAAGGTCTGAGCGGCCCTGAGCAGCGGCAACGTCTCACACAGGTTTGAATTCATAAGCCTTTGAACGTTGAAAGATTATGTAGTAAAATAAACCTACATTTTGAATAAGGCCGTTTTCAAACCTGGCTCGTTTGTTTTGGAACGCATTTTCTCCTTTAGTTTGGTTTGTTTAGGCATATATGAACATGGCGTTTGGAATCATAACAAAACAATCAGTCTGAGATCAACTGAAAAATGTGGCCTCTGTCCACTTGAAAACAAACTCTGGAGTGGTTCGCTTGTGAAAGCAAAGCAATCCGACCCAAAGGACCGACAAACCAGGCTGTACCACAGTGTATGATGGGTAATTATGCACGTTGTGTGAAAAGCTGCAGTGTTTGTTTTGCTAATGCCTCTCAAAATGAATCGTGGCTCAACCTAGTCCTAGAGCAATGACAAAGTTTGCTTTTTCATTTTAAAATGCCGCCTAATTGCTCTTCTCCGAAATAAGTCAGTGTAACAGACATAAACCTCACTCCCTTGGTTCACTCAAGAGGCGCACTAGCGACTGACGCTAGAGACTGTTGTCTTTAGCGTCCTTGTTAGTGTGCCCGCCTCCCACGCCGGAGACCCCTGACCGAATCCCACTCGGAAAGGGTCGAGTATCGGTTACATTTGGTGCCATGACCCGGATGGGAGTGAGGTTTAGGGGGATGAGTGTAACGTAGGCCAGTAAGAGATGTGTGTGTAAACCTCACTCCCCTGGCCTCAAGAGGCGCTAGAAACTGTTGTCTTTAGCGTCCTTGTTAGCTCGCCCGCCTCCCACACCGGATACCCCGGTTTGAATCCCGCTCGGAGTGGGTCGAGTAGGATGGGTTACACAGGGTAAGAATGTTGTTCCGACGAAGCTCAAAATGATAAAGTAATATAACAACAGCTTCAAAGAAAGCCACAGTAAGCCGAGGAGCTGTTGACTCCCCATCCTGATGGATGACCGCTTTGAGCAGAATCCTGAAACATAAACAGGTGCACTCTGATCAGTGAGAGGACAGTTTACTCGCACATGACTTTTAATACCAAATTTTGGGTTGTTTAGAAATGTTGCCTTGTGAAAGGGAACCGAACCAAGAAGAAATGGCCACATCATGACCATTTTAATCCATGTTTCAGAACTAAGCAAACTATCTACAGGTCGGAAAAACGCCCTAAAACGGAACAGTTGCAAATGATACAGTTTGTCCTCTCTACTTTTGCGTCCTCAGTTTTTGTCAGAAGAGGAAGCCAGACAGAAGCAAGAGAGACAGAGTCTTCAAGAAAGTCACGAGAACCAGTTAAAAGCGGTGCAGGAACAATGTGATGCCAGTACAGCTGAATTACAGCAGCTTCAGGTACATCAACAACAGTTTGTCTATCTATAGCCTTACAGTGTTTTCATATTGAGGGAAGGTGATTCTCAGTGTTTGTGTGTTTGGATTTTAGAATGAGAAGCTTCAAGTTCTTGTGGACATGGAGAAGAAAAAGATCAAAGCTCTAGAGGACGAGCACACTCTGGAGCTCAACGAATGGAGAGATAAGCTTGCATGCAGAAAAGAGGTATCAGACTAAAATTTGAGGTTTAAAGCTTCTTGATTGAGCAGAGACGTAACGACTGTTGTATGCGTATGTTTAGGTGTTAGAGGAGGATCTGGCACGCAGACGTAGAGAAAAAGAAGGAACCAGGAGACGAGGCAGTGAGCCGGAAAACCGACATGCAGCTCGCCGTCCAAAGTTCTTCCATAACCTAAGCTTCTCCTGACAAAGTGAAGGAATACACTAAACCCTAATGCCTTTATATACAGTATGTACAGTTCAAAAGTTTGGTGTCAGTAAGATTTTTTTCTTAAAAGAAATGAATACTTTTATTAGCAAGGATGCATTAATTTGATCAAAAGTGACAGTAAAAAGAAATAATATTACAAAAGAGTTCTATTTCAAATAAATGCTGTTCTTTTAAACTGTCTATTCATCAAAGAACTCTGAAAAAAAGTATCACATTTTCCACTAAAATATTAAGCAGCACAACTATTTTTTAACATTGATTATAATAATAAATGTTTCTTGAGCTAAAATCATCATATTAGAATGATTTCTGAAGGATCATGTGACACTGAAGACTGGAGTAATGATGCTGAAAATTCCGCTTTGACTTCACCGGAATAAATTACATATTAAAATGTATTAAAATCGTGATGTACATCAGAGTAATGGATTATCAAAAAAGAAAAAAATGGAGGGCAGGATTTGGTTCTATATATCGGTTGTTGATTGGATGGAGGCAGATCTGAATGCGAGCTTGCAGTGATTAAACAAAAGGGTTTAAGCAGACTAAATGATTGGAGAAGTCTGGCATACATCACCAATGAGAAGCATGTTGTTTCACTTGAAGATTGATTTATGACATTTTGATTAAGAATTACAAGGTCATTTCTTTTGAATTAAATTAAACGCATGCAGTGAATTGTTCACAATAAGATAAATAACATGCATTTATAAAATAGAGAGGGTAAATTTCAATTTCATGCTTTCTTTAAATTGTAATAATATTTCATAATATTGCTGTTTTAACTGTATTTGTATCAAATAAATGCAGCCTTGGTGAGCATAAGAGACTTTTTTTCAAAAGTATTAAAACATTTTACTGACCCCAAACTCTTGAACAGTAGTGTAAGAATCTGTGTTTGTCTGGGGCTTTTTCAAAGTTGTCCCATTGCCCCATTTAGTGTGACAACATGGTCCACTATCACAGTTTGTTAAATGAATTATTCTTAATAAATAGGGATTTGTGAAAAAAAAAAAAAAAAAAAACAGTCGAGTAAACATGACAATATATACAGTATAGATGAACATTTGGGTTTCGGTGCAGACTATTTTTGTCTGGAGTTTATGTATTTTTGTAAATATGTTTAAAATCTGCTTAGACATAATTCCTCTATAAGTGTATCTAATTGCCTGAAGATGAACATTCATATGTAAATAAACTTTAAAACTCTTTTAGACAAAGAGTCTATTCAGATGCAATCTCTTCTGGTGGATGTGTTTGAAGCTTTTGAATAGTCTGCATGCACACAAAAACAGCTCACAAGCCTGGGTCTGCCTGTAAAGCATTCGAGAACATTAGATTAAGTTACACACATGAACAATATCTGTCTGGACTGTCGACATCATTTTTATTGAGCAGAGACAGGGCTGCTGGATAGAGGTTTTCAACCTCTTTATGGTAAGAGAAATGATTTTATATTACTAAATGTCTGGACATATGAAAACTTGTAATGTGACATTTGAATTTAATGCAACAAATGAGTACATAGTATAAAAGGTCATTTAAACTGAATATATATATATTTTTTAATGTATTTATAAATACATAAGACATATTGCCTTATCCAAAATACTAACAAAAAGTACTAAAAACAATTGAACAATATAGTTTGTTAAATTTATAATGATTTGTCATGTGTTGCCATTGACTTGAGGCACAGCGCTCATATACCGGTAACTATAATGAATACTGTTTTATGGTCTTTAAAAAAGGGCTACATGAAATAGACAAAAATTGTTTGTCATACTACAGGAACATTTAGCCTGTTAAATATTACTCGTTCATCTAAATCTTTACCTTAAGTATTGATGTTAAAAAATGGTTTAAGAAAACATTGTTTGAAAAAGGTTTAGGATGTATGTTAGGAACAGAAGGAGGTAAAACCAGAGTTTTGCAAACATGAAATGCTAATTCATTTAGCAATATTGCTTAATTATTGTTGTCCATTAAAACAGATTATAGCTGTATGCCCTATGAGGAATCTTGAGTTCAGCACAAACATTTTGTTCTCAAACAATAATCTCCAACTGAATCAGTCATTTTATATTAAGTATGGCAAGTTAATAAGAAACTTTTTTGAATTAGCTTTTTGGGTGTGTGGCATAAATGAACACTTGCTTTATTTTCAAGATGTTTTATGTCGTTATTGTTGATTTTGTTCTCAGTGGAGTACTCGATTGGAAATAGCCAAAAAGGATTGATAATATCTTAAGGAAAATGCTTGTTTTAGGCTTTTAAAGTATCTTACATCTCAATATAATTTTTTATATGATACAATCTCCCTAAAGTGCATTATGGACGCCAGTTGAAAGTGCTGTATCACCATATTACTCTAGTATGCTTTCCTGTCCATTGATCTCTTATTTTTCACATCTGTGAAATTCCTGTATACTAAAAGAGTCCTCCATTAGAGCTGTAAACACTGACTGCATTTTTAATGATTATGACATGTCTAAAGTGCATCTCTTTTTTAGCAAACACTTCCATAAGTATTTCTAACATTATAAAATACCATTCTTTCTCTCTTGTATAAAACGTCCATTAGGCTCTTGTCTTGTAATATGTAAAGTTTTCTGCATTCCAGTAAGCTTATTTCTTTTGTCTTAAACTCTGAATTGCCTGCTGTTTATCAAGTTTATGCTAACTCAATGTGTCTCGATTTGTTAGGGCCAAAATGGGGCAGTTATGCAAGCTTGTACTGTTCATTTTGGTTCTGATGGCAGTGCTACACAATTCATCAGGAGGAACTAAAGGGTTTCAGAAAGGGAAGAACACCCCTTCCAAGAAGCCATCCAATAAGCCGTCACAAGAGACCAAGACCCAACCTAACTATCCCAGACAACCCTCCTATCCTGGTGCAGGAGGTAACCCAAGCTACCCTAACCAGCAGTACCCTGGTAGAGGCGGCTCCATCCCAGGAGGCTATCCCAACCAGAATCCTGGAGCAGGTAGCTATACAGCTGGAGGAAGCTATCCTTCGGCTGGTGGTAGCCCCAATCAGTATCCGGGAAGAGGCAGCTCCAATCCAGGAGGCTATCCCAAGCAGAATCCTGGAGGAGGTAGCTATCCAGCTGGAGGAAGCTATCCTTCGGCTGGTGGCAGCCCCAGTCAGTATCCGGGAAGAGGCAGCTCCAATCCAGGAGGCTATCCCAACCAGAATCCTGGAGCAGGTAGCTATCCAGCTGGAGGAAGCTATCCTTCGGCTGGTGGCAGCCCCAATCAGTATCCGGGAAAAGGCAGCTCCAATCCAGGAGGCTATCCCAACCAGAATCCTGGAGCAGGTACTTATCCAGCTGGTGGCAACCCCAATCAATATCCGGGAAGGGGAGGTGTTAGCCCAGGAGGGTATCCCAACCAGAATCCTGGAGCAGGTACCTATCCAGCTGGTGGCAACCCCAATCAATATCCTGGAAGAGGTGTTAACCCTGGAGGGTATCCCAACCAGAATCCTGGAGCAGGGGGTTTCTCTAATCAGTATCCAGGTAGAAGTGGGTATAGCCCTGGTGGGTATCCAGCAGCTGGATCTTATCCAGTGAGAACTGCAGGGCAACCTGGAGGATACCCAGGAGGACACCCTTCCGCTGGAGGGGGATATCCCAACTGGAACCCCAACAATAAGATTCTTAGTCCACGTTATGGAGGCTCATTTGGAGGTGGTGGATTTGGCACGGGTGGTTCTCCTTTCTCCCAAACTGTGAAAGGAAGGGGCTATGGTCCTTCCGTACAATCCAAAGGCTTCGCAAAAAAGGCAATGCTAGCTGCAGGTGTTGGTGCAATGGCAGGAATGGCTGTAGGGTATGGAATCGGAAACTTTCCACGCCCTAACTTCCAATTTCGTAGCCCCCAGGAGGAACGCCACTACAACAACTATATGTACAATCGTCCGGACACTCATTCTAAAGGTGGAAACAACAAAGGAGGAACCAGCTACACATCAAAGCTGCCACCCCAGGCTCAGTCATATGACCAATTCATGAACACATGCATGAAGCGAAGTGATCTTTTAAAAGAGCAAAACATGGAGGATTCCGCAGTTCGCAACAACATTCAAAGAGATGAGCCACTGATTGATTATCCAGGTATGAATGAAGACTACTTAGAGAAAGTTGAGCCAAAGAATAATACCATATTACCTACAACTGATTATCCAAAGGATGCAGGGATTCATAAGGATGAGGACAAGGACACAGTGAGTATCGTACAGATTGGCTATCCAGCGCTTATTGAGCAGATGATAGCTCGAAAGTGTGTCGAGCTGTACTTGATTTACTCTGAGAGCTTCCAGGACAAACAGAATGAAAGTTGGAAGGAAAAAAAGCAAGAAAAAAAAGCTCTCAGAAGTTCCAGTAACCATAATTGTAACCATAGCCGTATCTCTGAAGTTCTTCTGTTTCTCACGACTTCCTTTATGCTTCTTAGAGGCACTTAGTAGCACTCTCTACGTTGATTATAAAGGAATGCAGTTGCCCTTCTTTTCTACCCTGCAAATCTAGGAAACCAAAGGTAAAGACATTTCAAATGTGGTGTGTATAATATAAAGGCGTCTTGACTGAAAGTTTCTCTTTTCTACTCAAACTCTAACAAGACTCCAACACTTGCTATTTAAATATATAGTACCAGACAAATATAATGTATATTGGCCATATTCGTTTTATGAATGCATTTTGTTATAAAATCATTGTATAATATACAAAAACTATAATTTTTTTAGTATTATTCCTGGAAAATTAAAAACTGAATTCCTTTAATAAAATGTTAACTGATGCATTTGTTCATAAGAATGTAATGTTATAGATCTATTTATTTATAGTAACTATTTATATTATTTCCAAAGGAATCATCAATAATAATAATAATAATAGTAATATTTTTTTTCCTGAAAAAACACATTTCCTTTTTTAATAAAATGTAAACTGATTCATTTGTCTTGATTGTTTAATAGTTGTTACGACCCGTGCAATAAGGACGGGCTTGACCTGAACTTTGCTGTTGGTAAAAAGGAAACCAGCCCCAGCCAACAGATCACCAAAGACAATTCTAAGTTCCACAAAAAGTATAATTTTGCCCTTTTAAAGCGGCGCCTCAGTAGATCCGTCAATTAGGCTCCTCCGACGGCAGCCAATCCCTGCAAAAACAAAAACCCACACAAAACAGATACCGAGGATCGTAACATAGTAGTAGTTTGTTAGGGATGCACTGATATAAAAAATGTGTCCGATACCGATAATTCTTTATATTTGAAAGCCGATAACTACGGACGCCCTGAACCGGAAAATTCTACAGGTGCTAATCTAACAACATGGCATTAGCTACCATTTGTTTTAGGACGTTACAATATACACTCACCGGCCACTTTATTAGGTACCCCATGCTAGTAACGGGTTGGACCCCTTTTGCCTTCAGAACTGCCTCAATTCTTCGTGGCATAGATTCAACAAGGTGCTGGAAGCATTCCTCAGGGAGTTTGGTCCATATTGACATGATGGCATCACACAGTTGCCGCAGATTTGTCGGCTGCACATCCATGATGCGAATCTCCCGTTCCACCACATCCCAAAGATGCTCTATTGGGTTGAGATCTGGTGACTGTGGAGGCCATTTTAGTACAGTGAACTCATTGTCATGTTCAAGAAACCAATTTGAAATGATTAGAGCTTTGTGACATGGTGGAAGTAGCCATCAGAGGATGGGTACATGGTGGCCATAAAGGGATGGACATGGTCAGAAACAATGCTCAGGTAGGCCGTGGCATTTAAACGATGCCCAATTGGCACTAAGGGGCCTAAAGTGTGCCAGGAAAACATCCCCCACACCATTACACCACCACCACCAGCCTGCACAGTGGTAACAAGGCATGATGGTTCCATGTTCTCATTCTGTTTACGCCAAATTCTGACTCTAACATCTGAATGTCTCAACAGAAATCGAGACTCATCAGACCAGGCAACATTATTCCAGTCTTCAACTGTTCAATTTTGGTGAGCTCTTGCAAATTGTAGCCTCTTTTTCCTATTTGTAGTGGAGATGAGTGGTACCCGGTGGAGTCTTCTGTTGTTGTAGCCCATCCGCCTCAAGGTTGTGCGTGTTGTGGCTTCACAAATGCTTTGCTGCATACCTCGGTTGTAACGAGTGGTTATTTAGGTCACTGTTGCCCTTCTATCAGCTCGAACCAGTCTGGCCATTCTCCTCTGACCTCTGGCATCAACAAGGCATTTCCGCCCACAGAACTGCCGCTCACTGGATGTTTTTTCTTTTTCGGACCATTCTCTGTAAACCCTAGAGATGGTTGTGCGTGAAAATCCCAGTAGATTAGCAGTTTCTGAAATACTCAGACCAGCCCTTCTGGCACCAACAATCATGCCACGTTCAAAGTCACTCAAATCAACTTTCTTCCCCATACTGATGCTCGGTTTGAACTGCAGGAGATTGTCTTGACCATGTCTACATGCCTAAATGCACTGAGTTGCCGCCATGTGATTAGCTGCTTAGAAATTAAGTGTTAACGAGCAGTTGGACAGGTGTACCTAATAAAGTGGCCGGTGAGTGTATATATATATATACTTGGAATGTATATATTTTTCCGGAATATATACTTTACAGGCGAAAACACTTTTCAGACTGGAAGGAGTTATCCAGCTTTATATCTGAGGAAATTGCGGGATCCGGCCAAATGATTGGATACAGAATGATGCACTAAAAATGTATCCATAAAGTATTTACGGTGAAGAGGGTGACAGTACGATTACTGTTAAGTGTTCTCGATCCAGATGGTGTTGCCTATAGACGAGCCTTTAATATAGCGGCCAAATTTTCTTAACGGGCAGATGCGATAACTTTAAAAATGAACATATATCGGCAGCTACCGATACGGTGGCCGATATATCATGCATCCCTGGCATTTAATAGAGTTCACATCTTTTAGTAATTCACTCTAAATGTTGTTTCCCTCAAGAACGTGCAGTGTAAACCGAAATTTACAGTATAAAAAATAAAAACTAGTTTTCAGTGTTTTATAGATCACACAATGGCTGATCTGTTTAAAAGCCCCCTAGCAAAATGAAGACCGTTGCTATGGTAACATCACAGAACAGACTGTGGCCTTCACATGATACATGCTGCACGTTGCTAGGAGACCAGGCTATTCGGAGAACCAACATCATGATTAGGTGAAAGCAAACAAAGTGGGTGGGAATAAGCAGAGTCAATTATTTATTCATTTAAAATCCAGTACAAGGACTAAAGAGTGATATGGTTTAAATTAAAAGACCTGCCAAAATACACATCAAACTCTGAAACTGACAGAAGAGAAACTGACATCACTGGAATGAAAGGAACAGCAAAACTTGTTATTTTTCCATCACATGACACTTCACAGTTCACAAAGTTTGCATTAAATGATTTCAGACATATGAGAGAATGCACTTAGATATTAGCCCTTAAAGCGATTTTAGTTTTAAAGAGGTAGTTCACCCAAAAATGAACATTCTGTCATTAATTACTCACCCTAATGTTGTTCCAAACCAATACGACTTGCTTTCATCTTCAGAACACAAATGAAGATCTTAATGAAATCTGAGAGCTTTCTGTCCCTCCATTGACAGTCTATACGCAACTACTGTACTTTCAAGCCCCAGTAAGGTAGTAAAGACATCGTTAAAGTAATCCATTTGCTTGTTGGTTTAACTTGTTTTATGAAGCGGTGCGAGTACTTTGTTTGCGCAAAAAAACCCATAATTTACCATTTTATTTACAAAATATTAATCTGACGCACGTTCATGTAACAAAGCCTGCTCTCGCGCCAACACAACACAATGTGTGGTGCTCTCGTGAAGGAGCGTTGGAGATTAATACTTTGTAAATAAAGTTGTAAATTATGTTGTTGCTTTTTTGCACAAACAAAGCACTCGTGTCGCTTCATAAAACTGAGGTTAAACCACTGGAGTCACATGGATTGCTATATGATGTCTTTACTACCTTTCTGGGGCTTGAAAGGGGTAGTTGCGTAACTTTCAATGGAGGGACAGTCACAGAAATCTTAATTTGTCTTCCAAAGATGAATGGAAGTCTTACGGGGTTGTAGCAACATGAATTTTTATTTTTGGGTGAACTAAACCTTTAGTAACGACGATGTGAGCACCAAAATAAATAAAATCATAAGTTAAACGTTGCATTACTTTTAGGCAATAGCAGCACAACATAAATTAAATATAATTTAATATTCCTCACACCAACCAACGGCTAAAACATTTAGATATATGTTTAACAGTAAAAATTGAAATGAACTCAACCTCCTTGCCTTGACATACATAAGTCGTCACTGTCTCACATTTCATATTTCATCCTCGTAATAAATAAGTTTCACTTCATCAAAGAAAATGATAGCATCCTCTGTTTAAAATTAAACCTTTCTGCACTATGAAATTATCTCTCAGCAAAACAAATACATCAAACCTTGTAATTCATCCCCACATAAAGATGTGTGCCACTGTTCCTAGTGTTATGAGGATGCTGGCCTGCCCTGAGCTGCCAGTGTTCCTGTAATTCTCCCTGTCTGAGCGACTGTGGTTTCCAGGTCCATCTGGGTAATAGCGCCGGCTGCCCCCTTCGTACTCGTACCTCGGTCTGCCCAGAGAGCCCAGCCCGTATCCGATGGCTGCTCCTCCGAGAGCCCCCGCGGCGGCGGCACCTGCCAGTTTCAGGCCCTTGTTCTGGGAAGGGGCTTTGGCCAGCTTACCCACTCCGCCTCTGCCACCAGAACCACCTCTACGTTTGCAGTGGGCCAAAGGATACAACGACACCACCAGTAACATCCACACCCACATGACCAGGAGCTTCTGATTGCCCATCGTGATTAGAGGTCCTTTCAAAAGACAATGGAAACTAATTTATATCTTGTTACACATTTTAATAAAGGTTCCTATAATTATATTACATCGATTTAAAAGGTAGGACATGCTATTTCAATAATTGTTTCCTTATGTTTTTTTTTTTATTAGCCTTTCACTTTTATTAGAGACTTTTAAAATAGGCTACTTTACAAATAAATGCTATTGGTAACACTTTAAATAAGGTTTCATTTGTTAAAGGTACACTATGTAGCTTTTGGCCAGCTCAAGCAATTAAAAAACAAAGCTGCATGCATTTTGCGGAAGAACATTGTTTTGGTTGTGCTTCGGCTTTGCGTGACTGTGCGGATGAATATGACCCTTCACAATAATGCTTTGAGCTTCTGGCCCGACAGTGGAAACGCGGCTAATGAACTCTGTTAGAGAGCTTCCTTCCTTGCAACATACTTTCATATGCATAGCCTATATTGTTCTCTACTGGAGTTTGTAAATTGATAACTCTGTTAAAGAGCTATACGCTGATTTCACGCAGCCGCCATTTTGAAATCGCTCCGGTGGGAAGAAAACCGTAAGTGTCGCTTTTAATCATAGGAGAGTCGTGAATGCGATGGCATATTGTTGTGTTTAATGTAGAAATTAGTTATTCTAAAAATGTACATACATTTCTTTCATACTTTAGAGTATATACAGTGAAATTCATTTAGAAATAAAACATTTTTTTATATATAATTCAGAACGGAAAAAAAAGAAGCAGGAACGAACTATATACATTGGATATTAACATCCAATAGTGTAAATCGCGGCAGCAGCTTCAGGTTGGTAGTCCAAGCATTGTTGTCTATCTGTACTTCCGGTGTTCTTCCCACCGGAGCCTCGCTTTCGATTTCAAAATGGCGGCAGCGTGAAATCAGCTTATACATGAGGAAATTTATCTCTTCAATAAACACCTGTTGAGTAATAAAAGACCATCTCCCCATCGCCTTTACAACTTTTAAAATCCCCAATTTCTCCAATCTCCAAAAAGCAACTTTTCACTATTTACGGATATGACGAGACACGAAGGGTGAGTGCATGTAGCCTATCATCCAGTCAGGTCTAAAATATAAACACTTCAAACACGCGTAATTTCCATAGGCTATATCAGGGTAAGACAAAAAAAAAAATGTTTTGCAAAGATTAATTATGTTTTTACTTATGTTTTATTTAATTTTGAACAACAAAATGTATAGTGTTACTTTAACAGTTGTTATAGTAACAGTGAAAAATACTCCTCCAGCATTTATTAATATTGGTCAAGGTTAATCTCAACATTCTTAAGATCAAAAGTTCTATCTGTTAACATTAGTAAATGGATGTGAACTACATGGACATGAACATATTTAACTAACATAAACAAAAGTTAATAAATGCTGTAAGAATATATTGGTTCATGTAAGTTAATACTGTACATTAATGTTAACAAAATAAGATTATAAAATATTTTAATAATATAAACACTTTTACAAATAGTAATAGTGGCAAATACGATTTACAAATTATTTATCTCGTTTCATAAACTCCATTTATTCAGACAATTTTGGGTTCTACTTACAACCAGTGTACACTGAAAAAAATTGGTGTAGAAACAATTTTCACAAATAAATACAAAAAAAGGGCAAGTAACACATTGAATTAAACATGAAATTTTGAAGTAGAAAGAGCCTCCTTTTTAAAATGATAAACATTGCTCCTGTTCAAAGTTATTCTAAATATATTTATTTTTATTAATATGTGCTAAGTTTTATTTAAAATTTATTTTAAAATGTTGTTTTTATTAATTGAATATTATAGTATGTATTTTAAAATATTTAATGATTGTTTATTTTTTTAATATAACATTAAATAAACATTTTTATTTTTAAAAATGTTGTTATGTTGAAAATGTTGAATATTTTATTCAACAGAATTATTCTAAACAGATACAGCCTTGGTCAGTTTAGACAATTACAGTGCGGGGAGACACACGCCCTGACTGGTGTATCAATTGTCAAAGCTCACCTAGAATTAGTGCTACGTTCGATTTGCTGACACACAGTGACCCACTTGTTGTGCCATACAGTATATTAATTGTTATACATGTGTTGATTACATAGACATCCATGCTGATGTCACAACGGTTATTTCAAACTATTACTGTAATATGAAAAATAAATAAATTAAAATAGTTAAACCAATGAAAAATCTTTAGGATACATTACATTAGATTTGATATATTAAATGTGTTGCCTCAGTATTCATGCAATAATATCATTTATCATCTTCCTTATTTAGCAAATCTCAACAAAGTCCCATCTGTTATAATAAACAGAAGCATCTTACCGGGTGATGATCAGTGTCTTCTCTTCAGCGCTTGAACTGCCCAGTCTTACTGTGAGAAGCTGCTCTGTGTTGTAAACAACCACCTTATGAAACCACACAGGAGCGAATGAGCAATCAGGGATGCTCAATGGCCCCGCCCACTTGAGAACAAAGCCTCAACAAAGGATGAATTAGTGCTTGGTACTAGACTGGTCTTTACTCATTTTAAAGCAATTTCTAATAAGATTTACATCTCATTGCTCCCACACTCGATTTCCCCCTCGTGTCTATTATCTCTGACCATTAAGTTCTCAAATCTTAGTTGTAATAGTAAGAGATCAGTGCTTAGGAGTGTTAAAGAAACTAATCAAATATATTAGGAGAGATTAAGTCTTTATTCCACATGGAAAAGTGATCCTTATGTTGAAATGTCATGCCTAATGTGGAGCAATGCAGTGTGGCGTAAGACGTATTCATGGTAAATGGACTGTTATTTTTTATCTCTACTGCTTAAACAGACCCATGAGAAAAATATTAATATTAGACAATAGGGATCACTGAAATGTAATGAGATCTTTCACTGAGTTAAATGTGCATGCAAGTTCACACAATACATTCTGTATTTTTTTTATTATTAAAAGCAAAAATCTGTGCATATACAGTACACTTGTAAAACGCCTCACAAATTAAAGATATTAAATATTTTTAATACTAACAAACATTACAAACAGTCTGCAATAAAATAAGGCAAATAGATTAGATTTACAAATTATTTCTCTTCGTTTCACATTGTCTGTTTATTCACACAGTCCGGCTTTACGTTAAATCAGATTTTTAATAACTAGAAAAATAAACACTCTTATGGCTCATTACAATTGTGCATAAAAGTCGGAGATTGACCCATTTGACTTCCTTTGTGAAAAAGAAGGCCAAGTATCTGTTTATCCAATAAAGCTTATTTAGAGAAAGCCATGGTACTTTTGGATATTGCTGTATTGTGATATTATATAATACATGAACACAATAGCAGGCTCATAGAAAGCCAAACTAAAGTAAGGATATGTTCCTGTTCCTGAGATAGCACCATTTTGGTGCTTTAAAGACGGTGCTTGCATCATCAAGTAGTTTTATCAGCTAAGGACTTCATGTATCTCTTGATGATACGGCGCAAATCAGCGTACCTGAGTTAACAGGAAATAAGAACACAGAAAGGAAATGAGTCACACAATGATTTCAAAAGACTCATCATGTATATATCAGTTTCTTTGTTATGTATGATAGACTGTACCTCTTCTTCAGTTTCAGCATCTCTCTTTCTTCTTCCTCTTTAAGTTTAGCAATGAAGCTTTGTAAAACAGGAAGCTCAAACTTGATGTATTGTGCCACCTTGAGGACACAATTAAGTATTACAACAATATATCCAAACTTGCACTGTGTAGTTTGGCTGAAAATAGCCACATTAACACTTATTTCTGCAATAAATAGTAAGATTACAGTATCCACATTGTATGACCTGCTACATCAGCCAAAATGTGCAGTATACAAACAGACACATTGTGTAGAATATTGAATCTAACCAGGGGCGGATCTACCGGGGTGGCATAGGGTGGCAAATGCCACCCTAAAAGAAAGCCTTGCCACCCCTCCTGCCACCCCAGTTGGCAGCAACGAATTAAAAGTTATGGCCAATTTGACAATTTACGAGCGCGAATCTCCCATGTCCGACTGCAGTGAATTCGCTACGTGCATAATATGACGACCGTTAGACGGTCGTACTTTAGTGTGTGGCCAAATACTTCCGGCGAAAACTTCCGGTGATCTGACCGCGAGAGCAGGAGACAGCGAGAGCAAGAGACAACAGCGACCGAGTTCCATTACCAGAGAGATAAGTTTTCAACCCGACCACATTTTTAAATGCATATCATTTTCAGTGTATTTCACCTGTGCGTTTCTATGCTTTATATTACTGCATTTATTTTGTGCAAGTGAGATGAGTAAAGCACATCTGTTTCATATATCATGTATCTGTCTGGTGTTTATATGCAGTAGCCTACAGTATTCCACAGTAAAACGCTCAAGTTGGGTGCTCAACAAAATAATATATATAAACAAGGGAAAAAAGGTCGGCACACCTTGGCTCCAAAAGTTAAACGCGCCCCTGCCTTTATACTCACACAGGGCTGGACTGGCCATAATATTATAACTATTATTATATAGTAGTGTAATGTAGACAGACACTATATCACAACTAAAAAGAGTTTTGAGTTTTTCTTTGTTCAATTTGCACACTGAATATGGGTTGGAGCTCTTTATTTTGAACTCTCAAAGTGCACTAGATTGATGAATTTAACATTAAAAAGCACAAAATTTTCTTATGGGGGTGCATGCCCCCGAACCCCCCTAGAGGGACAGAGGTGCACTCACCGCAGATTTCCCAAAATCCTGTGGGAAAAAACGCTATTGCTATACCAATGCAGCTTATAGCTTGTTTTAGCATTCATCAATGTGGATTAGGCCTATAGTTCAACTTAGTAGTTATTTCATCTGTTAACTCTTACTCACTCCTATTCACTTATGTTATGACATTAGTGGTTTTTATAGGAGTTGGTATACATATTCAAGGGAGTGCAAAGTTCGGTTGTGTTTATGATCATATGTAGTGGGCCAGTCTGGGCCAAAATGCCCGGGCCGATTTTTTGTCCCAGCCCAGCTCTGTACTCACAGGTGTACACCCCCCCCCCCCCCCCCAACCCCCCCCCCCCCACAAAAAAAGATACAAATAATAATACAAATAATGCCCTTTTGTAGTGTGTATACATACGATTTCTCATCAAACTGTGTTAACTGTGATTAAATTCAGTATATATATACGTCTGCCATGTTGCCACCCCTCAAAAATTCCTGCCCCCCTCTTGCCACCCCATAAATATTTTTCTAGATCCGCCCCTGAATCTAACAATGCAATGTGCATTGTTCAATAACGATGTAAAAAAAATATACTGGAAATAAATCTAATTATATCTAAAATATCTATTATATGATCAGTCTGGAAAATATATTAGTTTTGCATAATTTTTTTTATAAATAAATACAACTACTCAAAATTAAAGCATTAATTAAATACATTATTTTTATTAACATTATGAATGATGTTAATGTAAACATTTAATAAATTACTTATTAAATAAATCACCAAACAAATTTATAAATATGCATTGCATTTCATTTTACCATTAGTTTGCATTCGTTGCTTCATTTTATTATCATCTTTGGACATTTAAGAAAGAAACTTTAATTCAGAGATAATGATACAAATTTATGCAAAATAATGGTAAAATGAATCAATATTGGGGGATTTAATCATTATTATTATGATTTTATGTTTTATTATTAATTTATGTATTTATCGATTTAAACATTTTAATTATTTAATTTTAAGTAATTTGGCCAGCCAGATAGACAGATAGATAGATAGATAGATAGATAGATAGATAGATAGATAGATAGATAGATCGATAGATAGAGATATTTGGTCTCTTACATCATGGGTGACCTCTTCCACCTGGTCCGTCTCCATTAGGAACATTTTGCTGACCTGTTCACAAGGTCCTTGCAAAACTCTGACCGCCAAAGGATGATCACTAGGCTTCAGCTGATGTCTCTCTGGATGCAGGAGAGGATTAGAAATATGAACTCAGGCACAAATAAAAGAACAACATGTCACATGTGAATTGAGTCAGGACGTACCGCCACTCGTATGGACAAGATAGAGGCTGAACTCATCCGGGCTGTTCTCAATCTTGAACTTGCTCAGCAACACCCGCATTACCTGTGCCGTCGTCATACAGCTGTTGATGCGGACGTTCGTCACAGAGCCGAACGCCGGCGTAAAAACCGCTGTCTGTTTGAAACAATCAAATGTGAGCAAGAAATTAATAACGTGTAACCAATTTACGAAACATGACGCTTGCCTTGTGGTTATAAAAGTGTCCGTTGAAGGAGCATCGGTGTCTCTTGACTCTCCTGATGCCAAGTCGACGTCCACTGATTCTCCTCCCGCTGACATCACTCCTAGTCCTGGTGACCCGATCCGAGTGTGTCGACTCCTGCTGGCCCTCACCTGCCAGATGAGACTTTACCAAATCACACACTGCCATTCAAATATGACGAATAGGCAGGCAGTGAACACTGAATTTTTTTTTAAAAAGTCAAGAATGTATTCACCTGCCTCTCCCTTCTCTTCGCCGGAGTCGTTTGATTGGTCATCTGTTGTAGTGACCTCAATGGAAATACACGGCTGATTTGTTTCATCATTTCTAAAAGGCAAGAAAGCAGGAACCCTAATTAAAAGAACATTCTGGTGAAAACCATTAAAATGTAAGTCTATGGGGCAAGAGTTCTGTGCTCATCATTTTGTGCTTAGACTAAAGAATTTTGTAATAAAATATCCAAAAATCACTTGCACAGTGTGATATATTTCCTGCAGTTGTGTACTTACAATATCCCAAAAGTCTCCAAAGATGTTTTATTTCAGAGAAATTCCAATTTTAAATAAGTGGCCGTCCCGGAAAAAAATGTCGCCTGTCAATGACGCAATATCCGCGCTATCCTCGGTTTCCGTTCATACTGCCATAGCCATGACGTAACCATGGCGACAGACGTGGACAACTGCGTAGTGCGTAACGTTTAGCGGCACGCAGTTCTTGTTTCTTTCAAACATAGACCATGGCAAGCAGACTTTGGGACAAACAAGGAGAACTAAAATGAGGATCAATATCAGCGTGGCGTTTTTGAGATGCCGAGAGCTCCACGTCCGGAACTAACTTGGACTTGACAGAGCTTCACGAGTCACGACTTGACAGCTTTATTAGACAGGTGAGCAAATGTACATAAAACAAATCAATGTTATATAACGTTAGCTCAACATGATGAAATGTTAGAATATGGTCAGTAATGTTATTCTAATGTTGATCTAGCTTACTGCTAGTTTCGTATAGCAAACGAACTAACACGTAGTAGTATAACATTATAACTTTCAACACACATTTAAATGCCGTTTAGTGTGATAGTGTAACGTTAGACCAAGTGAAGCAGCGCTGCGTTACCTCA